CTCGAGGGGAAACGGGGCACCTCGGGGCCCGTGCCGCCAACTTCAACCGGAAAGTCTGGCACACTGGCACCTGCGCATCCCCTTTCTGACGACCCGCTTCTGTCATGTCACCCGCATGGGAGCTGCGAGACAAGGCGTGAGCCCCGGCGCTGGGAACCGAGGCCCCTGTCCCGTGTCCCGGGGCCATGACGCTTGCTGGCGAGCGCAGCGTATCGACTCCAAAAGCCCAAGGAGGCCCGAGATCCCCCCCCCATCCTGCAATCTATCTGGGGTGCCAAGCGCTGGGAGCCTGTTTTGCTGGCTGGCGTCTGAGTGGCCAGTGGCGCAAAGGGCGACCTGCAAATCGACGGTCCGAGGCAAGCCCTATGTCGCCCAACCTGCAATTTGCCGCATTGGGTAGGTCGAACAGGCAATCCTGGGCAGGGGCAGATAGGCAGGTGAGAGTGGACACGGCGGGCGGGACAAGGGCAAAGGTTGAAGGGGCACAGGAACGGAGACGGATCAGTGCGGCATCCCACGCTCACTTCCGAGGACGGCAGAAAATTCATTGGTGAGGGAAATTTCCGGGAAAGCATGAGAGGGTAACACACGGGCAGGCAAGGCAAGTCGAGGACGATGACGATGACGACGTCGACGAGACGAGCGACGGCCAAGCATGGCCATGTCTCACTCAAGTGCATGTACATGGAGCATGTGCACTTTTGGATGGCGTCCAGGCTGTCTCGGCTGCTTGTAGGGGGAATTCCGGGCCAGCCGCTCACCGTGGGACGACGACGTGGTCCGTCCCGGGCGACGGTCCCTGTCGTCGAAATGCTCCGTCGAGTCGCGATGGATGCAACCATATATGGCTCGAGCGAACTGCTGGGAGGAGGACATGGTGGCCTGGTCCGCCAAGAACACGACTCGCTCGCATGCTTGCTCTTGCATCCGAACCATCTCCCCTAGCAGGACCAGAGAGTACCTCGACCCGGCCCTGTGTACTTGGCCCAAACGATGTAGTACCATGGCTGTGTACAGGTACGCAACGAGGCAGACGCCATGCAGGATAGACTCGCCGTCACATACATGATGCACGTTCTGTCGCATTCTGACAGACGAGTACAGTACATTCAACGACGGAGATTTTGGCTGCTTGTTCTTGTCCTTGACCCCTTGCTTTCTGCAAAGGTGTGTCACATTGCCGAGAGGTGGTCGAGGGCGGCGGGCCAGCCGCCCGATGATTTCTCGGGGCAACGCACCTTGTTGCGTGAGGCGATCTCGGCCACGGTGATCTGGATGCAAGAATGACCCCGGACAAGGCATGAGGAATCAAAGGGCCCTGCGGGAGCTGGCATGGCCCAGCAGCGAGGAAGCATGAATCGGAGGGATGACGCCAAGAGCATCGCCCCCATGCCGGGCAGTACGAGGTACGTATAATAGACCAGACAGCCTTATATGTACTCGAGGAAGTTCGGGACGAAATCCGGTGAGGCAGGGGATTGGGCCGAGAGTGAGAGGGCGTGGGAAAAGGGCTCACTATATGTCTCTGGGCATATACGTACATGCGCACATGTATGTATCCGCACACTTTTGTCTATGGTATAAGGTATGGCATACATAGTGATGGTTCGGACATTGACTGGAACCACGAGTCCGGATATGTGTGTGTCGTTATTTTCCGGGATGCTGTGACGGGCTTTATAGCATGGCATGGCACTGCTGATGTATTGTCGTCGTCGATGCATCCAGGCCGGATCTCTGCGTACAGTAGGTGCAGATCGGTCTTGTTCCCGTTGCATCGGGATCTCGTCTGCTTGTTTCCTTGCCGGACCTCGAGGGTTGAAAAACATGGAAAATCCTTTGCCTTGTTCGCTCCCTCTCTTCAGAGCCGACGGTCCCATGTCTTTGGGTCGTACCCGTAACTGCCATGCACCAGCGACTTCATCCAGTGGCGACGGTGTAAACATGGGACCTGGAGCCCCCGCGGGGATGCGCGCTTGTCACATTGCAAGGTTCCAAGGTGGTTGCTAGTGGCGAGGTGGTAGCTCGCAGCGTCGACGTCGAGAATCTAAGCCCTATCTATCTGCAACAAGACGCAACTCTGCCGTCTCTGATTTCTCTGGGAAGCAAAAGCGGCAATGGCGTGATCTGCGCCTAAGCCCTGCCGAGAGATGGTGGGATTGGGGAAGCCAAAAATAAGCAAGTGATTTTTTTATTTTATTTTATTCATATTATACTTGAAGGGGGGGGCGCTGGGTTGCCTTACTCGCTCCCCGTTCTTGCTCAGCTCAGGGGGGAGGGGGAGGGGGGGTTCAGAGGAAACGCGCCATCTAGCATTGACGCCGTCGTTATTGCCTACTGTCTGTACCTACGAACCTGGATGGCGTGGTATGCGGGAAGTATATTCGTACCTGTGCGAGTCCCTACCGTATGTCGAGCAGAGCATCTCGGCTGGAATAGCCCGAGGAGATGGATGGATGGATGGATTGATGGATGGATGCAGGCCTGCTTCCTAGATCTATAGACGTCTTCGAGATGCCTTAGGGGCCTCGAGATATAATAGCAGACGCGGAGCCTCGAGATATAATCATGGCGCGGGACCTCGAGCAGACGAGGGAGGACGTGCAGGTACCGGCACACGACGAGCGGAGCCGTGCCTTACGTAAGGCGGCTGTTCAGCATGTACGTACATACATACATATACATCCAGCACAGCCAGCCGGCAGTTCTCTCTATCCTGTACATACTGTACATACTAATATATATACTAATATACATACAGTTGTATCTCGTCAGCATCTCTCTTTTTCCTTGGGCGGGCGAGTGGATACGGATACTCCGAGGTACTCTCTCCTCCGCGTCATTACCGTCACCCCAAGGGCGTGCAGAGAAAGAACGAGAGAAAAAAAAAAGTCCGTCGGGCCTCCGCCCCACTCCGGCCGCCGACGCCCGGGATCCAATCCCGCTTTTGTGTTTTCTCGAAACCCCCCCCCCCTTCTCCCCTTCCCCGCCGAGCCTTTTCGCCGTCCGTTTCGCTCTCTGCCTCGCCCTCCTCTGCCGCTCGTCCTCTGGCCTCTTTGGATTTTCTAAAAAGGAAGGATGCTTCTCGCATGTCAGCGCGGCAAGGGAGTGACATCTGTGCGACTCGGGCGCGGACTGTAATGGACGGATACTCCCGTGGAGACTTTTTTTTTCCCAACGACGGACACTCTTCGGATGCCCCGTTTGGGGGCGTGTGTAATACCTCGTCGTCCGCTTCCGTCGTTGGTCGGTACTTTTCGCCGCTGTCGAACGAACGAACTGGCTTGGGTGACCCCCCACGTCTTTCGGACGCGGACAATGCAGTCAAAATCTGATAATCGGCTCACGCCGGCAGGCAGATAGGCGGCGCGGCGGCGACGACGACGACGACGATGACGCCGCCGCCGCCGCCCCGGTGTAATTTTCTTCAGGGCTATGACTCGCCGAGGCACAAACCCCCGACGGACATGTGCCGGCAGCCACCTATACCGTCCTATTCCTTGCGGCGGGAGCCCAGTTCGCTCCCTCGCTCCCCCTCCTCCATTCCTCGGCACCTCATGGCAAAGGTGGGAGAGCGATGCCGCCGGGCATCCCAAGAAATGCACCACCACCGCCGCCCATCCAGCATGCACATGTACATATTATATCCATGCCAAGCTGAACTTTGCCGGGCCCCTCCCCTCTTCCCAACGGGCTTGCAGTCCCCGGCCAACGCCACCGGGTCGCGTGGCTTGGGTTGGTGTCCGAGTCCGAAAGGAGCACGCACACAGACAGACAGACACGGACAGACACAGGCAGACACACACGTACACACACGTACACACACACACACACACACACACACACACACACACACACACACACACACACACGGCTCTGCACCGTCGGAACCAGAGCCCGACGAGACGAATTGTGATCCGTGGGGGGGAAGGGGTTTTTTTTTTATTATATAGAAAAAAAATATCGTCCGTCTGCATCTGCCGCCGGCTCGACCGACATACATACAGTACAGTAATTACAGTACGTACATACAGAACAAACAAACAAGCCGCTGCCAGCAAAAGAGAGGGAAAAAGAGGGCCCGACCGACTGGGTAACCCACTCACCCACCCCACCTTGGAGATGCAACAAACAACTGCCGACGTCTCCCTCGCTCGACTCTCTCTCCTCCCATCCATCCATCCATCCATCCATCCATCCATCCCCCTTCCTCCCCATCATGTCTCCTCGGGTGTAAACCCAACAACGCGTACGTACCATGCTTGCTTGCACACATTACGGTACCATCTTACCTACATACATACATGTCGCCTCCCGTCTCTCGAGACACAGATTGGAAACCCCCCTCCCTCCCTTCAACTCCTCCTCCTCCTCCCGCGTGGCACACAAGCCCTTCCCGTGCTCGCTAATCGCCCGAGTCAACCCGCCTCGCTTGCGTGCATGATCCCCCGACATCCTCGGGCCACAAACAAGACCAAGCACACAAGCTGACAACCACCAGCACCAGCACCAGCACCAGCACCAGCACCAGCACATGGCTGCCGCCGCCCGCCCACGCCCTTTAGACTCTCGACGCTTCCATGCGCAACCATCCCCTCCCGCCACGCGGTCCCAGGGTCAACGTAGATGGGCGCCCGTTTCGTCTGGTGTCGTATGCCGTGCAAGTCTCGCGCCATCCCCAGCCCCTGCCCCCATTTGCGTCGGGCGCAAAGGTCGCGTGCCCTGTAGAACGCCCGCCTCTCCTGTGTCCCGCCCGGGAGCACCACCACGTAATTGTCAGCTCATTGCCCCAGTCCTGTCGCCAGTCCTGTCGCCAGTCCTGTTTCCAGTCTCGCGCCCATGCGTCGGGCCCAGCCATGCATGTCTTGCCTCTTCCAGCCCTCGACTTGACGCCTCGGCGCTGTGGCGCAGCCGTTCGAGTTGGCAATGGCCCTCATCCGCCCTGTACCTTGGCCGGCATCGTCGTGCGAGCCATGCGAGGGGGCTGCTGGCGCTTCGAATCACAGTCGGCTCTCGATGCCAGCCAAGGGGCTGTCACCTGCCCAGTGCGAGTCGGGCCAGACCAACCGGATCGCTTCCCAGATATGGCTGTCGAGCATCATGCGTCAGTTACACCGTCTCAACCACGACTGGCGTCCATCTGTATCACGTCTGACGCGACACCACCACACCAGACTGAGCACGTGCTTACCTAACGTGAGCAATCTCAAGCCCTTCCTTGACTTCCTGTGGCAGGTCCCTGACATCCTTTCGGTTCTGTGCCGGCAAAAGGACCGTCTTGACGCCTGCCCGAAGGGCGCCAATCAGTTTCTCCTTGATACCTCCGACGGCAGTGACTCGCCCGCGGAGGGATATCTCGCCCTGTCTCACGCGTTAGGCCGCCCATAATTATGGAATGCATGAATAGGACTGAGCAAAGGTGAAGGAAAGAAAAAAACAAGGGGGAAGTTACCGTCATGGCCATTGTAGGCGGCACCGGCTTGCCCGAGAAGAGGGAAATCAAGGCGATTGCCTGACCGATGCCACTGCTTGGGCCATCCTTAGGGATGGCTCCCGATGGACAGTGGACGTGGATGCTCCGGTTCTTCATGATGTCCGTGGCCGGCTCAGGGGCCAGCCCCAGCTCAAACGCGTGCGCCTTGACCCACGACAAGGCCACCTCGACGCTCTCCTTGAGCACGTCGCCCAGCTTGCCGGTGAGCTGCACCCTGCCGCTCCCGGGCATGTCCGCAACCTCGATGAAGAGGATGCTGCCGTTGCCTCCGGAGCTGTACGCCACCAGGCCCGTCACGATGCCGGGCCGGCTCGTCTTCTCGGCAATTTCCTCCTCAAACTTCTCGATGCCCAGGATGTTCTCGACATCCTCCACCGTCAGCTTTGGCCGGTATTCGCCCAGGCGACCACCGTCCTTGGCCTCAGCGAATTCAACGGCCTTCGCTCGACAGACGGACCCAATCTCACGTTCCAGGTTGCGAACCCCCGACTCACGGGTGTACGACTCGATGATTTTCGACACGACGTCCTGGTTAAATGCAACGTGGTCCTCGGCTAAGCCGTTGACGCGAATCTGCTTTGGTATCAAATGTTGCATTGCAATATGGCGCTTCTCCAGCGTCGTGTAGCCGGGGAGATAGATCATCTCCATGCGATCCAGCAGCGGCGGCGGAATCGTGTCTAGGCTGTTGGCCGTGGCGATGAAGAGGATCTTGGAGAGGTCAATGGGCATCCCAACGTAGTGGTCTTGGAACGAGTGGTTTTGCTCCGGGTCCAAGACTTCGAGCATGGCAGCCGACGGGTCGCCGTGGACGCTGGCAATCCCAATCTTGTCTATCTCGTCCAGCAAGAAAACAGGGTTCGCCACGCCCACCTTGCGCAAGCCCTGCACCACCAGGCCAGGCATCGCGGCCACGTACGTTCTCCGATGACCGCGAATCTCGGCCTCGTCTCTGACGCCGCCGAGGGATATGCGATGAAACTTACGACCCAAGGCGGTGGCGACCGATTTGGCCAGGCTTGTCTTTCCTACGCCTGGAGGTCCGACGAGGAGCATGATGGGAGACTTGTCGACCATGCGCCGTGACTTGAGGATCTGCAGTTTGGCGCCGTCGGCATCTGGCTCAATTGGCGGATTCGCTACCGGGTCCAGATGGGGCGGGAGGCCATCATCAGCCTCGGGCACGGGGGCCTCCGCTTCCGCCTTTCGAATCTGCTCATCGACCTCGTCGTTGATGGACTGCTTGAGCCTCAGGACGGCCAGGTACTCGATGAGCCGTTTCTTGACCTTGTCCAGGCCGTAGTGATCATCATCCAGCTGCTTGCGCGCACGAGTCAGGGTTTCAGGACCAAGTCGGTCGTCGGTCACGGCAGCCCAAGGAATCTCGGACAGAGTCTCGAGCCAGTTTCGCGTGACCTGATACTCCTGGTTCATGGGCATCATCTTTTGTAGACGTCGCAGCTCTCGGTCGACGGCCTTGGCCACATCGGGCGGCAGCTTTGCGGCCTGGAGCCTTTTCTTGAGCTCGTCGAGCTCGCTTGCCTCTTGGTCGTCACCTTGGTCGTTGCCCGAGGGCATCTGCCCCGTGGGAGGGACGAAGCTCATGCCCGGCATCGGGATGATTGAGTTTTGCTTCTTGGACTGGTTTTCGTTGAGGCGGTCGAGAATCTGGACCGGCACCGAGGTGAAAGTGGTGATTTTGAAGTTGTTCTTGATGCCGCCTAGTTGGCGCTCCAGCAGCTCGACCACCTTTGTAATCCTGACCTTGACGTCGAGTGCGGCCAAGACTCCCAGTTTCTCCTCGTGCGATGTCTCCACCAAGTTTGCCATAAAATCGGCCAGTAGACCGGCCTCGTTGATTTCCCTTCTGACGATGAGCAGTTCGAGGCGCTTGGTGAGGGTCGGGGAGAGGACGGGGCTGCCTCGTGTCCGGGGCAGCAGAGACGAGATCCTCAGTATGGTGACGAGCTCTCGTGACCGCAGCTTGAGCAGGCCAAAGAGATCCTGCAGCTGCTTATCGGTAACGTCAACTACGGGGCAGGCCCAGTTAGCATTTGCATGTTTTGGGAGAAGCGGAAGGGTTGGCTCATGGCGACGTACTTGCATCGGCAAAGTAGGTGACGGTGGCTTCGAAGAAGGGTCGTTCACGCGTAATGCTGTCGACCCTGACGCGAGACGTGCCCTCGACCCGAAGAGCAAACTCGCCGGAGCCGCGTCCGTCGATGCCGACGACCTTTGCGGCCACGCCAAAGCCAAACAGGTCGTCCCTGCCGGCCACTGCCGGGTTGACATCAGCGACCTGGGAGCTGTCCGGCTCCTCGCCATTGTTGACGAGGAGCTGGCCGGTGGGGCCGACCAAGGGGGACGAGATGGGGACGCAGGCGATGGGGACGCCGTCGATGCGGCCGTCGGGGCCCTTTGCGGCAGCTCGTTCGTAAACGTGGGCAAGGAGGGCCGGGATGTCGGGGCGGCCGGAGCTGACGGTGATGCGCTGCACGAGGCCGGGGAGGAGGACAGCTCCTCTGGCGAGGGGGATGAGCGGGAGGGTCGCGGTCTGTGGCCTGCCCATGGCTGGAGCTATCGATGCCGAGACGGTCAAGGAAGGGGAGAGACGGAGTCGCAGATTGACGCCGGCGTTGACGAGCGGCGCAGAGGAGAAGACGGCATACGGTCCGAGCAATCGAGAAGGCGTGCAGCGCTCGACGGTTCGGCTGGGCTGGGATGGATGGCTCAGGCGATGAAACGCCGTCGGTGATGGGTGTCAGATGTCAGATGTGTTTGGTTGGATGGAGGGCGGACGGGGGGCCCTGGGCAGAGCTGGCTGTTGCTGCTGGCCTGCCGAGGCTAACAAGGACAATATCAGTGGGTCGGTCAGTTGTCATCGCCGCCTTGGTTGCGAGGCGAGGTACTGCAGTACACCTTCACCTGTCACTATGTTTGCCAATCGGAGTGCCGTTTGCCATGGCAGAAGGGTTGAAAGTCACAGACGGTATCGATGCCTCGCTTCCAGTTGCAATATCCAGACAGACGCTGGCCAGTTTTTCAAAGAACGAGAGACGGTCAAGAGCGAGAAGTGAGAGCGAGAAGTGAGAGCGAGAGACAAGCCGCGCGCCGTTTATCGGCGTACCAAGTATTAGGTACGTACCTGGTATCGCCCCGGTTCCCTCACTGTATCCAGGGAAGCTTGATGCTGACTCATCGTGGAAGACGGATATGCCCCTTACCTGCGGTACTGCTCAGGTTAAGTTAGCGCGCATACGGATATGCAGGTATGCACCGAGGTACGTACAGTACATACCTTAGCTCGGGATACCAATTAAAGTCCCAGGCGCGCGCAAACGCGTCTCTGCATCGTGCATCGTGCAAAACCGCGCTGCCCAACAACCCACAATGTGTTCGTGAACCCCCTTATCCCTCTGTGCGCTTGGCAAGACTGACCCTGTGTCCTGTCTCACTTCCCTTGATGCAGCAGCCTATGCCGGATACACAAAGACGTCCTTTGGCGCGCAGGGTGGCGACGACTCGGGCGGCTTCTTCGCCGGCGGTTCCCAGCAGGGCAGCCAGGGCGGTGGCGGAGGAAAGGTGCGTTGCCCCAGGCGATTGCTCTCTTCTCGTGCTGACTCCCCGTCTAGTCCTACCAAGACGAGTCGCTGCGGCCCGTCACGATAAAACAGGTCCTCGAGGCCGAAGAGGCCTTTTCCGGCGCAGACTTCAAAATCGACGGCTCCCCCGTCACGCAAATCACCTTTGTCGGCCAGGTCCGCAGCGTAAACCCCCAGTCGACAAACATCACCTTCAAAATAGACGATGGCACCGGCCAGATCGAGGTCAAGAAGTGGATCGACGCCGACAAGCACGACGAGGCCGACCCGGGCTTCGACGTCGACTCGCACGTCCGCGTCTGGGGCCGCCTCAAGTCCTTCTCCAACAAGCGCCACGTCGGCGCCCATGTCATCCGGCCCGTCACCGACTACAACGAAGTCAACTACCACCTGCTCGAGGCCACCTACGTCCACCTCTTTTTCACCCGTGGGGCCCCCGCCGGCGCCGCCAACGCTGACGGCATGTTCGTCGATGGCGGCGCCGCCCACGGCCACGACGCGGCCGCCCAGATGCCCAGCAAGCTGTCCGGCTGCTCCGCCGCCGCCAAAAAGATGTTCAACTTTATGAACGACACCCCCGGTGGCAACGAGGGCATCCACCTCAATGTCATCACCAGCTCCGTCGGCATGACGGTGCGCGATGCCCTGACGGCGGCCGACGAGCTGCTGGGGCAGGGCCTGATATACACGACTGTCGACGACGAGACTTGGGCCATTCTCGAGTACTGAGGGGTGCACGGTAGGGCTTGAGTCTGCAGCATTTTACGGCTAACACGGGGGGTGGGGGGGGCTGGCATGGACGGCGCGCAAGGATCTTCTGTACAATGCATGGTTATTTGGCCCGGAATCACGGTGGCAAGGTCACAATGTTTTGAGAGCAATATCGCCGAAGGGCCTGCTCATGAGTAAATGGAACGTTTTATTTCCTTATCCAGACGGCATGCCCAAGGAGGACCTCAGCAGGAGATACGTGTCTTGACGATATGCGCAACTCCAAGACACTGGTGCAGCAACAAGCTCTGACAAGCTTCGTGCAGAACAATCTGTTCCCGGCCAGCCTCCAACAAACGCCATCGCGGTTGCTGCGCCTTTACCTGAGTCTAGGGCCCCCGATATCGACCACGTCAGGCTTTGACGCCTTCGTTGGACGACTCGGTCACGACGGCCTGGAGCGGGCCGGGCTGCGGCTCGCGGACCATGCAGTACAGGATGACGGGCGCGGGCCCGCGCTTGAGCTCGATGCGCGTCTTGAGCTCGAAACCAAAGCCGGCGTAGAAGCCGTTGTTCTCGCTCGCCGACGACTCGAGGTACATGGGGCGATTCTCAGCATCGGCCTGCTCGCGACATCAGCCAATGGACCAACTCAGATAACGGAGAGGAAAAGGAGGGGAAGGAGGCATGCCTTGTCTGCCATGGCGCGGATGAGGGCAGAGGCGTACCCCTTGCCCCTGGCACTGGGCTTGGTCCCGATGTAGCCCAGGTAGTATGTGTCGTTGTTGCGGGCGCCCATGGTCTCTTGACGCGTTTTGTGCAGGGCAGGGGCAAGTTCGTCGAAGAAGCGCTTGCGAGCCTCGGCCGGGAGCTGGTACAAGAGGCGCCAGGTGCCGCTACGGAGCGTGGGCCACCAGCCATCCATGAATTTGCCGGGAGGTGTCCTGCTCCAACCGACAAAGGGGAGCATTTTGTGTGTTTAGCTTCCGGGATCCAGGGCCAGGCCAGGGTCGCCCCTACGCTCACGGGATTCGAGATATCCAGGGCGGTTGGGGAGAGGAGCATCGACTCACCACAGGGCTACGGCATCATGGTCCGGGCCAATGGTCGTGACGAGGCCCGCGAGCCTGTACGCCGCAAACGTGCACGTCATGATGCGCAGGTGAAGCTTCCACGTCTGCTCGGTCGAGGAGGAGGAGGAGTCGCCGGCCCGGGCGAGATAGACACTCAGCGGGTCCTCGGCAAAGGCGTAGGCCAGAGAGAAGCTTGCCTCGCGGCGCTCGTCCATACCGACTTCACGGACGGACGCGGACCAGGCCGCGGGAACCAGGGAGCGACGGTCATCGGCCTCCATCATGGCTGACGGTGATGATGGAAATGGGTCGTGGTGGGCTTGGGCTGGGGGCTACTATGCGGCATCCGTGAGCTGCTGTGCGGGCTGCAGTACCAGCTCGTGTCGCCGTGTTGAAGCAATCGAAGCGTTTGCGGGAGACAATCGGGCCCCATGCGTGCCAAAGACTCTCGTCTCTTGTCAATCTTTCACGTTGGGGGAGAGAGGGCGGAGAGGGCGTGTTGGTTCGGCGCCGAGGCAACTCATGGAGCAGCGGGGGCAACGAGCATCCGTTTCACGAACTAGGCCACGGAAGGTCTTTGGGGTAGGACGGCTCAGTAATCACGGGCGGGCGAGAGGGTTGCGGCTGAAGCCAAGAGCGGTGATGGGCCGCCGTAGCCAAAGGGCTGAGCTGAGGTGAGCTGAATCTGTGCCCCGGATGCCGCAGCGACACACACGCACACGCATGGATCCCTCCATACATGCACACACACCCTCCCTCGGCTCCAATGGATGTCGGCGTAGTGGCGATAAGGCTCGACGAGGCGATCCAGTCAGCACCCAGAGCCGCCCTCGATCTACGGGTGTTTCCTTCTGCCGTTCATGCACCCATCTACGGATTCATCTGCACTAGCAGTCACGGACCGCTTACACGGCGTCGTGGTGATGTCAATGGGTGGACAGGGGGGGTCAGGTGGTTTGTCTGCGCATTAGCATCTCCATCAAGTGTTGGAGGCAGCCGAGACCGGATCGGGCCGTTCTGGGCCTCTCTGCGTCCAATCCTCGGATGCCCCGCCTTGCTGCCCCCGGCCCGGCGCAGGAGCCGAAGGCGCTCCCGGAGGGCCGTGCAAGACACAGATTATCTTGGCCAGAGGGCAGCGCCTGTGCATCATGACCTCTCAACCTGGTACACCGCGGGCGTCGGCTATTCGGATGCAGTCCCGTGCTTGGCATGGTCACGCGACTGGCTGGCTCGCAACTGACTGGCTGGCTCGCAACTGAGACACGGCGGAGCTGTAAGGTTATGTACCGTACCAAGTAATTATCATTCAGATCGTCCACCTAGTTACGAGCCACGGCAGTCTGGCCCAGCAAGCCAAGCAGCCAAGGCATGGATGGGGCGTCATGACAAGCATGCGTGACATGGTACAGGCTCAACCTCTCGCTCCATGCCAGACCAGGTCAACCCTCTCCAACCCCACGCCCCCGTGCCCTGCGCCTCTCCGTCTTGAGCGGCATTGTTACATGCGCCGAATCTCCTGCTCGTCGGTGTAGCCTTTGAGGTCCGAGTCGAGGTTTTCCCACCACTCAAACAACAGGCTGTCGGCGAGAAGCTTGAACCAGGGCGTCAGGATCAGGGACGGGTCCTGGAGCATCTGCTTGACCTTGTCGGGGGTGACGTATTGCGTGTTCTGGACCTCGTTTTCGTTGATGTCGAGGTCGACCTTGGCCTTTATGAAGAGGACGTAGTCGACTGCGGTTCCCCAACGTCAGATGCGGACGGTGCAACAACGTCGTTCATCACTCACTCTCATGCTCCCCCCACTTCGCATCGCTGGCCGACTTGTAGTGGATGCGCGTCAGGAAGCGGAACTTTTCCAGCGGCACCTGCTCCTTCTTGATGCCCAGCTCGTGGTTGAGCTTGCGCTGGGCGGCGCGCTTGGCCCCCTCGACCGAGTCGGCCAGCTTGGAGCCCGTCTCGCCCGACACGGCCAGCGGGTGCGAGCAGCAGCTGTTTGTCCAGGCGTCGGGAAAGGTGATTTTGCTCGAGGCGCGCTGCTGGAGGAGCAGCTCGTTGTTCTCGTTGAAGAGGAAGACGGAAAAGGCGCGGTGGAGGAGCCCCTTGTCGATGTTGGTCATGAGGTGGCCTGCTCAGGGGGTCAGCGGGCGCTTGCACCGCAAACAGGTCGGGGGCGTGTCGGGCGCACATATTTTCTTGCTCGCCTTGCCGATGGGCATGTCGTTTTCGTCGAGCACGATGCACATCTCGTCCATCAGCCGGATCTGCTCCTCGTCGTGGCCCGACAGCGCGTCCGAGGTCGAGTCGATGTCGGGGAACAGACGAAGCATGGCGTCGGCCGTGATGGGCTGCGCCTCCGAGACGCCCGTCGCCGTCGTTGTCGTCGTCGTGGTAGTCGACATGATGGTGGGCAGAAGCCGCAAAGGCCAAGGTGGTTGTCGAATCTGTGCGGGGGAGGGTGTTGCTGCGATCTAGCACAGAGAGAGAGAGGGTGGTGGGGGCGACAGCAAACCATCTACATGTATGACTACTAGCAACGTCTCGTCTACGCGCCTCCATATCTGGACAGGGCGTACATGTCATCAAGTCAAGTTGGCAGCGGTCCATCAGGCCATGACCTCGGCTTCTCTTACGTCAGAATCCAATGAATGCCATGACCGAGGTCCTGTCGTGCGATTCCACGTCGCGGCCCCATGTAATTACTCCGTATTGGCAAGCTTTATAGGGGGAATTGGCCGTTGCCTGATTGGCCGCTTCTCCAAAGACTCTGGCCGCACATTATTGGCCGGCTTCAACAGACAAGATGGTGCCGCTGGCTGACTCAGCGGACGCGTCTGCGTACCTACCGATGCTACCGTAGGTAATTACTCCGTACTTCACTGCGAGCTCAGCCACTTCCCGTCAGCGCCACTCTTGCAAGGTACCTCCTGTCCGGGGCTGGGGAGCTTGGTGATGGCACTGCCTGCTGCCAACTAACATCACCGCCCTCGCTGCCCTCGTGCCTTTTGCGCGCGTCCCTCGACCGAGCCGAGCCCTTTCCCTCCTGCGATTCGTCAAGGAGACGCCCGCGAACCGAACCCAAGGCACTCGGTCCGCCCAGCTCCACCGCCCAGCGCCAGCGAGGTCGCCGCGGCCGACCCTCCCGCAGCCATGCCCCCCCCCAAGATCGAGTCCAAGGAGATCGAGACGTACTGGAACATCTTCGCCGATCGCACTGGCGGCTCCCAGTTCCTGACCGGCGAGCAGGCCGCGCCGGTGCTCAAGAACAGCGGCCTGCGCGACGACCAGCTGGAGCGCGTGTGGGACCTGGCCGACGTGGACAACGATGGCAACCTGGACTTTGAGGAGTTTTGCGTCGCCATGCGCCTCATCTTTGACGTCTTGAACGGAGTATGCCTCGACGCATGATATGCCTCTTCTGCCTGCGCCCCAAGCTTATTGGATAATCTGTCCAGGAATACGCCGACGTGCCCAAGACGCTGCCAGACTGGCTGGTCCCCGAGTCCAAGGCCCATCTGGTGCAGGCCACCCGGGCCATCACGGGCAAGCAGCCGCAGTTTGAGCACGTCGACGACGACTCGGACGACCAGGGCCTCAGAGACGGCTTCGATTGGTACATGGCGCCGCATGACAAGGCCAAGTACGAGCAAATCTATCAGGAGAACCGGGACATGCGGGGCGAGGTGTCATGTTGGTCTTCCCATCGTCGTCCCCCATGGAGGGGGGGTGCGCACACGCTGACCCGGCCCAGTCAATGCTCTCGGGGACTTGTACGAGTCGCTCGACGTCCCCGACACCGACCTTCGCTCGGCGTGGAACCTGGTCAACCCGTCGGCCGGATCTACAATCAACAAGGACGCTTGCCTGGCATTTCTTCACATCCTCAATAACAGACACGAGGGCGTCCGCATCCCGCGCACGGTACCCGCATCCCTACGGTCGAGCTTCGAGCGAAACCAGATAGACTATCAACTCGACAACCAACAAACGGGCGCGGGCTCGCGCTGGGCCGCCAAGGCCGACGACTCCACCCTCACAGGCCGCAAGACCAAGTTTGGCGATCAGTACCTCACGCGACTCGGCCGGAGCGGCTTCAAGGCGACGGGCACCGATTTCTCGACGGAGAAGACGGAGGACTGGGAGGAGGTGCGGCTGAAGCGCCAGCTGGCCGACCTGGAGGGCAAGATTCAAAAGGTGGAAGACATGGCCGAGCGGCGCAAAGGCGGCAAGCGGGACTCCAAGCCTGCCCTCGTCAAGAAGGAGCTCGACCAGCTGCTAGACTTTAAGCGCGGACAGCTGAGAGAGCTGGAGGAGGGCTCGGGCCGCAGCGCCGCCGGAGGGAGTCTGAAGAGCATATCCGACGACCTGCAGACGGTCCGCGAGCAGGTCGAGGGGCTGGAGAATCATCTGAAAACAAGAGGGCTGGTGCTGAGCGACCTGCAGAGGCAAATTGACGCCGAAAAGGCAGGGTGAAGGCAGACGGAGTGGCACGGGGTAGGGACCAGGTGAGAAGTTCAGTTCCAGCGGGTATCTCCATGGTGTGACTTTCTTGCCCACCAATACTCTTGGGCGCGATGTAGGAAGCAGGCAAATGTAGGCTGTATGTACAACCCAGATCAAGCTCGTCGATATGTACGATCGATTCTCCTTGCGCAGCCATTGTCCCCAACTCGCATCAGAACATGGTGCCGTCGGCGTACTTGGACGTCCTCTCCATGCCCAAGGTGCGGCCTTTGACGGCCCATACGAAGAAGGAGGGGATAGGGATGGGCCCGAGCCGACCGGCTCCGCGGCCGCGGCCTATGGAGCAGATGAAGACGTCGATAGGCGGGCCTTTGACGACGGCTTGGTTCTTGCCTTGCAGCACCAGGTCAATGTTCTTGGCAACTCCGGCCGCCTGGTGCAGGAGAAGCAGATGGTGGTCAGCCTGGGCGGAGATGGAGATGGAGAGTGGGCCGACGAACCTGGGCATCGGTGATGAGGAAGCCGGCGCGCGGCTTGGAGACGACGTCGCCCACGGCCCACATGTCGGGCGCGGCGCGGACACGCATGTAGTCGTCGACATGGACGTAGCCCCTGTCCGTCAGCAGGTCCTTGGGCAAGAAACCGGAGTTGGGGGTGAGGCCGGTGGTGGGGAGGTAGAGGTCGGTGAGCATCTCGGAGCCGTCGGACAGGGAGACCTTGGTCTTGCCGCCACCAGGGCCGGCGTCGTCGACAGCGCCCTTGGCATTGTTGCGGACGTCGACGCCGATGCGCCGCAGCTCGCGCTCGACGGCGCCGGCCGAGGGGTCGCCGCCGACGAGCTGGGCGCCGGCGTTGAGCAGGACGACCGTCTTGGCGGGGAAGGCGTCCTTGATCTCGGCGGCGACCTCGACGCCCGTGGGGCCGCCGCCGGCGACGACGACGTGCTCGGCAGCGCGGATGCGGGCGGCGGTGCCGTGCAGGCTGGCCAGGCAGTCCTCGTAGGAGCCGGCGGCCTTCCAGGGCATGTGGGCGTCGGCGGCGTCGGCGCCGGTGGCCACGACGAGGTAGTCGTACGCCACGGTCCTTTTCTGATCGGCTTGGCTACCGTCGCCGTCGCCGCCGCCGGCTGCTTCTGCTGCTGCCACCGAGATGCGGACCGTCTTGCTCGCCGAGTCGACGCCCGTGGCGGCGCCGAGGACGAACTCGACGCTGCCGGACGGGTACTGGCTCAGGCCGGGCTCGATGGGCTGCAGCAGGTCCGCGTCCTTGACGAGGCCGGGGATGACGGCGCGCACCGAGGCCAGATTCCAGTAGAAATGGCTGTTCTGGGCGAGGGCCGGCGTGTGTAAGTCGGGAGGAGCCGTCGCGGGGCATGATGAGACGATGCCGGGGGTGGAGGACCAAGTATTGCGGGGGGGGCGTTGCATCAGCTCACCTTGGAGACCAGGATGACTCGGAGGTCGTCCTCGCGGGGCCGCGTGTGCTTGAGCAGGCGATGGGCAACGGCCAGGCCGCCCAGCGAGCCGCCGAGGATAACGACCGTCTTGGCCATGCGGTGCTTTCTTTTCTGTCTTTTCTGCTCTCCCTTATGTGAAGCTCTTGAGCAGTTTCTGAACGGTGGCTCGACGTGCGCAGGTTTACTCAATGGGGACGGGCGGCTGAAGGGTCTCGGCCGCAGAGGATGAAAAGGGAGGTTTGTCAAACAAGGGAGACGAGGTCGATGACGATGGCCGAGACCCGCCAAGGTACCTCGCCAGCTGCGGCTTATCTCGCCGCTCACCGACATCGCGGATCGAGCTACGGATGCACCTCATGCTTCCATCTTCCCCTCCTTCTCTTCTTTGATTGCTGGTTTTTACCATCTTGGCCAAGCCATGCCGTAAACACGCCGTCACCTCGCACTGAATCGACCTCGGTCAGCACGCACGCCAGCGTCGCGCTCCCGGCAAGACTACCATTAAATACTCTGTTTGTACTTTCATGCTATACAGCAGGTGTATGCCAGCGCAACTATCGGCCCATGATGCGTTTCCAACAAGCTTCGTTCATCCTTTCTCCAGCTTGAAAGTCCGAGGGCTTCAACGGCAGCTTCCTTCTTACAGCGCCTTAGAGGCATCGTCTCCGCAAGCTCGTCAGAGTCGGTCCCAGGTACTCCATACCTCATCCGGTCCACACCGACGGCGCTAGGCGACGGTACTCGCTACCTCCGCGGGCAGATGAATCGATCATTCTAGCACGCCGTGCTGCCCCGCCATTGCCGAGAAATCGCATGACGTGAGGAGATACCTCGGGCTACAGTGCACTTGCCGCCGCAGCCAGCTGTACCTCCCGTCCCCTCGCCTTTTCCCCCTCCCCCGCTCTCTCAACGACAAAGCACAGACGGCACCACCAGTGACGACGGCAAGCTCCCTCTCAACAACTTCTCTTCATAGACCCTCTCCTCTGTCTCCTCCATCTGCTTCATCCCCTTCCCTTCATCCCTCTCTCCAAACCTTCCCCCTCCCACATTCGCCCGCCATGCCTCTGAGCCCAGAATTCGAAAAGGCCGTCGTCGACTCCAAGAAGCTCACCGGCAAGCCCAGCAACGACGAGCTGCTCGACCTCTACGGTACAGGCTCACTTCTCCCCTCTCTTTCCCACATCTCCCCCGCCGTGTCTCCTCCGTAGCTAACCTGTTCTTCCTCCGTCGCCAGCCCTTTACAAGATTGCCAATGGCGAGGACATTGCCAAGGCCCCCGCGCCCGGCATGTTCGACATGAAGGTAAGCACTATCCCATCCCCCCCTACGGAACCTCGGCCGTGACAGACTCGACGTCCTAACCGCCTTACAGGGCAAGGCCAAGAAGAACGCGTGGCAGAAGCTCCTCGACGAGGGTGTTACCCCAGACCAGGCCCAGGTCAAATATGTCGCCCTCGTCGAGGATCTGAAGACGAAGCACGGCTACGACGCGGACAAGGTGCCCGAGGCTGTCGGCAGCTCTTGAAGATGGATAGACGGCTAAGAAAGCATCATAAGCGGCCAGGGTGATTAGGGTGACGAGAAGAAGGAGAGCATGGCCATGTCTGTACATGGGAACTATGGCATGCCAAGAGGTTGCAACATCTGTATTGTTCACGTGTGTGCGGCTGCACCGCTGTACGTGGTAATGGTGGTTGTCTCGCGAAAACTGTCTGCTAGATCACCGGCTTTGTTACCATCCAAAGACACCGTATCGGCTACTTTTTGCCTTGTTTACGTGCACCATGGAGTTTCTCGAGTTTTCCGGTGTTTCCCAGGATTACATGCGAGTCCTATGCCTGGGTTAGCTAAAGGCCCATGGTCTGTCCATTCATGTCCAAACAAGCCTCATCTTTCCTACCCCAGATGACGCAGTACCCACTCCCCATTCGGCCGAGGCAACGTTCTCGACGCCTGGGCCGCGAGCTGTCCATCAACCTTAACGGTTTCTCCTCACCGCCTCCGGCCCTCGAGGCGCGGGAGCGGCCGAGAGCATTCCAGTCATCTTCCGCACGACTGTCCGAGATATCAACTGGATGAATACCATCCGGCAGGACCATACGAACAAAGAACTCGACCCGACGGCGCGAAACAATGGAAATATGTTGCAGGGCGATTCCGAGTTGCTATTATGTTGACCGTAGCCACTAGAGAAAATACGTACATGCGATGCCGGACTCGAGGACATTGGTCCAATATCCAACCCCGACATCACGTCGAATGTAAAAAGACAAATACAAGGTTGGGGATATGACGTGTAAGGGCGGATAATGTACTCGGTACGGCTCCGAAACATTGCGAATCCCGTCGCCTCCAGCAAGCACCAAACCTAACTGCCATGGCCGTCTCTTCGGCAACCGAAGCGGCCCGTCGCAAAGGGGGAATCAGCTTGAAAGGAAAAAAGCGGAGAAATCAAGGACAAAATTAAAGAGAAAAGGTAAGCTGCAGGCTCAACAGCAAGCAACTCGGAACAAGGCAACACCAAGCCCGTGTGCTCTGTCGTGAAAAACTCGTCGTAAACTCGTGGTGCGCTTGTGCTTGTTGGTCGTTGTGGACTTGACGCACTCAAGCGCCCCCATTCGTCATCGGAGCTTGTATATAGTCGCCCCAGGCCATATCGACTCACATGACGGCAACGACGCCGGCGAGCACGAGCAGCAGGGAGCTGACACCCGAGGTGGCGGCCCCGCTGACCGTGATATTGGAAGGAGGTGGCACCCGAGAGGGGACGTAGGCGGGCTGAGTGGGCCCGACGTTGGCGGCGGTGCTGTTGACAAGAACCCGGACGGCGCCGGTGGAGAAGTCGGCCGATTTCTGCGCCGCATACGTGGTCGAGTCGGCTTGAGAGGTAACAAGAGACGTTGTCGAGGTCGTGGTGGCGGGCGTGCTCGAGGCGGGGGGAGGAGAGGAAGAAGAGGACGTCGAAGGAGGAGCTGCTGTCGTCGAGGTAGAGGATGGCTTAGCCAGTTGCAGGCGGCCCTTGACGCCAAATTTGGCGGCACAATCCTCGAGGCCCATGCCATCGGGGCAGCACCAGTTGTTCTTGTCGGGGTCGTTGGTGCAGAAGAAGCCCTTTTGGCACGAGTCTGGTTACCAAAGAGAGTCAGCAACAAGGCGCGCCAGTGAGCAGGGCAGGACGTACTGCCAGAGCCGTCCATGCAGCAGGACTCGCCGGCGGCGGGTCTGAAGCAGTGCGTCTCGTTGGCCTTGTTGGAGGAGCACTGGTCGTAGTCGGCTCCGCAGACCTCGGCGCAGGTGTTGCCGGGAAGTGTGCAGACCTTGGGATTACACTGGTAGCCGATGGTGTCGCGGCGAGCGAGGCCCATACCGGGGGCCTCCGCCATGTAGAAGGATCCGAAAGAGGCGCTGGCGGCGCAGGCCAGGACGGCCATTGCGGCGATGGCGTGGAGATGCATCTCTTTGCTTGGTTGCGGGATCGGGTCGGTCGGTCGAGGATTAAACGTGCTCGAAGGCGTGTTGGAGAGTTGCGAGGTGCAGTGAATGCGAGGAGAGACGAGGGCAAAGGAGTGGAACGAGTATGTAGAATACTCTGAGCGAGAGGAGGCGACCAAGAGGCCAACAGGCGGCAACAGTTGTTGGAGGGAAAGGAGGAAAAACGAGAGCGGTGGTGTCGGTCTGGGCGGCAATGAAGGCGCGCCAAGTCCTTTTAATTTCCGGCTTGCGAGAGCATCCTGAGCTGGGACGATTCCCCACACCACCTTCCTTCTTGGAGTCTCACTTTCCCCTGCTCTCGACCAGTGTATCCCGGTACGTACTTATCTCATTGTACAGAGTACAGAGTACCCACGGGCCATTAAATTAGATGAGACTCACTAAGAACAGCCGCGGCAAGTCCCGCCCGGCGTGTTGGCTGGCTGGCGTCCTGCGAAATGTGCAATTCCTCGCGCGCCTTTGTTATCCACGCATGCCACGGCCCCCATCCAGGCACCCACCTGCACATTCTTGCGCACACTGAGGCTTTGCTGCTGCAGCTCTTTGTCTACAGCGATTAGTCGGGCCTGTAATGTGGAAGCGGCCTGGTTGGTCAGTTCGTCGATCAGCAGGGCGGGGACCCCACCTCGCAAAATGAGGGCACCCCGATCCTCCTACCAGGCGGCGGCCCCGAGTGACTAGACTAGCCCTAGGTAGTTGCGGTCAGCTCACATATAATAAGATAAAGATACCAGAAAGTCACTAAGCGTCTATCCGTATAGTCGGCTGAGTTACTACGGCTTACAGTACATGGGGCGGGGCAAGGTCGGCTTGTCCACGCACGGAGTATCTCGCCCAGGTGACGACATCCTACAGGCGGGTCCCCACGCGGCAAAACGCAGGTACACGCCCCTGTGCGCCCGCTAATCTTACTGCAGAGGGGACTTTGAGGCGGCAAGCCTCAGAGAGCATGCACAACCCACCTGATCTGATGTATCGAGTACCTGGGTGCTTGCAGTTCCTGTCCGCCCCCAACCGCAGCAGCTCAAGATGGTCCTCAATCGCATCCCCGTGATGCATGGCATGCCGCGATCGATTACATTTGCATCATGAAGAGGCATGCGCGCGTGAGAGGCATGAAATGGTAGCGCAATGCAGCGGCCAACGCGCTTTGTCCTATGCCGCGTCCTCTCTTGCACCAAAGCGAAGGGCCCGTCGTACCTGATACAGTAAGGTACCGTTCCTCGCACCTGGACGGGTACGCGCAGGTACCAGGGCATTCTGCGGCGAGAGCGTGAAACGACGCGGGCAAAGAGTACCGGCTCTGTTGTACCACCGCGCTCCATTTCGATCAGCGCTTCTTTTTTTTTCCTTTTTTTTCTTCTCACTTGCGTCGACCTCTGGGCTTCTTCATTGCGATCATCCTCCTATTCATGACCGTCCTATTCGTCTCGTCTTCTCCTCTTCCACTCTCTACCGTACTGCAACAGGCACTCTCTGCTCTCCCTCCTTTGCTTGGCCAAGCCGGGCGTCATTTCCCAACTGCATGCAACACCAACGACTCCCCCGCGAATCAAGCAGCACGATTAAAGGAGATGAAACGGGGCCCCCGGCAACCAGCCAGCCAACCGACGTCTCAACGGCCAGTCCCCCTCCATGTACGTCTCCGAACCAACCAGAGTGCTTAGCCAAAGAGCCAATCTTTCTCCGGGGCTCGCTTCGGGCGACAGATCAAGATGGTTTGGCCCATCTCGCCCAACAGAATGCAAAAGCCTACCAGCCAGGCACGCGCGACGCTCGTTATTCTCGGCGACAAGCCAGTCTCCGTTGTTATAGGCGCGCGCCTACAGTAGACCTGCGTCCACAGCCCTCGCTCGTCTCCGGCTGCTCTCGAACCAGGCAGCCCCTCACCCATCCATCGACCACCCCTCCCTATCCTATCGCCCCCTTGTCTCCTTCCTTCAGCCTCCAGGGAGGGTGCGCCTGTTTCGTCTCGCCATGCTTTCTTTTGCGAATTTCCCAGAGGCCGCAGTTGCCACGCGAATCCGTAGCGTCGCCAGCAATCGACGCCCGAAGGATGAGCAAGAGAGAGATTGCATGCTACCAAGTACCGTATGTTCAACATGAAATGATGACCCAAAAGGCATTGTTCCGTGGTGACGTTGCCTGGCGCGAACAATGCAACGAATGTCTCGGTCGGCAAGACAATGGCTTGATTGTGCTTGCTCGACAGCAATGACCTGCAAGACAAAACGCAATTCCCATGGCTTGCGAAAAGTATGCCGCAGCCAACGGTGCCACTGGCCATGAACGTTGCCTCGCTTGTTTATCTGGATACGAATATACCGTACGCTTCAAACAGCGTGGAAGCGTCTTTGGCGGCGACGTGCAACTCCAGCCTTTCATCGTATCCGCAACGAGGGATGTACTGCCAGTCTGTCGCATGCCCTTGATTTTCCAATGGCTCCCTGCGCCGGCTCTGGTTGACTTATTTTTGGATGACTGTCTCTTCCCTCCCTTGGTCATCACATGCTCCATCGTCTGCCCTCGCCTCAGGCCGCGCCAGCAAGCTCATCCCCGAGTGCAGCGGCCTGCGGTGATCAGGGTAGCCGACGGCCGAGGCCTTCCAGACACAAAGTCAGTCATCGTCAAACAAACCTGCCCCCTTGGATCCTATCCGCATGAGTGGAAAGGATTACGACCCTGTCTGTCGCTCGTCATCCAGTCTCCCCAGATGGCATGCTGCCATATCGAACCACCGACCCGGGAAATATACAGTCTGAAAAGACGCCCTCTCTCCCTGCCGAAGCAGCCGTTTGTACCAGCTGTTTGTCGCCTCAGGTAACGTACACCTACCTGCCCCGAGTTCTCGAATATTTGTACAAGTCGCCGTGCAGCTCTCCCGAGTCGTCACTCACTCGCCCTCGTCGCCGCCCATCTTGGCGATCCACTTGTTCATATGCGAGTACTTGTCCTCAAATGTTCTCTGCAGCTTCTCCCCGGCCGCCCACATGGGGTCTCCCTTTGCCCAGTAGGTGAAGCAGTTGTCGAAGATCTGGCGCATGTCGGCCACGAACTCATCCTCGTGGGTGTAGTCGCGCCGGTCCATCTTGGCCTTGATGGTGTTGAGGTCCATGGGCCGCTTGACCTTGTCCAGGTAGTCGGGCACGCCGTCTTCCACTGGATCGACGGGCTCCTTGAATGGCCCTACCAGCCGAGTCCAGAAGCCTGGGCGCAGCATATTAATTGGTGCTGACGCAGGGACAAGGACGGGCTGCGCGCTTACCTGGCCCCGAGAGCATCCTATTCAAGAGGTCCGCACAAAACTCCATCTTCTGGGCCGTGGTAAAGTTTCGGCTTTCCAGATAGGCGGCGCTGGATCGTCGCTTCTGCGGCTTGGGGAGCGGCGTGCGGCTCGGTTTGCGGCCAAGTGTCGGATCCTGGGACCCAACGGCCACGCCAGGGGTGCCGCTCGGCCGTCGGCTCTTCTTGATGTTGTTGAGGGCGTCATCATCGCTGGCGTCGTCAAGGTAGTGGACGTTCTTGCGCGGCGGCAGGGTCGATGCCGGCGCGATGGAAGGAGACTCGGCGGGCGGGTGGGCGACCGGGGACATGTCAAAGGAGCTCATAGTGACGACAAGCTCGCTCAAGACCTCTTGTGGCAGGGACTTTGCGAACTCGGCCCTGGCGTCGGACGATCGCATGTACTCGGCGGCCCACGACAACAGCAGCAGGCGGATGGAGGAGCCCTCGGGGGTGTCACGCCAGACCTGGATGAGGAGCGGGGTGGCGGGGATCCTCTCGGTGAGGCGGCGGCAGTCGGTCATGGCCTCGAGCGTCTTGTCGCAGAGGCCGCCGATGCCGAGCTTGTGGCCGAGATTCCAGAGGCTGACGAGAGACTCGTACGAGGGCACGCGGGCCTCGTCGACGAGCAGGACGCCCGTGTAGAGAAAGTTTTGGGCCAGGCCAAAGACGTCTGCGGTGAAGTCGGGCAGCCTGACCATGTTCTCGATGGTGTCGTCGGCGCCCTTTTCGGCGAAGTGGCTGCGGTAGTGGTCTGAGCGGTGGCACAGGAAATCCTTTTGGAGGCCAAAGGGCTGTTCGTCGGGCCCGACCAAGATGATGACGAAGATGGGATGGGGCTGCCTGTTGGACGTGTCAGCCTCGGAAAGCGGCTTGATGGGGATGGCGGGCGTATATCTCACAGCCACGAGAAGCTGGGCTTTTCAGCCACCGTCGTCGTCGGTGCCGCAGGCGTTGGTGCATCCGCGATACCGTTGGCGGGTGCGTGGGCAGCCATTGTGCTCATGTCTGCTGATCCGTCAGCCTTGGCCCTCCCGAAAGACCTGAGATTCCTCTCCCCTGCCCTTTCTCCCCTGGAGTCTTTATATGGAGAAGGGCGGCAGTGAACACAGCGGTATGGAAACAGCCGTGATGAGAGCATCGTTGGCCTGCTCCGGCAGACAAGTCGTACAGGGCACGACAGTGACGAGGAAAACGACAGTACGAGCCATGGTAAGACCACGCATGATGGGAGGCAACGGAGTGCAGCAGGAAGTCGGGCTTACTCGAACCATGTGTCTTGAAGCTCTTATCCCGCCCTCCCCCCTTCAGGCTCTTGCTCACTGCCTCGGCCCGCCTGATGGATGACGAGAAGCCGGAGTCGATGTTTGCCCCGCTGACTTGGAACAACAAGACAGGATTCACTGCGAGAAGCACAGGCGCGATGGCCCGGGTGCGCCAGAAGCAGAGAGCTGAGCTTCGTCGTTGCGGTTGGCAGACAGCAGGTGCTCGGTGAGTGAGAGGGTCAAGGCTCTGACTCCTGATTACGTGATGCGCGGCCGCAGACGCCCGAGCATCAACCTCGGAATATCTGGCCTCGGTTCATCGCCGCAACCAAGTTGGCGAGTGCTCTTGTGGTAAATCTTGAATACCCTCACCATGCCAGTAGGATGGATCATGATGTGGAAAACGCCTCGCCGAAAGCCGTCAGTCCAGGCACTTGAGCTATATATTGTGTACAGTACATATTATGCGAAGTATATACCTTACTATACCTGGGCAAGCCTTCGCCTCCTCTCTGAGCGAGCTACCCTAGAGGCACGTGTCTGCTCCGGCCGACGTCTGGCAATGCCCTCTTTACCGCCCGGAGCCTCGACGGAATCTACAGTGCGGTTTTCCATCGGCAGTAGATGAGAGGCACCGACTTGCTTGGCCCCCTTGACGACTCCTGACGATGGCTCGCGCTACAACATGGCAGGCACGGGGCCGTCCATCCCTGGACCCAGTAACGGAGCTGCTCTCTGCTATTTCCTCCTCCAATCAGATCAGCCATCACACGCTGCCTCGACGCACGCCGCCTCTCCTCCCTACCGGCCGTAACCGCATCGCCAACGGCTTACCAGAACTCGGCCGGAGCCCAGCCCGACCAAGAGAGGACGGTGGTACGTAAAGGGCCATGCAACGTCTGGCCCACTGCTGTGCGCCTTCTCCTGTTCACCTCGCCCCCTTTTACCTTGCCGTGCAACGTGTGCCCGACAAAAGGCTCAGGCCCCCCCTCCTCTGTGACCTGACGACAGCCGACCTGTTCCTGAGACAATGCGGCGGGGTTCAGCGACCCGGGGGTGCGCAGGAGTCGGCGGAGAGAAGAGGGTATAGGTGGGTACGCAAAGGACGTGGCGGCACAGACAGGCGTAATATATATATATATGTATATATATACATATATATATGCAAAGTACTGTATATACATAGCATATTACAAAACATGCATCCGGCCTCCGCGCGGACAGCGTCGAACCACCTACCCCACGGGGCAAGGCCGCAACCATGACGTGCCGAGGCCGGGTAGCGGGCGCTGCAACTGGCCTTCGTCGGCCGAGCCGGTAGGCGGTAAGGATCATGAGATGGCATGGTGACGGCGCATGCCGAGCAGGGGTACGGGCTGCATTCTATATACTGTAGGGATGGGCGTGTGTTTGTACGTCTCTCCATATGTACGTGTGGCCCGATGATGCCTCGCTCGGTCTAGGGGCATCAGCTGTTTTGGGGGGGCATTGCTTGGTCGAATGATTCCGACGAGGCGAAAAAGCAAAGTGTCCCGACGAGAAGAGTGGCCAGAACAAGAAGGACGACAACATGTTGGACTATTTGCGGATGATACATGAGGCAGTCGGTTGGGCTCGATGACGATGTCTCTTACCGACTTTGCTACTTCATATATCCACTCGGTACACAGACACACACACAGAGAGAGGGAGACGCTCAAACACATATCGCATGGACTCACACGCAAAGGCAGGCAATGAAGCATCCATCGCACGCGCACGCGGCTGGCGGACGCATTCCGGCCCCCCTTCGCGGGCCTACAAACGGTGCCTAGGCGAGGCACGGCAAAGGCGACCAAGAGAGACAGGAATGGCTCTGAAAGCGGCAGATGCATGCCGTAGCTTGCACATTGGCACCGATACAGGGAGAGGGCGGTGCAGCAAGCAGGCAGCGTTGACGTGCGTCCGACGCACATCACCGCTAAGCTTTCCGTTTGGTCTTGTTGTTTTCACGGCGACGTCGTCTTAGCTTTCTTGCTTTCCTTCTGCTGCCCGGCGTTGCCCTGCCGAGCGAGTCCTGGCTTGTCTTTGCTTTTCCTTCCCCCCTCCAGCCGCCCCGGGGGTGATGGAGTGAGCGGCTCCAAGAAGCCAAGCTCGTGATGACGATGACGATGACGACAATGCCCCAACGATGGGGGCTGACTTGCGTGACTCGCCAGACAGCCTTTTGCTCAGGAGGACAAGCAAGACATTGATGGAGAAGTAAGTTAGTCTCTTATTCCTTCGTGTCAGCGCTGGTGCTAGCCACGTCTCTTAGTACTGCGCATACAATCGAGCACGAGGTTGCCGAGAGTTCGTCCACGTTTTGTCAGTGCGAGGTTGTTTTCAAGCATGTATCATCAGCAAGGCAAAAGGCTAGCTCACTCGAGGCAGCAGCAGCAGCCCGAGGATCCGTCTCCCAGCAGACCTGGGGCTTTGTCATAGTCTCCACGAGTAATACTCAGCAAGTGTATACAGACCGGCACACACAAACTCGCAGGCTGCATGGCAACGGCCCGGGGCTGCTTCCCCCGTCAAACGCCGCGGGGATTGAGCAAGTTGGCCTCGAACCTTCTTTCTCTCCCTCCCCAACTTACGTACCCCCCGGGATCGGAGCCGGGCCGCGCGTCAGGATTGCGGGCTGGGGAATAAGGAACAGAAAGGAGGGGTTGGATGAAGGGGCCGGAAGGGGGCGGGTGGGGGCACATACATGACAAGAGGGAGGAAGGGGGGGATTCGCCAAGCTTCACGACATCTCCGCGGTTCAGTATCACAGCTTATTATACCCAAGGAGGAGGGAGACGGAGAGCAGCATGGGTGTGTACATTGGCATGGAATGGCGATGCAGAGAGGGCCAGAGATACGTAATACACAGAGTTCATCTTGCCCAACCGACGAATCCCGACTCCCGCCCGAGCCTCGGACTTTTACTACCAACACACCCCTGGCCGTCGGCATCTAGAAGCCTCAGTGATCGACCCGGCTTCTCTTCCTTCCTTTTCCATTCACGTGAAGAGGCGTCCGAGATGGCCGGTTCCCCCGTCCCGACCCCTTTACAAGCCCGAGCCCCCCAACTAGCCGAGAAACATGGTAAAAATGTGCCCTAAATGGGGGGACACGGGGCACCCGGGGCAGAAGGCGGGGGAGGGTTGGCTTTGGCAGTTGTCCTCACGACCGCAAGAGACAATCGAAATCTATCTTTGTCATGCCCATGAACGCACAGCGGAGGCACTTGTTTCCCATCCCCTACTAGCATAGACAACAAGCGGTCTCTCCCCTGGCTCCCAGCAACAGGGAAGCTAGGGGGCTGCACACACCCTCTCCTCATCCCTCCGCCGGAGCCCGGTGCTCAAGCCATGGGGGACCTTGCTTTTCCAAGAACACCACCACACGACAACGCACTGATAAAAATAAAGAGCTGGGAGGAAAGAAGGAAGTGAAGGGAGAAAGAATAACAACAGACACCGCGCCGGTGTGCCAAGTAAGCCAGCTACTGTAACCCCGTCACTCGCTCGCCATCTCGCTGCCCCGAGAGGGGTCTCCCGAGGCGATGCAGGGACATGCTCATCTGCACACGTCGGCAAAGCTTGGTGTCCTGCGGGATAGGGTAGGTCTTCAGGCTCGCTCCGCAAGGGGGACCACGCCTTGCACTCGAGCCGGTCCGCAACTCTCCGTGATGTTTTTGCGATAAATGTGAAAAGGGGGGCAGCGAGCGAGGAAACAAGGCGTCGGCTGGGGAGAGAAAGATAAGAGGCAACCGTGCCGAGGGATACGCACGTACGGAATACGGAGCTTGTGGTCGGGCAAAGACGCCCGGCATGCTTCGTGAGACCCGAGCCACCCGAACGGGACATGCATCACCCTGGTGCCCCTGATCTTCCCGCTCCCCGACCCGCCCTGGCTGCTCTGCAGCAAGGAGTACAGGTGTCCTGCGCATGAAGACTGGCAATCATGGCTTTGAAAAGAGCAAAACAAACTTCGTTACGGAGCAGAGAGCATCAAGAGCCGGCGATAGCCAGCTCCAGCCGCCGTCGGTGCTCACACGCGGACCCTCAAACGGTGCATCGCGATTGGTACTGAATACGCAACGCTTCGCAACCAGTCAAGAGCTTGTACTGTAAGGCTGGCTCCAGAGACTGGTCAAATAGGCGTGTCTCTACGAAAACGTGGAGCAGATCTGAGCATGAAGAGGAGGACCCGGCGAGGGAAGAAAAAAGATGGAGACAAAAACAACAGAAAAAAGCCCTCGTCCTCACAGCAAATGCTTGCATGTATCTTTTCCCCACAGGTACTTGAGGCCGCCAGACTGGAGCGTCAGAGGGAAAAGTGGCAGAAGAAAGGGGAGTGCGAGTCTCATCTGTGGAGCCTGCTAGACACCCACCCCCCCCTTTTCCAGGGCCAGACATGTCAATGATGCCATCAGAGAAAATTCAGGCCCCCTTCCAGAAGCATTGCCAGCCAAGCAGTCGACCGGGGGGCATGGTGAAGCTTCCCACTGGGGCCGGAATTGACCGGCCTGGAGCCAAGGCCGCTGGGATGATTCAAACCGACGTTCCGCCGAGCCCTCGTCCGAGAGTTGCTGGGGCACCCTGATCCTGAATCGTGAGCTTTCTGCTCACCGCCGGCGGCTCCAGAGTGTACTTTGCTACCTTGTGCGTATCCATCTGCACGCATTCACCCGCCAAAGGTTAACCAGGCGTTGCCAGTCTCTCCGCCTGCGCCTCGGCCATTTGAAGCTTCGTCCATTGTTGCCGGGCGTGTGGTTTGCACTTTTGCCACTGCCTTCGCCATCGGCCGACTGTAGAGTACATGGGCCATTGAAGTTTTTTTCTTCTTCTCTTCGCTGAGCCTGGGCCCTTGGCTGGCGACGGGGCCATTGTTTGACCCCGATTTGGCGGAGGCTCGGTGGGCCGCCGTCTCCATTTTTTGCCCGCCACGCATCATCTCGGCGCTTCACCGGCGCCTAGGCTGTGTCCTGGTCGGGGCCCTCGTCCGGGTCCTCGTCATTACCCTCGTCGCTTCGGCCTACTTCTTGGCCAAGCAAAATGTCCTCGCTGCCTTGCCACTGGGGGGGTGGGGCAGGCAGGGCCGCCTCGTCCTCGTCCGCCCACCCATAGTCCTCGTCATCGGCCTCGTCCTCGCTGTCTGGAACCTCCAGCTCTGTCTGCCCCAGCTTTCTCTTCCGCAGTACCAGATCCGCGGGTCCGGCCGCAAGACTGCCGGCGGCATCATAATCGATCTCCGCCGCACCACTCTTCCACCCCGCCGAGTCAGCAATAGTCGACTATATGGGGCGGGGGGATCCCACATACGGGTTCAACGTTAAATGCAGCTATGCGTTCCACGACGTCATTGGCCGCCTTGCCGTCAAGCTTTTGCAGGCCTGCCATAAAGACGCTGCCCAATTGCTTGCCCTGCCAGGCCCAGTCTCTGAACAGCACCAGCCGGGTTGCGACGCCTTGCTCCCACACCAAGGCGTTGACAGCGGCAACGAGCGTGGCGCCTTGTTCAGACTGCATCCTCGTGGCACACTGCGACAGAATCATGACGGCGCAGTTTCGCGTCGCAGCCAGTTTCTGTAACGCGTTGATGACAAACTGCAAGCCCTGTACTCGTTTGGCAGACGCAGTCAGGCCTGAGGGGGTAGGCGTGAGCAGAGGACTCGGTCAGAGGCAGGGACAAGGGTTGAGGATACCTTTGCCAGCCTTGGGAGCCGTTTTCCCATCTTGGGACTTGGGAAAGGCAGAATTGAGCAGCGAAGATACGGAGCTGACGACTACCAGAGACACTCCGGGCCCTATCGATTTCGGGGTTGGCCGTGAAATCAGGGCCATGAGATGAGGCAAGGTCAAGCAAGAAAAGTGCGTAAACTTGCGCCAATCGATGGCGGAGCCAGGATGCGAGAGGTGCTGGTCCCTAGACCTTTTTGCAGACTCGACGACGCTGATAAGGCGTTGCTTGTCCACCCTTTGGAAGCAGTCTGGCGAGGTATCGCTTAGCACAGGAAGCCTGACGGGGCAAACGGAAACAGACCTACCCAGACGACGTCATGGCCCTGGCATATGGCATGGGCGGTCGTCTGAATCCTGCAAAACCGCGCGTCAGACGTGCGCCTGAGTGCCGGTGAGGAGCGGGTGAGGCATACGCCAAGGCGGTTTTGCCTGTACCAGGCGGCCCCCAGAGCTCGGTGACCTGGCCGCGTTTGACGCCGCCGCGATGGCTGGAGCCGGCGGAGACGATGCTGGCCGATGCACCGAGAGCCTTGTCGAGCGTCTCTAGCCCGGTCGACAGGGCGAGGGCGGGCTCATGCTTGAGTTCGTCCAAGGCTTGCGAGGCAGCAATTGTCGGCAGGCGATCTGCCGCGGTCAGCGGTTTCCTACGAGAGAGAAGACTGGTACTCACGGGTATCCGGGATATCAAAGCTCGATATGTCTTGGCCATGGATGGAGTGGTAGTCCATGGTCGAGCTGCACTGCTGTCGCATAGCCAGCAGCCGTGGACGCCGCGACAACCACGCGGAATCACGTGAGGTCTCGTCTGTATCGATGCCGGGCGAAAGAGCCCTGCTTACCTAAGTTTCTTTGCGGAACACACCGCCCGCCCGTGCACCAATCGTGCTGCCCGACAGTGCCCCGTACTGGTGCTAGCGTGGCCCTGGATTACAGGCCCCTCAGGCAACGGACACGCCGTGCCTTACAATGTCGCCCTGATGGATGGACCATGATGGACATTGGAACCCCGTCAATCCAAATCCTCGTGGACCGTCAAGGGAAGCGGCCTCCTCCCTGGCAGTCATGACCACACCGAGGTATTTACTCTATTGTATGTATGTATTTGCGGATACGGAGAACCATGGCGGAGCCAGCGTCGCGGAGACCCGAGGCCGGAGACGGGCCTTTGCTGCGTCTCCTCGAGGGTCCTTTGTCGCGTGTCGTCAGGGACGGGGACTCCCGCGAGCTTGCAGGACTCGTTTACGCAGGCAATGGTCGCCAAGGGGTCACTCCCGTTGTCCGACATGTGCCCAGCAAAACAACAACAACAAACGACGATCAAAGCCGACGCATTTGCCCATGTCCGCCGGGGGCAATTCATTCCAGCGGGCGCCACTCCTCTCGTCCCTGGTCCCGCGTCTCAAACAGCCGAACAATCGATGCGATGCATGTCCTCGTACATTCCATGCACGCACGGATGCGCGTCGAGAAGCCGGGCGCGAGACGGACGGCCATAACAAAGGCCTTTTTGTTCAGCGGCCTGGCCGAGGCGGACGGACGTCTCACGACCAACGAGGAAGAAGCTTGTCTGTCTCGGTCTCAGTCCTCTCCTGCCCTGTCACACACCACTCCTGGGACTCCCGGGAACAGGTCTTGGCATCGTGGCAAGCCGCAGCGGCACGTGGCGGGCGGGCGGCCTCTGCTCGGTCGGCCCGGGGTTGGGGGCCGACCAAGCGGGACTTACGGAGTTAGCCCCGAGCTGTACAGAGGTACCGAGGGCAGAGACTCGACAATCGGGCATCCCATGGCCGTCGCACGAGACGAGTGCACCTAAGATTAAACGGTGCTATTATTGCTGCTATTCTGAGGCGGGTACAGCATATAGGCACCGAGCATCCGTCCATACAAGGCGTGGCACATCCAGCAAAGCCTTTATTCTTCGTCCTGGCCTGCAGCATCATGGTGGTGCAAGGCCGTTGATGGCAAAGCCATGGCCCCGGGACCATCTTTGCCAGTCACGCGTGGTCAGTACAGTACGGCAAGGCCACGTTTACTCTGTGTCTGGTGTAGATGCCGATGCATTCCAGTCCGAAGCCATACAGTACACGTCGTTGCTCCTCAGCCTCACGATGCAACGCACAGCTACCTTGGAAGCAGGGCCAAGCACATACAGCCTGGCGGGCTTAGCCGGGCAAATCAGTCTACTTCAGTCTCATTGTTAATTTGAATTTTCCATGTGCAGCAGCTCGACGTCCGAACGCCATTGTCTCCTCCTTCCGGGGGGTCTCGACCCGGCTGAGCGCCTCTCCCATGACTGATCAGACAGCGGCAGTGCTATGTCCAGCCTGAGATCCGGCGTCATGTCGCGGCTTGCCACGATCACGCCAGCATCGAGGTCACATCTCGAGTTCCTGTACGTACACTACATACATGTACATGGGGCGCACAAAGCCGTAGCATCTGCCGGGACGGAGCCATCGGGAGAAGAGCACAGTCGCCAAAGCCGTTGACGCCTAGACCCCAATGGCTCTCGCTCGTTGGAATTGACGCTGAAGCTGGTTTCGACGCCGGGCCAAAATGCCGAGCAAGATCCCGGAATCACTGCCACGGGAATAACCTCAAACCTGCTCCGACGGAGCACGTCCACACGCCGGAGGTATGTACGTATCATGATTCCAATGAAGCTCAGATCGGGCAAAGTCATGTTGCATGTAGTCATAGCCAGGCGGAAGAAGCCCCCCGAGCGAACAGCAACACGAAGACGACGGAAAGAAGTAAAAAAGAGGCGCTTGCGAGCCTGTCGGCTGCTGCTCCCTCGATGACGACTGACAAGCTGGCGGGGAGGACCGGCTCAGGCCTGCATGGGCCGCCTGCTTGGGCCGCCTGCTTGGCCTTTGATGGTGACGAGCAGCTCGAGGGGCGGCGATCTGGCAGCAAGGCCATCGCCAGCGAGGCTTGGCGAGGCTTGACGGAAACGAAGCCGAGGCGGCCGTCTGGCGCCGTCTGCTACCCATGGGGGCCCCCTTTTCTCCCCACACTCGCTCACACGCACGCACACACACTTTTCTCTCCCTCCCGGAAGAAGCATGGCATGTTGCAAGGGTGAATCTCCCCCCCCACCCTTTCCCCCCCTTGTCCCGGAGATCCTCCCTCAGATGGGTGAGACAACACGGCCCATGGACACACGCGGATGTGCCCCGGGGCGAACCAAGAACCTTTGGCTCTCTGGAGACTGGAAGCCAAAGTCCGGGGAAGGGGGCTTCTCCGCCAATTGCCACGAGCCAGCGTCGACCCATCATCAACGCACGCCCGCACGGAGGAAGCAAAGCAAAAACGGCAGGTCGGGGCACTTGGTATGTATGTACGTATTTAGTCTTGGGCATGATGCCTTTTCATTGGAGTAGCGGGTTGCCCCGGAACTTTGGTGCTGGGTACGGAGTATGTACGGAGTATACGCGCAAAGCGTTCATCGACGGCCGCCCTTTGCTACGCTCCCGCACGTACGAGTGTCAATGCATGCCCACTGGCCAGGGAGTCACCCGACGTGCTGAGAAAAGAGAAAGGAGGCAGAAGAGGGGGAGGGGAGAGGCGTCTGTACATACTGTACGTTGTGATGGGACTGATGCCGCGGCGCCATCCACCAGTACCCAAGCCAAGCAAGCATCTGGAAGCAAGCATCCTGGCGGGACGCCGTGTCTCGCGGATGCCACTGCCAGGTTGAAAAAGAAAGCAAAGGAAAAGCGCCAGGGGTCAAAGACAGGGAGAGCGGAGACGGGCCGTGAGCTGACAGGGCTCTTCCTTACCGAGACACGGTGAGGCTCCCTCACCCTTGCTGCCACAGCACCAAGTCCGGCAGCGTCGAATGGCGAGCCGGTGCAGCGGCGGCGACATGTTGGTGCGACTTTTCTTTTTGTTCTGCATCCCGTGTGCCCTGGCTAGATGTTTCGAGATTATGCTGCTGGTCAATGTCTGTGCCAATTGTTCGCCCCCTCGCCGCGGCTTTGTCAATCGACTTGTTTCGCTTTACGTATTCGTAGTTTGATTCCCGCAGGCAGACACGTGTAAGCAGGGCCTGCCTGGGGCCTGGACTGGGCCTGAGCCGGCGCATGGATGGATGGATGTACGTATGTACAGTACATACACAGGTATCTACCCGTCTCCATCTGCCGCCTTGCACTGTAGGTAGGCAAGGCATGCGCATTCCATTTTGCCATTGATGGGATGCTGAGCCGGTGCCGTCGAATGCCCACAAGCGGCCTAGAGCGAAGACGGCGGCGGGTGCGCCGGCAAACGAAAAACCGGCCGAGGCCCGGACACATACATGGCCGGGTCCGGGACTTGTCGGTCTCTTCTTCTCTTTGGGCCTGTGGCAGACGACAGACGACGCACAAACACAAACACACACACACGCACACATCTGTGCGCACCCAAGCCACGATGGACTGCACTTTCCCACCTATTGTATTGCGTGTTGCAAACTGTCATGACTCGTGTTTGGCGCCCTCTGGATAGGCGATGCGATTGGGACGAACCGGGAAAGGGAACCTCGCCCTCCCTCTTTCCAGCCCCCTTTCTCCTTGTACCCGTTCTCCTTGTACCCGTTCTCCTTGTACCCGTTCTCCCGACGAGCGACACGGAAGGCGAGTGCAAAGTACCGGTACAAAAGCAGGGCGGAAACGGAGAGAGTAGCAAACTGGCAAGTATCTCGGACATGTCAAACACGGCGGAACCAAGAGCAGCAAATTTGCACCACGAGCCAACTCGCGCCGGGGAAGCCTTTCCCTGTGCCGAGCGAGCACGCACGCACGCACAGGGGGGGGGGAGGGGCTTCCAGGCAGCGACCTGCGTGCTCAAGAGACACCTGACGCCGGTGGATGGACAGACGGGTGGTTTACTGGCCGGTATCTGGGGAATTCCACCCCATTTGCTGGCGCTCCCCCCACAGACGGCGCAGCATGGCAGCATGGCAGCATGGATCCCTCGGACCGGGAGAGCCGCGGTGCGGAGGAGCTGCTGCAAACGTGCGGCGTCGGCGACTGGCAGCGTTTACCGGGCCCAGTAGGTGGCGACGGTACGGATGCCTAGGCCGACGCAGCTAAGCCACGATGAAATGTACTGTACATACTCCGTACTCCGTACTCCATACATAATGACAGTAACGCTTGCTTTGCTGTTGCGTGGAGCCCCGAGGAGCAAACACATGGAATAAGGGGCTAATTACTCCGTACGCTGCATTTGTTTTTCCTTCTTTCGAGCGCTCGTCTCTCATTTCTGTCTCCGTACTGTAACTCAACGTACAGACTAACACGCCTTGACAAAAAGCATGCTGCGAGCCTGGCCCCGATAGCCGCCGTGTTTCCTTTTCCCTTTGTTTTTCTGCTCGCTACGCGTCGGCTGTTACAGGCCCCGGACGTGCGCGCGCGGCTTTTGCCAGCCTGTCCACGAACGAGTAAGGGCGACTAAGGGCGAGCAAGGGCGCCATCACACTATGTACTGTCCCGGCCGCCGACCGCAGCCCGTCGGTTTACCCACCGGTGACGCCTCCCTGTTGTTTCGTCACAAGCAATTCTTGACCGCCTTTATCCGCTCCCCCGCCCTTTGTTGTCGTTGGAGACGGGCGAATGGGTGGTGGTGGGCGGTGTTCTAGAAGAGCAAGCCCCTTTCCCCGAGGAATGCTATGGAACGGCAGCGCTCCACTGCCGGGGGTTGTTGACAGGGGAAAACGAGACCGCCAGGGAGAGCCATGAAAAAAGACGAAATAATAAGAGGAACAGCAGAGAGGAACAGCAGAGAGGAACAGCAGAGAGGAACAGCAGAGAAAAATAGAAGCTCCGAGGCCAACGTCACCTGAAATGCCCTTGGCTCGACCCCCACATCTTTTCTTGCCCATGCAAGCAAGGCAGCAAGGCCGTGTCCCGTGCAGGCACAGTCAACAAGCACTCGACATCAATGGATTGCCGAGGCAGGTGCTCGAGAACCAGGAGATCATCAACCAGCGGCCGTCTGCACGGCCTTGGCCAAGCCCGTCGCGTATTTATGCGCACCAAAAAGATGCCTAGGTGCCCCCCCCCCAAGCCACGGACCCCGGCAGGGAGACCAAGGGCACCAAAGTACCTGTGCCGGCGCAGTACCTGCCTGGAGGCGTGCGCCTTCTGTCCACACCCCTCCCCTAGCCAGGCAGGTCGGCTGCGACCCGGAGCGGGGCTCTCTCTCTCCAGGCTCTGCGTGTGTCGCTCCCGCCCAGCCCAGCGCGCCCGCATGCCGCCTTGTCCCCGCCCGCCCCCCCTCACCCCCAGGCTTCCTCCAGGCTCTTCTCCTCCACCCTCCCCGCCTGCTGGACGTGCCCTGCGCTGCGGCACCACCCCCTCCGCCGCCCCCCCCCCCCCAAGTGGCCTGAGGCTGCTTGCTCGAGGTACCTGCTTCGCTCACCGTCCCCATCCGCGCTACCCTACTAGTCCTGCTCTCCCCACACCGTACCTGAAAGTACCTCTTGTGCCCGACCACCCCGGCCAAGCCCGCCCTTTTTAAAACCCATCCGTTTCCCCCCCCCTCCAGAGGCCCCTCCTTAGAGAGGAGCGAAGAGAGGAAAAAAATTCCCGTCCTTTTCACAACCAAAACACACCTCCTGCATCACGGCCTCTGCTGCCATCCGCCACTCTCTCCGACCCTGCTGCCCTTGGCTCTCCAGTGGTGCAAGATAGCATACGCTGCCCGAGACGTCAGCCAGCCTCAGACCGCAGACCGAAAGCAACTAGTCCCCCGCCGCCTCCGATCACATGCAACGAGCACACTCGGCGGTGGATTTTTCCAACCTGCTGAACCCGACCGCCCTGGGCGACGACAGGTCCCTCCACGGCGCCGAAATGGCCAGCGCTACCGTCACCGTCATCAAGCCCAACGGGCCTCTGCCCGGCGCCCAGGCCGCCGCAGAGCAGTCGACGGAGCTCCCTCGCCCCTACAAGTGCCCGCTGTGCGACAAGGCCTTCCATCGCCTCGAGCACCAGACGCGCCACATTCGCACGCACACGGGCGAGAAGCCCCATGCCTGCCAGTTCCCCGGCTGCAGCAAGAAGTTCTCGCGCTCCGACGAGCTCACCCGCCACTCGCGCATCCACAACAACCCCAACTCGAGGCGCGGCAACAAGGCCCAGCACCACCACCACCACCATCACCACCAGCAGCTGCACCACCACCAGGGCCTGCCTCTGCACATGCACCCCGAGGCCCTGATGGCTCCTCCGCCCGCCCCCAAGGCCATCCGCTCGGCTCCCACCTCGGCCCTGGGCTCGCCCAACGTGTCCCCGCCGCACTCGTACGCCTCCTTCGCCCATCACCCGCCCCCGACGGTGCACCCCTACGGCCGCGCCGGCGACATCTCCATGCTGGCCAAGGCCGCCTCCCAGGCCGAGCGGGAAACGCTCGCCGCTCCCCCGCACCACCACGGCCCCTCCCGGCACCACCCCTACCTCGCCCACGGCGTCCACCTCGCCACCCGCAGCCACCCGCCAGGCTTGTCGTCGTATCACATGTCGCGCTCCCACTCCAACGAGGACCCCAACGACGACCACTACAACGGCTCGCTCCGGCACGCAAAGCGCTCGAGGCCCAACTCGCCCAACTCGACTGCCCCCTCGTCGCCCACCTTTTCCCACGACTCGCTGTCGCCGACGCCAGACCACACGCCCATTGCCACGCCGGCGCACTCGCCGCGCCTCCGCCCCTTTTCCGGCTACGAGCTGCCCAGTCTGCGCAACCTCTCCCTGCACCCCAACACGACGCCCGCCCTGGCTCCCCTTGAACCGCACCCCGAGACCCCGCAGTTCCCGCCCACGCTGGGAGGCAACCCCCCCCGCAGCACGGGCATGTCCCTGACGGACATCCTCAGCCGCCCCGACGGCAGCCAGCGCAAGCTGCCCGTGCCCCAAGTCCCCAAGGTGGCGGTTCACGACCTGCTCTCGGACCACGCCTTCAGCAACAGCGGGCGGAGCTCTGCCACAGGCAGCCTTGCCGGAGGAGATCTCACGGACCGCGTTTAGGAAGCGACTGGGCTCGACGCATCCGACGACATGACGACATTGGGTTATAGAGGTATAGAAAGAATTGGCGTTTTATGGATGATTGCGGACCGGGTCGCGTCCCCCCTGGTCCACATCCAGGGCGCGGGTTGACCCGGGCGGGTACTGCGAAAGGCGTACGAGACACACAAAAATAGACATCACCACTTATTCCCGACGACTTGCGGTTATTTTCATTTTATTTCCTGACGAGTGAGGGGTACGGGGGAAACGTGATCCTGTGGGATTTCCTTCCCATGGGCTTTTGGGGGCCGTCTCACCTCGAGAGGCCCGTAGAGCAAGACGAAAAAGTAGTTAGAGACGAAGCTGAAAATACAAAAAGGGAGAGACGAGGGGGGGATGATCTGATAGATGCTCTGCCACGGTTACCTCGCGTGCTTGCTGCGTGAGTGCTGCGTGAAATGTGACTAGGAATGAGCAACTCGCAAGCCTGGACAGAAGAAGGGTATGACGCGGGCCTCGGCAGTGTCCGGCGGGAAAGCTTGGCATGGAGGCGTTGGGATGCCGTGTAACGTGTGCCTGCGAACCGTTTTGTGTGGGGTGTGAGTGCTCGTAGGGCTCGGCAGCGCGGAAGACGAGGAGGATGAGACGTCGACTCTGAGACGAGACGAGAGACGAGGCTTTTGCCCCCCCCCCCCCTCCGTCCTCCTGGTTCCGTGCATATATACATGCGTACAGGCCTGGGTAGGTAGGTAGGCAGGCAGAGAAAGGGTGGCGTAGACGACGGTGTTTGCGGAAGTGGCCCGGCTGCAGACGCGAGCGTGGCACAGACTAGGATCGACTCCATCCGCCGGACATGGGGGACGCGGCCAAGCGGAGCGTCGAGGCCCTCGTTTTTGACTCAGCCTCGAATGGTCTATACGAGGCTGTATATGCACACGACCATGCGGGAGGTGCAAACGCCAGCCCTGTGGCGGGCCAGTTCCCCGGGGTAGGGCGTGGGCCATGCTTGACACCTGGGACGCAGCAGCTGGCGGCCGTGACGAAGCCAGCCGGGGGGGAGGGAGTTCTGACGCGGGGCCTTCGCTGATGGGACTGGCGCCGTTGGTTACGCGCTTGCGTGGTGCAGGGACGGCGAGGTTAGAGCCGCGCGCGCACAGCTGGGCCAGAGTGCAGGTAATTATTAGAAGACCCCCCCCCTTCGAGCGAGCAGCAGCCGGCATGGCCGGGACGAGCGAGCCCAGGGGAAAGGAAGCGCCGGGGGGGGTGGTTGCGGCGCCCCGTGGGCAAAGGGGTTCTCGTGAAGCTGGGGCTGGCACTTTGGCCTCTCCGGTCCTCTGTCCCATTGACGCACACACATGTTTGCCCAAGTGGTTCAGTAAGTCGGAAAATCCAAGTGATGATGACACGGGGCAGGGAAGGACACCCCGGCGGACGGAGACGGCCGCCACAAAACCCCCCCGAGCGGCGGTTGTCCAACGTTGTGTCAAACCTTTTCCATGCTCTCTGGGTGCGTCTCGCGGGGCTTGGAATGCTTCTGTGGGGGTGTGCGTGTGTGGGTGGATGCAGATGGGGGTTTAAGCGCGCATTCCGGGGGGCCGACGCGCGCGCACCGGTGGTCGAAGCTTGCTGACTGCTACTCCGGAGTACAGTAGGTTGTCGATTGCAGCGTCGGAGCGAAGCATGCGAGAGGAGGTTGCGCTCGAATCCATGGCCCCGGCACCCATCGGAGAGCGAGATGCCGGTGAGCAAAGGAGAAAAGGCAGCGAGAGGGAGGCCTGGGAATCCTACGCTGAGGATTTACAACAAGTGCCATCATCATCATCGTCTTTGCTTGCACCGCACCGTCAGCATGCGTCACCACACCCCGTCTCAACGCCAAACAACCGCGTCCAGACCTGCTGCTCACCGCCGGGCCAGCGTGGGCGAATGACGAGCCTCGCCGGTGCTGCATGGCGCCGAGATGATATTACCTGCCCAACCGCAGCAGCAGCAGCAGCCAGCGAGCGGCCCGTCGACAGCCACAGCCACAAACTTTTCCCCAATGCCCAATGCCCAATGCCCGTCCTTTTGGCATTTCCCCCTTTGCCTTCTTTGCCTTTCACGGCGGGTGAGTCTATCGCTTGCATGCACACCGAGCCACGGTGCTACTTCGTATCCAACACGCACCCCCCCCCGCAAGGGAGAATGTGCTCCGACTACTCAAAATGAAGGGGAAAATGCCCCGTATGTAGAGTACAATACGGTAATCCTCTTGGCCCGGACTGTTGCTGCAAGGCATGACTCATTCGGAAGCCATGAGTGAAGGCCTAATGGCGGAGAAGAAGCCCAAAGCAAGCCAAGGGGACAGGGAGGAGGAGGGGACAGGGAGGAAAAGGTTTTTCTCTTCGCACTGACTGTCTGCCTGCAGCCGCGTCGCAGTCGAGAGGGGGGCGCGCGGGGAAGCTTATTTGGATGGGCTTCATGGGATGGGCCGACGGCCAAGTATGAATGAGCCCATGCCATGCGCCATTGGCCGTTGCGCCTGGGCAATGAAAAACTTTTCGCCTCTGCTTGCTCCTTGCCGGCGAGTCGAATACCGAGAGGCGGCACGCTCTCATGCATTGTCATCATCAACCGCCCTTTGTCCTCTCGGTATGGCGCGCGCCATGTCTCGCTGGCCGTGGAGAGGACTGGAGGGGGAACAAGGCATTCTGGCTTCCCCATTCTGCGGGGGTGGGGATTTGAGGAGAGCGCACCGATCCTCATGGACCATATTTGTCTCCCTTGATCAGAGACTTGGAGCCATGCACACTGCAACTCTGGGACACCATGGCCAGCTTATTCCATCGAGTGTGCGTGACGCTGTCTCTGGTCACAACCACCGCATAATATGTGCGGCCTTCGTCTCTCTCGACGACGCAGACGGGCCGAAAGCCTTGTGTTCCGCTCGGATGTTTGGAAGGCGGCCGCGAGCTGCTTGTCGCGCCTCTCGTAGGTTGTACATGTCTCTCTCGTCTTCGAGGGGAATGACGGGAGCTGCCGGTTGCGGAGCCCGCCCGTGTCTGTCTGCTTGGCGTCGTTGTCGGTCCCTGGCGCCATTCGTTGGCGTCGTCGGTCCGAGGCATCCCCAAGACCATCATCATCCAAGCAGCAGCGTTCCGTCGCTCAGAGGCCGCCACAAGCCGGCCCGAGCTCTTGTTACCTTGCTCCGCCATTGGAAATCTGATAAGGTTGGCATCCTTTGCCCACCCATGATCCTGGAGGAATCGCCGGGGACGGAACAAGACGTCAGTCGCATAGCATAGGTAGCATAGCATAGCACGGTGGCAGCGGCAGAGGAGGATTCTAATGCGCGTCGCCCGTTGGTGGAGTCGGTGCATGAGAGGCGGGAGCCTGTTGTCCACACCCCACCCTGACGTGTCGAGGGAGGCGAGAGAAGAGAAGACAGTGTTTGAGGCTGCACCGAGGACGAGCATGGACGTTTTTTAGGCTGCCCATTTGCCCCTACCCAGCAGGCCGTGCTTGCAGTTGCCGAACCTGGCGGCGGCCCACTGCCGTGGTTGGTTGGCTTTGAGTAGGCGGTGAAGAATCTATTTAGTTTGGTACCGAGTCGGTCGTCGACACGTGACTCTGTCTGAGCCATCACGACGACCTCGCTGCACATATCGAGCCATGTTTACGGAAATGCAGCATGCGCCTTGAGACACGCGACGCCTGCAGAGCGTCGGACACGAAACGCTTAGAACCGTGGAGGTGATTTCGCCAGGCCCCGTACCGGGAGCTTGCGAGAACCTCCGGAGAGTGCTGCTTTGTACTGAATCCTTGGCGATACCCGACCAGGCGTACAGTATGTACAGCACGGCCTTTAACCTTTGTCTGCGCGGAGTCTGTTGGAGGAAATCTCGTCTTCACACACGCCCCCGTCTCTATATGTATGAGATGTTGACAGACAAAGGGAAAGGCCAGCACTCGACGACACGTCCGCCGGTAGCATTTGCAGACTCCTCGGAGATCCGTATGGATGCCCTAGCCCGTCCATCATTATACCTCATCCATGCATATATGAGCTCGACATTGACCAGATTCGGTAGGTCCAGCGTTTGGGATGCGACTCGACCACTATTAGCCGCACCCGATCATGCCCGTCGGGTCGAGGGCAAATGCTACCGACTCCAGCCCGGATCGACGTCGGTAGCCGGTCATGCGACGACCGAGCATCGTCCCGTCCCGGCGGCCCCCTGTTGCTCGCCCCTCTGGCTACGATCGGCTGCCCAGATCCAAGTTCCCGTCGTCCTATCGGCGGTGCCGCCGTATATTGGCACCCAAGACTCACGCATACATCCGGCCCCTCGCGCTGTGTCACTCATACTTTGGGCGTGCATACGCCCCCATCCCGGGGCATGCGAGACGACCGTGCTGCGGAATCCCACCTCCCCAAGGCGTCCATGGCTCTTTGTGCGAAACTGCCTCGTCCTCACCTTGATGTCCAAGCGGCCCGCTGCAACGACCTGCTGCATGTGGCAGCCGGCGGGTCTCGTCGCTTCAGACGGCCAATGCAAGGATGGCGTAAACCGACGGCAACAGGCTCGCGTCTTGCGCGCCCTTGGACTTGCACGCATATACACAAGGCACCGTTGCATTCTGCTTTTGCAACCCTCCGCAGACAGTCAGCCCGAGCCAAGTCGACTGCGGACGGTGAAGCCGGCTGAGCAAGATTGGCCATTGCCTCTTGGATCGCACATGCTGTATCTTGTCATGGTGCAGACGAGCTTGCTGGGGGAGCTGCCATCCTCTGGCTGCCCCGTCTCCTAGGAAGCCTGAAGTATAGAACCCTTGGCTGGGAGAGAGGACACGTAGTACGAAGCGCTGCAAGTACGCCCAGTTCGTACCCTCCACCTGTTTGCCTCCTGCCCTCACCGAGCTAGTGCTTCCGTGGTGCAGCAGGAGTCGGTTACAGGCGACATGACCCCGAGCACTGCCCGGTTTCGGTGTCGGTACGGCGGAACGCTTCAAAAGTCCTTGCTCGTGCTTAAGTACCTTGAGCTCTGTAAAGCAAAGGAGGAAAGTATTGAAGTAATTTCTACAGCTCTATTCCCCGCTCATACCATCTTTCCCCCTTCCATCGGTACCCAGAGATCAGATGCGCTGTTATACCAAGTTCGGTAGCGATATCAGCGCAGTTTCCCCCCCTCCCGTACTGGTCTCGGCGAACCTTGACGATAGACTCATCTTGAATAAGAGCCTGTTTCGATGGCCGGCCAGACCGAGAGGCATTTTGGGGCCACTCGTCTCGTACCGTCAACGGCAGCTCGTTTGGCTCAAAGCCTCGCTCAACTGGTCGCGCATAAATGCTAATAACCGTACGAATTGAAAGGCGAGTGAAAGAAGCAATCTCCGTTGACGACTTGCCGCTGCAAGGCGCCTTTAATGTAACAGTTAGCGCCCCGGTCGCGATATCTGTCTTCATTTCGCAAGAGGGGTCGGATGGACATGCGGAGAGTGAGGAATGCATAAGAGGATGCTGCAATATACATTCATGTGCGGGGTTCTTCTATTTCCTCTTGCCTTAGACGGGGCATCGTTTGAATCGGTCTTCCGTATCGCAAGCCCCCCTTGGCGCGCGTCTGCCAGATGTCGCTTTAAACTGATGATTTGGACCTCGCCTCGCCGCGATGATGGAGGGTTGCTGTTCGATGATGCGCCGTGTCAGGTGATATCAAACATCCCTCGCCGTCTCACCATGGCCCTCGATCCGACATGGTCCCTCGGTCTCATCCTACGTCGGTGACGGAGCTGAACCTTTTAGTCTCGACACTACTGCCGAGACGAGACGTGTCCTCAGGTCCCTCTCGGCAAGTGGCCGTCAAAGAGTAGCCAGGTTGCCGCCATCCGTGGTTTGAGCTCGTTGAGCGGCCATTCTCGACGACTGCTTGCCCTCCGGTGGTACCGATCATCTTGCCCCAAGGTGAGCATGTATAACTCGCCGCTACCATTGCCATCCCCCTGCTGCCACCTTTGCACCCACTGCGGCTGTCGGGCTGGCTACTTCTGCCGCGCCCTTTCTTCGATTCAAGCTCAAAGGAGAATACGTACGGACAAGCGGCTCGCTGTCTCGAGGATTTACAAGCACATGCGCGAAGGGTGAAACCGCTGCTTCGGGCATAGTGACCAAGCCCAGGCGCAGTCGTGATTCAATCTGCGCCATCTTCGTCTTTCTTCAGACCCCACGCGGCAACAGGACTCCTCCGAATCCAGCAGTGTCGGTCCTTCACCAAAGTGCATCTGCATACAGCGGGGGCACCTTGGTGTGCGTAGCAGCGTCATGCATGCGGCGTAATACTTGCCTCCCACGCCGACTGAACTTGTCAGCAGGGGACGCTGGAAGGCAGGGGCGGCTTGGCCTATGGTCCGCCATGAGGACTCGAGAGGGTGGGCATCGGGTAGGCGCTTTGGCGGAGAAAGGTAGCATGATCGCCAGGGCCCGTCGCTGTGATTGAGCAGGATCGGTTGGCCTTGCCCTCGGGAGTCAGATCATCCCGTTCTGGGCTGGCCTGTTAAGCTACGGCGCTGTTGTGTGTGTCATGGCCAGAGCGGTCGACGATCTCTGCGGACGCTTTCTGCGCTCACCGAGTGGTAGCTGCAGCTCACATCTTCGGACTAGAGCTGCCGTTACTGCTAGCTCTCAGCTGACAAAGAGGAAACCGAAGGATATGAATGGCATGAAGGGAACTTTGTAAGAAACACGGAACCATGAAGCTACTGATGATGATGGTGGTGCCAACCAGAGCCAAGCCCATGTTCCCACACCCCCAACGGCCTCGCACATCGGGCTCCAGGCCGGAATCACATAACTCAGTAGGAGCCCGTGCCGCTCGCATGACGGCGCGTCCCGCCGAGGGCGGCAGTAGTAAAAGTAGCACGGCATGGGCACGAGCTGCTTCAGCGGGAAAGGCCTTTGCCCTCCCCCCCTCGTTTCCCCTTGCATCGCGCCTCCATCTTCACATGCCGGAGCTCAAGGTTCCCACGGTCCGGGGCCAAGGAGAAAGGGGGGCGGGGGGCTCGGGTTGGGGCGGTATAAGGCGGCAGAGGGCCCGGTCGGTCGGCTACCGGCCGCGCGGCTCGAGACGGCAGGGGGTATGGTCTGCTGTGGTCAAGTCTTTTCCCCCCTCCCCGTCTTTGGACCTCGAAGATGCTCCTGACGGGGTGAGGGTAGGAGGGCGTGCGGGGGAACGGCAGACAGGCCTCCCTCCATCTGCACACCATTTTGAGCATGTCCGATGCCAATAGACGGTTGTCAGTAGGCGGAAAAGCGTCTCAGTGAAGAGCAGCCCGCTGTCCTGACAAACCCGAGCAGGACGGCAGAGTCAGAGGATAAGCGACCCTTGGCTACGGACCTCGTTATTCGACTTCGTAGAGACCCGCCTCGATTCGGAATCACCCCGGGGGGCAAGTGGTGTCAAAACTTGATCGAGCTCCATCGCACATGGCTCATGCTGAAGGAACCATCATGCCATCAGCTTCGCCTCCGGTAGAGTCCAAGGCACCCTTGGCCTTGAGAAAGGTATGGCGTGCAATGGTTAACATGTTGAACATCTAGAGGTTAGAGTCGTTGCAATTTGATTCGTCCTTGAAGTCATCTCAAAGGGACCTCTCGATTTTTAATTGTTTCGCCGCCGGAAAAAAGAACGACATCAGGTGATGGCATGAGGGGAGAATGCTGCTGGCTGGTATCATTCCTCAAAGACATCCTAAACTATAGAGACAGGAAGCTGAGGGCATCGTAAATCTGCAGAGGGCGGGCACTCATGGCCAGATATGGCTCAAACTGCACCAGACCACCTACAAACCGCAGCGTTACCCGAGCCTGTAACTCGACTCCTAAAAGACAGCCGGGATAATCTGCATGTCTGCGGGTGCCGCTGGGTACACGTACATCGAGAACAATACGCCGAGGCTCCCGCGCCTGAAGCCATACTGAGCGCTCGTCACAGCGAGATTGCGAAGGTATGACAAAGAAGCCCCCCCGAGCCGCGCTGCGGTGTGAGCGATGTGGCCCACCGACTTCAGCTCCATTTGACACCAAAGAAGCTTAGTTGCTTCTTTCCCGTGCTGGGCTTTGATTCTGCATTCTCCAGATAGATGCGCTCGTGGCCCTTGACGTCCAGGAACAGGTATTTGTACTCGTAGTCGCTTTCGCCGCGTCGCTTCACCATGTGTAGCTGCGCGACACCGTTTTGCAGCGGACCGTCGACCTAAGCATCGTCAGCGCCCGCTGCTGCAGCTTGTTGCGTGGCATACCACTTACGTGAAAGTGCATCACCATGTGCGCATTCCCTTGAGGGTCGGTCCTCTCGGAGGATCTGCCCGCTGTGTTTAGCAGACGGTCCGGGTACGGAGGACAAGCCCGAGGACGTACGCAATAGGGCGGGCTCGCCGCCACTTGTTGAAGTTTTCGTCGCCGTGGGCCATGACGTGCTTGGGGTCGCCGAGAAGCTCAATGCATCTCGAATCCTTCTTGATCTTGTTGACGGCGCGGTTGAACTGGGCTGTCTTGCTGTCGGGGGAAAAGACGTCGGTCCAGAGAAAATAGCCGACTCCGCCCTAGCCCGGAGCGTCAGCGCGCGAGCAAAGGAGCAGCTGCCTGTGGCCATACCGTGAGCACGAGGCCGACCATAACCAGGCCAAAGTTGAAGCTTTGCTGCGTCGCGCGAGCCGTCTTCTCCGTCGCCGAAAGCTCATTCCAAGGCACGAACCCAGTGTCGTTGAACGGGGTGACGCTCCGGCGCTTTGGCGTGGACGCCGCCGTCGCTCCGTTGCTGGACGCGTAAGATCTCGTCGAGACGAGCCACAAAGGCGTGGACGGGGAGGGAGTTGTCAGGGCGCCGGGTCGGATCGCCCGAAGCGAGGATGACGGTTTCATCGTGGCGGCTCTTCCTTGTCCATGATACCAGGGACTGGCGAGGACGGTGAGGCAAGGCTTGAGTGGCAGCCAATGCTGTCTTTGGGGAGCTTGAAGCTGCGATGCTGCTGCTCGTTGGAATAAAATGGGCAGTTTAGGCGGGGCACGAGGCATGACCTATCTTGGACTAGCGTCACCTGTGCTTGGTACGCACCTATTCGTACCTTGTACTCCACAGTAGGTTCGTGTAAGTGGCTTCAACTAAACCATCAGGTCAACATTTTCCACACGTTAACAATATGGCTATTATCTTTTTTATTTTTTTATGAGGTAGCCGAAGAGATGAATCAAGACGAGTGACAGAAGTGGAAGAAACAGTTTCTCGACGCAAGCGACGAGAAATTGCAGCGTTCGTCGCGAGCCGTCGGCCAGTCCAGTCAGAGTCGAACCGCGAGGGCCGTTAATGAGCCTGGGCACCATGGAGGACAGAGGGGGGCTACCTGGGAGTCGGCGGATACAGTTGCTCACTGATGATGTTTTCCTTGAAGTGGCTGCTTCTCCTTTTCTCACGTTGCAAAGTAGTACGAGTGTTGAAGATAGAAGCATTGGGGTCTTCGACGGCCTTTTAAGGGGGGCCGACCCAGTCGGGACTAGCGCCCCTCGATATGCCACTTTACCAAATAGTAGCCAAGGCACACTCTCCCCTCATGATTTGACGCCCGACTGAACCAGAGCCAACTCGACGACCCTCTGCACCGGGCTTCCTTGCGAACCGACACCCCTTTAGCCCCTGATACAGCCATTGCCAAAGACCTCTCGATCGTCTCGCCTCCGCCCCCCCCGATCCGTAACCCGACGTCTGTCACCAGCCAAGATGAGCGGCCTCGCGACCAAACAACAGTCGCTCAAGATCTTTGAGAAGCTCAAGTCCAAACCGGCCAACAAGGTACGCGACACGGCGCGCGTAATCAACACCGAGAGCCCCATCTGACGCGTGGCGCGCCCCTAGATATGCTTTGACTGCGGCCAGAAGAACCCGACGTGGACGTCGGTGCCGTTTGGCATCTACCTCTGCCTCGACTGCTCCTCCAACCACCGCAACCTCGGCGTCCACATTTCCTTTGTGAGGTCCACCAACCTCGATCGTACGTATATCCGGGCCCCTCACATCTCTCCACCATCGCGGCTGACGGCGCGAACCAGAGTGGCAATGGGACCAGCTGCGCATGATGAAGGTTGGCGGCAACGAGTCGGCGACCAAGTTCTTCCAACAAAACGGCGGCACCGCGGCATTGAACAGCAAAGACTCCAAGACAAAGTATCAGTCCAACGCGGCCACCAAGTACAAGGATGAGCTGAAGCGTCGCGCGGCTCGCGACGCCAGGGAGTAAGGAGTCTCAAAATCCGTCACCGCTCGCCAGTCGCGCTCTAACCATGCCACCAGGTTCCCCGGCGAAGTCGTCGTTACCGAGGCGGGCGAAGGCGACGTGGCCTCACCGTCCGCTGGAGACGCCGACGACGACTTCTTCTCCTCCTGGGACAAGCCCGCGATCAAGCGCCCCACCCCCCCCATCTCGCGCACGGCCACTCCTCCCGTCGTAGGTCGAACGCCCTCGCCTTTCCTCAACGCCGGCAATGGCAACGGAAAGGACATTGCTCGATCGTCGTCTCCGCTCTCAAAGACCGAAGGCACCGCAGATGCCAAGCCGGCCGCGAGCCGCATCACCACCTCGGCCGCTCTGCGCAAGACGGCGACGACTGGAGGACCCCGGAAGGCCAACGTCCTCGGTGCCAAGAAGACGACGAAGCTCGGTGCCAAAAAGGTGACAGGCGATGCCATCGACTTTGACGAGGCGGAGAAGAAGGCCAAGGAAGAGGCGGAGCGCATTGCCAAGCTGGGCTACGACCCGGAAGCCGAGGAGGAGCAGAGCGCAAAGACGGCGGCATCCGCAACGGGCGCTGCTGCCATCATGTCCCCGACCCCCGTGATCCCGTCCGCGGGAAGCTCCAGCTCTCATACGCGACAAAAGTCCAACGCCGAGGTCGAGAGACTGGGCATGGGCATGGGACGCCTCGGTTTCGGACAGATTGGAGGTGGCAAGGCCTCGCAGGCTCAGCCGGCCAAGAAGAACTCGGGCGGCTTCGGCTCCGTCGGGCCCGTCAAGGCCAAGGTCGAAGGTATGGTGCTGTCGAACGCGATGCCTCCGCCACGCTCTGTCTGCTAACCCGGTCCACGCAAGATGACTCGGAAAACTACGCGCGCTCCAAATTTGGCGCGCAAAAGGGCATCTCTTCCGACGAGTACTTTGGCAAGGGCACGTTTGACCCCAACGCCCAGGCCGAGGCCAAGACTCGGTTGCAAGGATTCGAGAGTGCCACGGCCATTTCCTCCAACGCCTACTTTGGACGGCCAGAGGAAGAAGCCGAGGAGGACTATGGCGATCTTGAGTCTGCGGCCAAGGATTTTGTTCGCAAGTTTGGCATCACGGCCAGCGACGATCTCGAGAACCTGAGCAATGTGCTGGGCGAGGGCGCCACCCGGCTCCAGGGTGCCATACGCGCGTACCTCGGCAGCTAAGAGGCTGCGATCCGCCACGCGAACAGATCTTCTGCCCGCCTAGACAGCAGCAAAGCTCCCCCACGCCCTTTATCTTGTCAACTCGAGAGGGCTCTACTCGGCTGAATGGGCATGGAAGCAGAATGGTGGATGGAAATTGGTGCGTGAGCTTGCAGGGGTAATGACGTGTCGTGTAAGCTGCAAGGAGAAAAAAGAACATGATGACGATAGAAGAAACAACAGCAGAGGGCTGCAAGAGTGAAACTTGATTTGCAGCGAGGGGCCAGAGGGTGATGGCGAAGGCACTCTCGTAATGTCCCAGTTGGTTAGCATGGAATAGACGTGATTTATCTCAAAACTCGATGCGCCGCTGCATTTGCACTCCCTAGATTGCGTCTTGGCGCAAAACACGGCATGTTCGACTGCAAGGTCTCGGTAAATGGACGTCATGAAGGCATGGCCACAATGCTACATATGTACTGTACATAGTCAGGAAAGATGCGAGGCAACAATAATCAACACACAGCAAGCGCCTCCGTCTACAGCTTTGCAATCATCTTGTGTCCCGTCTTCATCCACTTGACGGCGTCGTCGACAAGCTCGTCGACGACGGCCTTTGCCGACTTTTGCTCGTTGACAACGGCGGCGCACTTGCCCATCAGGAAGGGGCGGAACTGCTCGAGCGGGTCGTCGTAGTCTTCGTCGTCGTCGGCCTCGGCGGCGGCGTTGTTGCTCTCGACGCCCTTGTGCTCGGCGCCCTCGGCGCCATCCATGTACTTGTCGAGGTCGGCCTCGTAGGGGATGGTGCCCTTTGCGGCGAGCTCCTTCATCTCCTGCTGGCGGTTGGTCTCCCAGTCGTTGATGTAGGGGTTGTTGCGGACGCGCATGGGGCGGCCGGTGAAGATGATTGTGCGCACGTTGTCGTCGTGGCCGGCGGTGCGGACGGCGTCCTTGTGGGCCTTGGGAGCGCCGGCCTCGTCGGTGAGGATGAAGCGGGTGCCGACCCAGACGGCGCCGGCGCCCATCATGAGGGAGGCGGCGAGCAGCTGGCCGTTGTGGATGCCGCCGGCGGCGATTACCTGGACGGGCCCGCCGGTGATGGGCGACTTGGCCTTGTTGCAAATCTCGACGACGGCGGGGATGAGGACCGTGGTGGGGATGTCGCCCGTGTGGCCGCCGCCCTCGCCGCCCTGGGCGCAGATGATGTCGACGCCGAGCTCGAGGCACTTTTTGACGTGCTTGACGTGGCCAACCATGTTCATGTAGACGATGCCGGCGGCATGGAGCCTGTCGACGACGGCCTTGGTGGGCACGCCGACGGCCGAGACGAAGAGCTTGGCGCCGGACTCGATGATGATGTCGACGAGCTCATCGAGCTTGCCCTTGGTATAGTCGTAACTGGGGTGGTAAAAGTCTGGTCAGTATCCGGTAGCAAGGAAACCATATGGGAAACCGACTTTGTCTTGCGCGCGCTGCCGCCGACCTGGGGGATCAGCAGGTCGACGCCAAAGGGGGCGTTCTTGTCGTCGAGGTACTCCTTGAGCTCGGCGATCTGCTCGCGCAGCATGTCGGGGGTGTAGCCGACGCCGCCGATGACGCCGAGCCCGCCGGCGTTGGTGACGGCCGCGGCCAGCTTGGGCCCGGCGGCGACGTTCATCCCGGCCAGCAGGATGGGGTGCTTGATCTTGAAGAGATCGGTGATGGGCGTGCGGATCTGCTCTATTGGTGGGAGACGAGGTCCGCGGTCAGTTTTGCTTTCGGCTTCACGCCGGCAGAGGCAGTGGCAAGGGACTTACGCGGAGAAGTCATGTTGCCGAGATGTACGGGAGAAGCGGAAGAGAAGTTGAGGCGAGAAACGCGAGGTCAAGTGGTGCGCGCGCGATAAAGGCTGACGAAGCGTCCAAGAGAGATGTGGCGATGATGGTGGTGACGGAGGATAGGGGACCCAAGGGCTGGTAGATGGTCGTCTCACATGAACGAGCGGGCGACGGACCGTGAGCGTCCAAGTTGCGGCAATGCGCAACATGTGCCGAGGCTCGGAGAGTCGGGCGGGGCGCCTTAAGTGGCTTAGCGCCGGCGGCGGCGCCTCGTGGGCAAAAGGAGCCGAGGCGCCGCGGGGACGCGGGGAAACAGATTCTCCGCCGGCACTCGCTCGGCTCCTCGGGGCACGTGCCTCTTACATGATCAGATTTCAAGCAAGCACAAAAGCGTACTGCACAAAGGTCAGGCGGAACCGACGGCTCAGGTGACTGAAGGCCCGGTTTGCGTCGGAGCCGAAGCTCGGAACGAGGAGAGATGGAGCATTCGATGTTACTGTAGCGTATGGCCGGCCAAATGATGGGGGATCCATCTGTAATGGCAAGCAGGCGCCTCCATCTACACAGTAAGCAGTAAGCAATATCAGAGACACATATAGAGTCACGTATATACAGGCAGTGTTGTTATGCACGACTCAAGGCCCGGTCAAGCTCGTACTACTGTATAGTGGGCGTGGCCGAGGTGGGCAACGGACGTCTCTCGAGAAGGGCACTTACCCCGTGTCGTTGCCATGCAAGCGAACCCCGCGGAGGGTCCAGACGCTGCGTTCTCGTCTTATCAGATGAATGAGTGAGGAAAGCTCCAGTCGCGGCCAGTCCGGCTGCAACGTCTACCATGAGCGAGAAAACCCTAAAACTGAGTGACGGAAAAGGTAGACATGAGAGAGGGGAATCTGTTTACTTGGAGCGGGTAATAAGGGGACGAGGCTTTGCCACCCCCTGAAAGACGGGGCAATATTGTATGTATAGGCAGGCCCCAGGCCACTGGGCGTTCTTCCCCCCGTTCGGCCACCGGCCAACTTTTGACTTTTTGGACAGCCCGGGGGTTCACGGTTCGGGTGGAACTCGCTCTGCGGAAGGTACATAATGGGGGCCGTATATACGCATGGGCGTGTACGCTTTGTTGAGATGAAGAAGAGAACAGGTCGAAATTCGGAGTTGGCTTCGGGCTGTTGTTCTTTGTTGTAGTCGTTTCTCCATTCTATAATATCGTCGGTTATAACTACCGTTCCATACTTTACACGTTCCACTGACTACGAGCCGTGGACATATTTCGGGCCAGACCCGAAACGAGTCCGGAGTGCTCCGTAATGTATAACCCTATATCGGGCTGGCGCCGGTCTCCTGCCGGGGTAACGGAGTTGCCGCTGCTCCGCTCCGGCGCAGGAACGTGGATACTTTGCACCTGGCTGGTAAAATGGGCAGACTCCAGGTACCGGGCGAGTACGTGCCGGCCCGTCAAAAAATTAGCGCACCAACTTTAGCCGGCGCCGGGACCCGCACAGCCCAACGTCGACTCTCTGCTCAAACCACGCGCGCTCGCTAAACCGACGTGTCTACCACGACGACACGCGGCCCGCACCGCCTGCCATGCGCCCGTCCGTCCCGTGCAGCTTCTTGTTGCCTCGGGGCCTCGGCGCCGCGTGTCGCCGGCGACTCTTCGGCACGCGCCCGGCGGCCTCGTCGACGCCCCGTCGAGTCCCGGCCCGGCCAGCCTCGCGCTCCGTGTATGGGTTTCGCGATGCAGTCCCCTGCCGGCCTCGCTCCGCTTGTGCCTGCCGTGGCTCCGGCCGCAGCAAGACGGCCTACATCGCGCTGGGCGGCAACCTCGGCGATCGCGTCGCTGAAATCGAAAGGGCGTGTCGCGAGATGCATCGGCGTGGGATCCGCATCAAGCGCACCAGCAGCCTGTGGGAGACGGAACCCATGTACGTTGTCGACCAGGACCGCTTCATCAATGGCGCTTGCGAGGTCAGTCTCTGCGCTTCGCCATGACACGGCAGCCCTTCCGGGCCGGGCATGCTCCGCTCACCTCGTTCCTCACTCTGTTCTCTCCTTACCCCCCTCCTGCAGGTCGAGACGGAGTTGGAGCCTTTGGCCCTGCTAGACGAGCTTCAAGCAATCGAGAGGGACATGGGGCGGCGCAAGCTCATCGACAAGGGCCCCCGCAACATCGATCTCGACATCCTGCTCTACGGCAACGACAAGATCGAGCACGAGCGGCTCACGGTGCCGCATGCCGGTATTGCCGAGCGCGAGTTTGTCCTGCGGCCTCTAGCGCAGTCGGTGACCCCTCTGGCCCGACCTTTCGAGACTGTTGCCCTCGTGGCGCCTAATGCTCTCTTGGCAGGCTGATCCCGTCCAAGCCGTTTGACGCGTGCAAGCCATGGAAGGTGGTGCAGGACTACCTAAATGAGCTTCCGCCGGGCGAGCCGCTCTCATCCGTCACCCCGCTGGCGCCCTCGTGTCCTCCCCTTACGCCCCTGGTGCCGAACCGCAAGACCCATGTCATGGCCATCCTGAACCTGACGCCAGACTCCTTTTCAGACGGGGGACGCCACACCCTCGGCAACCTGTCGAGCACCGTCGTCGACATGGTCCGCGGCGGGGCCACCATTATCGATGTTGGAGGCCAATCGACGGCGCCGGGCCGGGCTCAGGTCACGGCTGAGGAGGAGGCGGCTCGCGTCGTCCCCGCCATTGAACTCATCCGATCTCTTCCCCAAGCGCGCGGCACGGCGATCAGCGTGGACACGTATCGCGCCTCAGTCGCTGAAAAGGCGATTGCCAGCGGCGCCGACATCATCAACGATGTCTCGGCCGGCACCCTCGACCCAGACATGCTCCCCACCGTTGCCCGGCTGGGCAGCACCATCTGCCTGATGCACATGCGAGGCACGCCACAGACCATGATGGACCTGACGGCGTACCCGCGCGGCCTGGTGCCGACCATGGCGTCGGAGCTTCTTGCGCGCGTCGCAGCGGCCGAACAGGCGGGCATACGACGGTGGCGGATCATTCTCGACCCCGGCATCGGCTTTGCCAAGACGGGCGCGCAGAACCTGGAGCTGCTGAGGGGCCTGGACGACCTCAGACGCTGGCCAGGGCTCGAGGGCTTGCCGTGGCTTGTGGGCGCCAGCCGGAAGGCCTTTGTTGGCAAGGTGACGGGGGCGGTGCAGCCATCTGAGCGGATCTGGGGCACGGCCGCGACCGTGGCGGCTGCGGTGCAGGGGGGCGCCGACGTGGTGCGGGTGCATGACGCCAGAGAGATGGCCATGGTGGCGGCCATGTCGGATGCCATCTGGAGATCTCCATAGCGCGTCATCTGAGAGCCCTACGCTGACCTTTTTTTCATTATTCCACTGGTCACGACGCCGAAGGAGGGAGGGCGAGGAGGAGTAGGAGGAGGACTGGCATCAGCCGCCGCCGCTGCCGCCCGAAAGCCCTCCTCCTCCGCTTGCTTCTGCCGCTGCTCGCGCAACCGAAGACAGACTGGAGGACAAAGATGGATAGAGGAGGGGGCGTGGGGATATGGGAAAGGGGAAGAGAGGGGGGGGGGGATCCCCCGAGCGAGGGGAATGCCCAAACAAGTCGACGCAAGTCGAGCGCAAGTATAGAGACCTAGGACGAGCGAGACCGGTCCCGGGCGACAGAGTGGTTGGAGGAGGACGCCGCTGCCAAGGGATGGCCTCTCGGGGCCAGGCCTGTCACATCTCCGATTTCCTTGGGCCTCCTCTTGGTCGTTGGGAGATGCTCGGGATTCCATCATCATCAGTCATCCAGAACGGGAGCTTCTACATACAGTACATACATGCAGCACATTATGTATAGATGTAGGTACATGCGTGCTCACACACGCTCACACACGCTCACACACGCGCCTACAGTATGTACAGTACGCATGTCTACTTATACGCACACATCCATGCATCTATCCATACAGCATGGGGTGGGTGGCGGGTGTGCGCCCCGTTGAGTAGCTCGGCCGTCTTGCCGGCCCAACGAGGACGCGTTGCCTTTGCATCATCGGGCTTGGAAAGTTTGCTGAACCACGACGACACCACCACCACTCACCCAGACACCCACCCATCCATCCATCTCGGCGGGCTCCTGCTGCTTGCCTGCCGCCTGGCTCGAAGGCATCGTTGTTCTACTAGGACACACCATCCACCCATACTTGTATGGCAGTATAGACGTGCCCAGGGCCAGACAGGACTGCCATGCCGCCCGGCTGCGCACCTTGGCCGCATCTAGATGCACGGTCGATCAGCAGCGTAAGACCGCATGAGGCTCCCCCCTCCCCTGGCCTGGCCTGAGGCCTGGCCGGAGCGCGGGGGCGGAGTGTTTGGCTCGACGAGGTTGGCAAGCTCCTTTTACCAGCCATCCAGCCGGCCAACATCACGAAGCAATCTCGAAGTTGTGGATATAGGCATGTATATATATGTACGAAACATGTACCAAACTGTGTATGTATGTAGGATACGGAATGACAGCTACTTGCGCTCACGCACACTTACATCCATGCGTGCATACGGAAGAAGGCCAGCTGCATTCATACATTCATACAAGTACACTCACGCATATGGTCTTCATTGACGGGCGATAACAATGTGCGGAATCGTCAGGCGGTCTTGAGTTTCGAGCGTCCAGAAAGACTTTGCACGCATACGTGCCTCATCTTGTGGCGTCGCTACAGGTCAGGATAAGGGGGAGTCAGGGGGGAGGGGTGTGCAAGCCCTGATCCAAATGTCACATGTATTGTCGTGATGATAACGGGAATTCCGCCAGTCGTCCATCATCACATTTTCGTCACGTTCTGATTGATTCTTTTCATCCGTTGCCGTGTAGACGGGCTATCCACCTCGATGGTCGGCTCCAACAGCACGTCTACCCATGTCAAACACTGTAACATGTCAATACAGAGTACCGGTAGTGTGAAGTCGTATGTTTGTCCATGCGTCTGCGGTATGCGGTATTTAGCCATTACGCGCATATATGCCAGAGCCTGGAAAGCACACGAGCTGCTTCATGCCGCTCGAGTAAGGTGTGGGCATCCACGTTGCTGCTAGCACGCAGATACAGGTGGATACAGTACAGCTGTCAGCCTTGAACCGACGAGATGCAGCAGTACTGCAGGTGGCTCGGAGGGGATGAGGGACAGAGGCGGAACAGGGGCCATGAAAGGGCGGCCCCAGCACCCATCCTGGCTCCCATTTCAGTAAGCAAGCTACATGCCGGCTTGATTATGGTACGTATGTACACACAGCTCGGCTCAAGAGGACAAGAGGTCACTCTACCGAACGTATACAGGGCGTGTACGCGTAGGTACCGGGAAGACGATGCACTGGGGCAAGCCCTATCCGTGTATTGATGCTTTCTGGACGCAGCCCCAATCACATCAGCAACCCGGGCCGTAGCTGAAAACCGCATTCTCTTGCCTGGGATAATACTCACCCGCCGGGCTGGTTGATACACTGTGTTCCTTCTTTCCCTCGCCCGCTGCAGCTCCGTTCTCCTCGCAGAGCGTTCCCGTGACGGCATTGATCTTCTGGCTGGATCCAGCTGAGCTGCACCGCCTTTGCCGCCAAGTGGCAGGCAAAGGGCCGAAGAGTCGAGGGCTTTGGCCTGACCAAAAGCCCTTCTAGAGGGCGACACGTGGTGAACGAAGCCGCGGAGATGGGGATTTTGTTTTTGCACATTTGACAGATGTCTGCAGCGGCAGACTCCACGGTCCCCCCCCTTTCTTCCCTCCCCCCTGCTTCCTCCCCTGGGCCTCGTTGGTTTCTCTTCCTGTTTCTTTCGGGCTTCTTCTTGTTCTTCCATCTTGGCTGCTCTCGTCACATCTCGTATGAGGTACGTACTGCGTGCAGCCCCTGTCCGCGATACACCCACTCCCCTTTTCCTCTTTCTTTCAACCGGGTCCCGGTCTCGCATTCTACTGCTTCATTCACTTGGTAGACCTCTGACGCGTATCTCGCCAAGTGGAAACTGTGACTGGGGAATACATTGCTCGGCCGCGGAGGCCGGGGGAGCGGGTTAAGAAAAAGGAGCAAAGACCGGGTCCACGCACGATAACTCGTTTCCGGGCGCATCACAAGAGTGGAGTAGGGTTGAGCCCGGAGTATGCATATGGGTACATCCCTACATATAGGGGGCCTGTTAGGCGCCGACGGAGGACGAGGGCATGGACTGTGACAAGGCCGGAGAAGGCATAATCGATCGATATAGTGCCCCCTTTGGGGTATCTCCATTGGGCGTCTCACGCACATTCCCATGTATGATGTCGATGCTACGTGACCAACCATTTCCATTTCATCCATCCACGCTTTCTTTCGGGCATTGAGAGAGGGGGGACAACAAGACACGGAGAATTTTTGCCGACGAGTTGAAGGACGAAGCAACTTAGAAGAGAGGAGGCTCTGTTCTCTCTCCTCCTGATCGTCCTCCTGTACGTTTCTCACGTCCCACAAAGGCCTTTTGCCCCCTCCGCCTCAGAGAGCCCCCCCCACGAGCTCTTTATCATGCGGTGAGACTCGAGATGAAGAGCGGCAGTGGTGGTAGGGCTGAAACGGCCGGCCGGTTTGTCGGGCAGGGACGGTTGGCCAAGATAGAGGAGGGCTCTGGAGGGTCCGCGAAGAAAAGAAAAAGGAAAAGAAACAAGAAACAAGAAAAGAGGTAAAGGCCCCGGGGTCAGTGACCTGCCGCCTGGGCGGGCTGGTCAAGGAATCTGCCACGGCTCGCCGTTGACGATGGTGATATGAGACGGCTCGTGTGGGACAGAGATCTCGCGCCAGCTGCCGTGCCGCTACGAGGCATAGACATGTATGTCCATGCAGCGGATGACATTCATTTGCGGCCCGTAGCCGGAGAATCAGGGTGTAAAGTACATGTGCGGTGGCGTCTCAGTAGAGAGGGAGTAAAAGGACGCCACCCGCTCACGGTATGCATGTACTTGCACTCAAGTGTACCGAGTTGGGCTCTTGCAGAACTTACACGGATGAACAAACGGAGAGGCGCTTCCGGAGCAAACAGCCACCGCGCAGCGCAGACGGCGGACGCGTGCTCATTCAAAGGGGGGGGGAGGGCGGCAAGGTTTCGAGAGCCAACGGCCTCTGCCCATCGTCACGGCTCCGAGGAGTGCCCGCAGTGAGGGCACAGTAAATGTCATATCGAGAGCGTGAGATGTTTGCTCCAACATCGATACCGATCTGTACCGGCATGCTATGGTTGTGTTGGAGGTCCAGCCCATGTATGCGCCTTTTCCCGGCCACCCCATTTCGAGCTCCGTCACCCACACGCAACGCCGTCCACGTACAATACATACGCGTCCGCTTGAACGGTACTTGTGAATACTTTTCACAGCTAAATCATACACGCTGTTCGGATTCCCCACGCCTCGGTGGCGTCCCCTCGTCGCCCCCCTTGTACAGTGTGTACTGCATGGTAACGGAAAGGGGGGGGGGGTGTTTAGCATGTACACGAGCGTCTTCCAGCTGGCTGGAGGACGCGAAAGACAGAGGCGTGAGAGACATGGATGGATCATGATGACGACGATGATTGCGAGGAGCAAACGGAAGGCTGGTCGAGATAGACAAGCGGAAGGGGGGTAGGGTCTGTTTCTCTCCTCCCGCTCTGGTTCCGACCTCGACCGTTTCTTTTTGCTTTTAATCATTTATTTTAGGCCCTTCCATGTCGTTCAAAAAATAGAAAATGTCAGACGCCACCCTTTTACTTAACATGGTAGTAATAATCATGAGGGGGCGCTGAGGGGGGGCAGCCAAGCAGCCCAAGCCCGGCCCGCTTCATGCTGTTTCGCAACGCCCTCCATACACACATTGTCCAACTTTCCGGTTTCCTTTTGGACCCCTGCTCTCCATAGAACCAGTCACGGCCCGCCGCCCCCATCATGGGCGGGCGGACGGACATTGGCTCGCTGTCCCGCCCTTTCCCTCTCCGGCTTTCTGGCTCGCCGCCTCTGGCTCGCCCCGTCCATGTCCCTGTCCTTGGCCCTCATCCTAGTTTGTCGCCTCCCCTTCGACACGCCTCCCTTCTTCCCATCCACTTACATGGACTTCTCGGATCGCTTCTTCCATCGACGACAGTGCAGACCAGTTCAGCCAGGCTGTCCGGTCTCCCCCCCCTCCTCTCCTCCCCCCGCTGTAGCCTCCGATCCAATAACTCGGCCTCGTCTCGCTCTCCGCAGCGTCGGCGGCCATGTAATCAAGTACCGTGGGATGCCTGCCGAGTACCTGCAGACCCCCTCGAGATACATGGGCGCTCGGTACGAGTACTTGGCTCCCGGCATATCAGATCAGGCAGAAGGGGGGGGCACGAAAAGAGGGCTACGTGTGGAGAGAGCCACCGCTGACGAAGAAGAGCGTCACTTGCTTGCTGCCCCTTTCCCTTGTGTCCCCCCCCCTCTTGGGCATCTTGCTCGATGTTTATTCTTGGCTACTATAGTTCGGGCCCTCGTGTTGCTGCTTGATGATGCTTTCCCACGGAGCATCTACGTATGTGCTGAACTACAACAAACACAACGCACATATCTCTCCCTCTCGGGTCTTCTAGCCTTTTCTCCCAATATCTTTGGAGCTGGAGTAGGAGTCATCTGCCGGAGCCTGCCATCTATTCACATCCCTATATACATATCATATGTTATGTTTGATCTTTTTCGGAACCTTCTCTGGCCCTTGGCCTCCTTTGTTTGTCCTTGACATGGGAATCGATCTGTCACTTTGCATGCTCATCCTTCATCGGATTATATTGCCTCCATTCCTCCTCATTCCCGGCCTTTCCCCCTGTGTACTTCTCTTTGCGTTGCTCGACACTTTAGGGTTTCTCGGGATGTGACTCGCGCCCCTCCACTCCACAGACCCGACCGTTGCCCTCCCCCCTCTCCACGACCTTCCTATTTATTCTCTCTCTCTCCCAACCAACCCTTTACAACTTCGTTTTCGTTGGCTCGTTGACGACGCAGACCGGAGCCGGTCGGCCGCGGAAGCGGATGGGAGTGGAAATGGGGCTTCGTCGGCCGACGGGAAGAGAGGAGCTTGGCGAGAACGGGAAAAAAAAGGCACCCCAAACGCGAGCGAGAACCCATGTAAAAGTTGGTGACATGCTCGTACTACACACACATGAGAAATGTGGTACGCTACGGGTACTGCTGCGGTTGTACGTGACTCGCCGGTCTCACCCGGCCACCTTGATGCCAATTCATTCGCTCATCGCTCCCCATGTCGGATACGGCAAATTTTTTAAAATTTTCGTAGGTTTTGTGTCCTTTCCTCTGGCTATTAATCGCGCTTCGAAGATGCCGTCTATGGCGAGGGTCAATCGTTTGAATCAATCAAACAACAGTCGTGAGGGACGAAGCAAGGACCGAATAGGGGGCGGGTGCCTCCACGTCGGAAAGTCCAGGGCTTTTCCGATCGATTGACCCATGACGCTTCTCTCGTGTAGCCTCGGATATACATACATGCCCTGTGCAACGTATGGGGTGTTGGATCTTTACGGCAACTCTTCGTCACATCTCTTCCGTCCGTGACTGGTCTCTTCCTCTCGGTGCTGGAACCCATTCGACGTCAAAACCGTTAGGTGGGGATATCGCTAAGCTTCATGTCGGCGTATCCGGGCGCATGTCTCCTGTAGAGGATTCTGTCTTCCGTTTCCGCCTTTGTTCCGTCAACTACTCTCCCCTTCCCGCTGTCGCTCTATCTGTGCGTGCAGTATCCATTGCATAAGTTCAAATCTTGCGTCCATTCTCTTCGTCTTCCTCGCTGTGTCCGTATCGTACCCATGTCCTCTGTAAATCAAATAAGACCTTTGCATTCCACCAGTCATGAGACGCTGAGTCCGCCACGAGGCTTTTTTTCTTCCCTCACCTCTCGCATGGCTGCTCATTCACAGCTTCGGCACCCCTCCCTTCTTCCCAGGTGGCGTCTATGGCGCTCTCTGGGTGCTTCTGTTGGGTCACGGGGGGATCAGCAAGAGAGAAGAAGAACAAGGCTTCCGCATCAGCCTCATACCAGTTCCAATGTTGTTGCTTTGGGCTGGGGACTCTCCCCTCTCTCACACAGCCGGCCTGGAGACCCACAATGCCTGGTCCATCTCTTCTCCCTTGCAGGAGCCAAGAAAATCAAAAACTCTCGGCCGCGGACAGCGACGCCTAAAGTGGCCCCTCACAGTCGCCTTTCACCCCTCTTGTTCCTCTTCGTCTTGTCTCTCATCCCCTGGCTCGTGCCTGTCACTGCCGTGTGCCAAAGTAGGCTCCACGCGCCCACGATCACACATGTCGGGAACGCCATGGTTCTACGGGCTACAGTACAGATGCAGTAAAGAGCATATGTAAGTCTTTCGATGCAGAGCGTGCAATATAGGCAATCGGCATTCACTCACGTACTGAAAAAGTGTAATGAGTGTATCCACTGTATTCGTAGAGTCGCTATTGCTCAAGTATGTTGGGCTGCCAAGGGATCAGCCGGGCCGAAGGCGGGCAACTGGTGAGGAAAGGGGAGAAAAGAGAATAGCGAACTGCAAGAGTAGCCTTCAAGTAGACTGTACTGTACAGGGGCCAACACAAAACTCGACAGCGTTTCACTTCAAAGGAAGGCAGAGGAGAAGACCCAACTGCATATGTATGTACAATACCAGGGCTCGGCCATTGCGCCCGTCTCCACCGCAGCCTCGATAATCTGCAAGGGCAAGCAAGCATCCGCGGGAAAAGAAAAAAGGACAGAAAAGGGTTGGACTCGGTCACTCGGTCTCCAATACTACCACACTGCTTATTTGCGCTGTCGACAACTCCGATTGGGCCACATGGCGGGGAGGCATCCACAGCTCTCAAGAATCTGTCACTTACAGGTCGCTTTGCTGGGTCTGTTTCCCTCTCGCTTGTTCTTGCTCGTGCAAAACCTGGCAGCAGTCTCTCGTCGACCGAGAAGAGCTAGCCTACAGCTGCAGAAGCGGGTCATATCGTCGAAAGAGCTGCAACAAGTCAGTGTTGTTGTCCAAGCCCCAGCTTTCAAGTCCATCAAGGTTCCCGAGATCGACTCCTGACTTTGAAGGGGATGAATGATTTGATCACTTGCGTAGAGGGCCTTGATATCATTCAGCGTACTGTAACGCTGACTGACGGGCGTCATCCCAATTGCTCCTGATAAGCAACCCCAGCTACGCCCAGACAGGCTCTCTCTCTATTCCTGGCATGGGCAATGGGGAGCAAGAGTACACCCAAGAAAGGACCCGCAGTATGGACACACACGCACACCTTCCCTGTCCGGCTCGTCCCTTTTTTACCGAGCATGTATCAAGTTTGACGAGCATTAGACGATAGATGTACACACAGTACTGTACAAAACGACATGTCGGTTGACCAACTTGGCTGTGCCCAAGAAGCTCTTCCTGGACTGAAGACGAAGTCGAGGAAAAGCTTGTGGCTCTGAAAAGGAATGGGGTCGAAGAAGAAAAACTCGTTATGCATTGCGGGCGAGTCAAGCCGAATAGACAACATCTATGTCGCCCAGATCCAGGACATGCCAAACAAAGAATAGGCGCTGGCCACTGGGTATAGCGCTGCCAAGTACACACGTAGACATGCCAGTAGACTTGTGCTGTTTTCTGTTCCTGGGCGTATTCAGCAGACAGACATGCCATGATGCTCCCGCCCCTTGGTAGTGTGGTTAGCCTCTCGCTTCCCGCTCATCTCTCTGTTGTTGAAAGAGGGGATGAAAGCGGTTCAATGTTCAGCCCTCTGCTGCCATCCCTATTCCTGTCTCTACCTCCTCCACGCACTTCCCCTAAATATATTTTTCCTCCAACGCCCGGGACGGGAGCGTCCACGGCGCTGTCCCGATTTCCGAACATGCACCAGCCAAGGAGAATTCTTGCGTCGCCCCTTGTCTCCTTTATACCGTGAATCAGTAACTTAGGTAAGGAAGAAGCAAGAGAACGGAGTGAAACAGGGAAAAGAGAGATACAGGAATTACAAAAGGCCAGGGGATTAAGGACAAGAATGGTCAGGGCAACTTGAGCACGTCGGAAAGCAGAGCAAGCAAAATTTTGACAAACGAGAAAAAGAAAAAAGAAGAGGAAGAAGAAGAAGAAGCTACTGCTGACAGTGAAACGCGCAACCTGGGTATCCATCCCTTCTCCTCCATCAAGGCTCCCCCAAATCCACCCACCTTCGCTTCGACGCGAGAGAGCCACTTCTCGGGGCAGTTCCGCCGACAATAGGAGAGGGGGGTCCATCTAGGAAGAACCTTGTCTCCCACCCACCCATCGTTAGCCCTCAGTAGCAAATCGTCTCACGTCGTTCCCACATGTGTAGGGCTCCCTCCTGCTGTAGAACCGGCTTTGTCGTTGGGCCCCAGGGACACCCCCCCCCTTGTCTGCCCCCTTCTCTGTCTCTCCCAAGCAGCCCCCCTTGTCGCCCTTCCGGCCTCTCCAACCCAGCTTTCTCTTGTACTTGCCCCTACAACTACTCTCTCTGACTTACCGAGCCGTCTTGGTCTGGGGGCCGATGGGCAAAGCCTCGTCCTCCATCGAGCCCGGTCCCTCGCGGGTTTTCCCCATCCAGATACGAATGTGTATAAGCCATTGTCCCAGCCTGGCGCTGCTGCCCTGTATCGTCATCAATGTTCCTCTTTCTTTTCCCATGAAAACACAATAATAACAGCAACAGATGCTAATGCTGGAGCGCCTTTGAAATGCTTTGGTGCGTCTCGATTCAACGGGGAACCGCAGGTCGTTTATTCGGGCCGGAGGAGGGTTTGGCTTTTTCTGTCTCTTTTGTTCATTCCCCCCCTGGCATTTCAGGTCTGTCTGTGTCCGGCCAAGGTCATCGTGGGTCATGCCATGGTCATGTGAATTCCAGTCGACGACGACATGATGGACGGATAGTAGCCGCCCGAGGTTGTCTTGCCGTCGAAATGATCATGCTGCCGATGGTCTCCCACGCGTGGCGCAGGGGTACTTGGGTTGAAGGGCCGGGGCAGCATGCCGAAGTCGTATTCGTGCTTGACCTTTGAGTCGGCAGCCATGCTCGGGACGACGCTCTCGGGACCGGTGCGCTGGGCGAACAAGTCGACTCGATCGTGGTGGCCGTCGTACATGGGTCCGGAGTAGTAGTGGTAGGCCTTGGACGTCTCGAGGGCCTTGCCGTCGTCGGGCGCCATGATGGCCTCCTCGGGAATCTCGTGATGCCTCGCGCCGCCGTAGACGCCGCTGCGGCTGTCGTACGTGGTGGCATAGCCCCCAGTCCCGGCCCCGCTGAGCATGGCGTTGGAGTTGTTGAAGTCTGCTGCCATGTGGCCCATGGCCGTGTATCCGCTCAGGTTGCCCGCGGAACCTCCCGGGCCATTTCCTTGGCTGCCCCGTCTCTCGTTCTGGTAGTGGCCAGGCGACCGGCCGCGCACAATCATCTTAGCCGACTTGCGGTAGGCAACCTTGACGTACTGGTCCGGGCTGTGGGCGCCCACGTCTGCCCACAGCTCCACAATGAGGTGGTAGTATTGCTGCGCCGCCCGTCGTTTTCCGTTGTTGAGCGTTGCATTCTTGAACTGGATGCGTTCAAACGTGTGCTCGGCCGGAAGCTGCTGCGCGGCTGTCTGCGGTCCACCGAGCCCGTCCGAGTATAAGCCTCTTGTGCCGGGGATGGCGGGGCCGTCCCCGTAGGGATTCATGCCGTGGTGCGACGAGGAGCTTGTCTTGGGCGCCATTGGGATCTTGGACGGCTTGCTGATGGGGCCCTTGTCTCGCTTGGGCGTGTGCTGCACCAGCTCGATGTGCTGCTGCTCGTTCTCGGCCACGACGGCCGAGATGCACATGGCGAACCCGTACACTTGGTATGTCTGCGCCGCCGAGGCCGTCGACGATGTCGGCGTGAACTGGATCGGCACGTTTGGATAGTATAGTGGGCTCAGCGCGTACGAGCACACGCAGGCCAGGTAGTTGCGGCGGTAGCACGTCCACTCCTGGTCGCACGACAGAAAGGGACCCTTGTCGACGGTGCCCGAGATTTCGATCTTGATGGGCGTCATTGCCGAGTCGATGTAATTCAACGACCCCAGCGTCTGCATTGGCTGGAGCGGTGGCACCGAGCCTTGGCCCGGCCGATGTGCGTACTGGCCCAAGTCCATCCTTGCGGCCGAGGGCGAGGCGAATCCGGCGAGCGAGCTTTGCGACGCCGTTATCTGGTGTCGCCGCAGAGACGCTCCCACAAAGGCCGGCGACCGCGGGAGGTGCTCCGAGGCTCGGCGGAAAGGCGGCGTTGCTGTCGAATAGTGGTCCAAGGCGCCGATGTGTCTGCCGGTGCGCTGAGCGTGCGTTTGGGCATGTGCCATGCCCGTCGATGGAGTCGAGCTGCGCAGCCTGTGAGCTATTGATTGTCCTTTGTCTGTCTTGCCCTCGCGTTGACCCAAACTCTGGCTGCTTCTTGAAGCCCTCCTTCTTCGCCACAACTCTTCCCTTCCCGCTCCCTGGGTGTGTGTTTGTGGGCGCCCCTTGAAGGAGAGGATCGAAGACGAAAGACATGAGGGGGGAGGCGTGACCTACTTGGACGTTAAACGAGGTCTGCTGTCTGCTCCATAGATGGGCCCGTGAGTTTGATAAAGAGCGCCCGGTTCGTCTTGGGAGTATGGCGCGGCTGCGTGCTGCAAATTGGTCGAGTGGAAGAGGTTCAATAGCGGTGACGGCTGGGGAGCATCTATTGTAAGTGAAGGCGGAGCATGAGTTTCCTGGGTGAATCTGCACACACTGTCAGTCAGAGCAACAAGGAGAATCCGACGAATCTCGAGAAAGCAAGAATCCGGTGGTGGAAGCCGTTGAGCCCGCCACAGAAGGATGCCGTACCGTCCCTTGCGGTACACGATGCCCACGTACAACCAAGTCGTAAGGTGATACTGCCAACGCTCATGTAGTACTGAAACGACATATACAGAATCGAGAAAAGCTGCGTCACTACGCCGCTTCGAGGGTTTCGAGCCGGTGAGTGTACAGAAAAGTCACAGGGGTAGCACGTTCAGGGTGAAGAAAAAAGCGACGACGGCAACAAGGTCGACGGCCGTCGCCTCGATGAGCCCGAGTGACGCTTCTTTGGCTCCTTTTTTTTCCGGGGTTGAAGAGGAGAAGAAGGTAAGAGAGGGGGGGGGGGGACAAGATAGATAGGATGGATCTGTTTGCTTGGCCTGATCTTGATCGAACGGCTCCATCAGACAGCTACTACGGCGGGGCAGGATCGGAAGTTGACACTCGTAAAGGACTTGATGCTGGACCCACAGCCGGTAGGGGTCCCCAATGGACCAAAAGGAGGTGCATGAATGGGGTGGAGGGATAGGAGAAAGAGGCATGTACAAGGGCGCCGGCGCCGGCGGTGGTGCTGCTGACGGTATGTGGTGGAGGAGAAGGAGAAAGAAGGTGGTGGTGGTGCGACGATTGCAACGAGAATCGACTGCCAATGAACGCACAAACTCACCTCAGTTCACCCGGCTGGGGCTGTAAGTCGAGGTAGGCCAGTTCCGCGCACTGCGACGGCGAGGAAGCGTAGTCCTGTGAGAAACGAGGAAGACGTTAGAACGAAAACTGCAGCTTTATGACGGTCCGCGCTTCGCCGGCTGATTCCGTTGGCTCGTGACAACAAACACCAGACCCTGCCATCGTCCATCCATGCTCGGACGTGTGAGATTGAAGACGTGTATGTATGTATGGATGGATGGATGGCCATGTACATGTTAGCCTCCCCCCCCTCCCCCGTCTGAGGCTCCATGGAGATTGATGAGCCACGGCTTTACGATGAACCTGGTTCTCCGATGTGTTAGCGGGCACGGCACAACCCAGCAGCATGCATTCGAGGCAAGACATATGTTGCAGGACGGCCGGGGTCGTGGCTCGGGATGCCACTGCTTGTTAGGTGGACGTGCATTCGACAGACAGGGCAATGTAACTGGGCCCGGACGCAAACGGTACAGTACAACAGGATACTCGGAGCTCCAGGCACAGTACCTGGGCGCAGGGCGTTGCAGGGGTTTGTCCAGTGCTGTCGGAACCAGGACGCCACGCATTGCCGGGGGCTGGGCGGTTACACAAACACGCCCGGGGTCTGGGTCTGAACCTGTCCGGCCCCAGACCAACGCCGTCTGAAATCTGCAGGGACTGGCCAGATCTGCCGCATACGAATGAGTTCACAGCGTCCATGCCCCGGTCGTGGGTCGCAGCCACGAGAGGAGAGGGCAGAGGTGGTCGAAGGGTGCCGAGCAAGGAGAGGACTTTTGATTGCTGGTCCAAGGGGGGCGTAAACGCTGGCGAGGAGAGACAACCCCCGGTCCTGCCGCCGGCATCTCCGTCCTCGGCTGCTGCTGCTTCTGTTGTCGTCTTTGCCCGTGCCGCGCAAGAGGAGTGGTGCGTGTATGGGGGCAAAGAGAGAGAGGAAATCAAAAGATGGCTTCTTGAACGTACCTCGCCAGCTGAGAACAGCGAGGAAGCTCTTCCAGCAGTAACAAACAGGCATGTGCATGTGAAAGCCAAGTCATTTACACCTCGCCGTTGAAAGTCCCACCTGTCAAGTCATAATGCAGCAGTGATAAGGTGGACGGGTGGCGCCCAAGGGCAAAGCAGCACTGTCGCCCAACGGACAACGCCTTAAACTCAATGGGGGCATAAATACCTTAAAGCTCGGAGGATGCATAAACGCCGACTGAGCGACGGCAGATGTCGCAACTGACAAGTAAAAAGAGGTTTTCTCGACAGACGACTCGACGCTTCGGGAACGGGTGCCGTGATTCGGGTACCTCAGCTCGATAGCTGAGCTGGACTATTAGCCGGAAGAATCGCCCAGGACCACGAGGACGGAGGCCGACCTGGGAGACAGGGGATTTTCTGATGATGTTCGTGTTGCTGGAAATAGGTCGAAGCCGCTCAAACAATCTCCGATCGAGTTGTTTCCACCACAATCGTTCGTCAAAGCTCTTTTGATTGTCCTAGCGTCGCTAGACATTCGAGTCGTCCCACAAGAGATGCTAACCGTCCTGCAACTAGTTCCCGGTGCCGTCTTCGGAAGGACGTGACGAATCTGAAATCGACAACAAAGAGGCCACGACACGTCGAGAAATGCCCCTGGGGTGGATACCGCCGCTGCCGCCCTTGTTATCCTCGTTCCAAGTCGTGGACTGTCTGAAGTCTAAAGGCACGGATTTTCCTTGATCGATGGGCCCCTGAAAACTATATTGGGCGGTTAGCTGCTTGGTTTCGATGGGCCGAGAGAGTTCCTCGTCGAACAACATGGGCTGTTCCCACTCAATAACGCCGGCAGCGGCTGACGGAGGGCCGAGTAATGACACAAGCACGGCCGCAGTGGCGCCGACTGCTTCCGCCCACCCGGAGACGCAACCGCGGCCAAGTTCTCGGGCCAGTTCCGAGATGGTCGAGGCCATGGTGGTGACGATAACGTAGGTGGCGAAGAAGTCACGGCGAGGAACAGGTGCGAGTACACCGCGGACTTGAGGGGCGGGGACCTACCAAGTATTGAAGGCCCTTCTGCTACCTCTGCAACTCTCTGTGAGCCCTCCCCTGGCAGCAAGGAGCCTCCGGAGTGTAGAGGCTGCGGCTGTTGTCGGAGAGACGACAAGGCGTAGATCAAAGTTAAATGCTGGTGCGACGGTTCGGGTGCTGGCTCGGACGCGCCAGCAACAGCTACCACACGATGTCTATGCGTGGGATAATGTCGGTCAACCGACAAGGCACACCTTTCTGCGACAGGCTCGTGCAAGGACAGGATCTTTGACGAATAGTTGCCTATATAATCCCTGAGGTTCTCGCCGTGGCTGGGCCTCGCCTCACGTCAAACTCGTCGTGTACTCGTGGGTCCACGGAATTTGGTCGAGGCGAAAGTGGTACAACGTAGGCTGCCCACGGGATGAAAGCGACACTGCTCCGGGTGGGGAGACGGGAACCCCGAGGCGAGATGGAGTGATGGTAAGAAGAAGTCTAACTTTGGCAAGGGAGAAATGAGAGCTGACGAGACGGTAGAGAACATGGGATCGGTTGTGCAAATTCTTGGAATATGAGCACAGGCGTCGACAAGACAACGAGGAGTCGTGGGCCCTTTTTATGAAAAGCACCCCAACTACCCGAACGTTGAGATGTCCATGACACGGGGCAATGTCAAGCTACGTGGTTGTTGGCCATACACCCCCCAAGGCTTAATGGTGGGCAGCGGCGGCCAGTTCGTTGGCGAGCCATGGCGCAAGGTTGCTTGCTTGCTTGCAAATAACAATCAAGGAACGCGCGAGGAGCCGCGTTAGCTTGACTTGCCCGGCCCTTGGGACTTGGACCAGACACCGGCTTCTGGCCTGCTGCAACGCAGCTTCGGAAGAGAAACATGGCTTGTCTTTTGTTGCGATGAGAGATAGTGGTGTCTTGACAGAACCCCCGCCCTTCTCCATCCCGGCGCCAGTCTCCCGAGGTGGGTACGACAAGAACTCTTCCCCGGAGACTCACCCATTGACTTGCTCGCCAGTGTTGATGTCGAGTCTCTTGGAACGTGTCTTGCCTACCTGATGACGGGTACTTGGCCAAGGCAGGGTTCTGTCAAGAAGAGGTGTAGCTGAGCCTTGGTTCGTCTGTTGGCCCCCGATGCCCCATCTGAGGTCCGCATACATGCAGTTACCCGTTCCCCCATAGGGACCACTTGAACGCGCGACGGGTTTACCTCAGCTGATTGGCCAGGAGCTAGCCTTTGATGAAGGAGCCACCCATGCGGTTAACTGCAGGCTCGAGCAATGGATTTCTGAGAAGGATGGGGAAGAGTGCCGAGCGTGCTTCTCGTTCCGTAGCTGTATGGGAGGACGGCTCCGGTTCCCCCAAAGGCTTCTCTACGCTTGAAAGAGCCTGCCTGCACATTGCCGAGGGCCGTATGATATCGAAAAAAGCAGTCCGACTGTCCGTCTCCAAAGTACATGATGAGGGGAAGCTGCACCCATGGGCATGCACTGCACGTAGTAAGGCGTCTCGAAGGGGATTTGGTGAGCGTGGTACGCCTTCAGGAGAGGCGGGGGGAGTCATGCCCTCGCGCCAAGGTTTCGGGCCTTTGCTCCTGCCACGCGCCTAAACAATAAGAAGTGGCTTAGGGGCTTGTTGTCAAGACCACTACAGCAAGGGGTGGCCCAGATAGTGGTGCCACAGCATCCAGCGTCAGGCTTCCAGCTTGACACAGCGACATGTGAGGGCGTGGGACTCCTCAGACTCGGGGGACTCTGTGCGGATGAGCGAGAGCTGAGCATCGGCGACGCCGGCACAAGGCCCAACAGAAAATACTCAAAAGCCCTCTTGCGCCAGGCCGACAAGATCAGGCCGCCCTGTTCCCGGCGTGCCGCTGCCGTCTCGGGGCAGGCCAATGATATCAACCTTTAGCCGAGAAAAGGGAGGGCTTACCGCCTCTGCCCAGCCGATCCGCGGGACAGCCAGAGAGAGATGATTGCGTCTGGCGATGGCTAGGACTTCAGCTGCAGGTCATCGTGTTGCCTCCATGCAATGAGCGGCTGGCAGAGCTAGGCAGCCGATGCTTGTCGGTGCGACTTGCGGCCAACCGGGGTAGGAGTAGCGTTGAAACGCGGAGCTCAGGCGGCCACACGGTGCCCGAGGCTTTTGGGACCAGGGAGAAAGCCAGCCTCGACAGTGCAGTGTCGTCATCCATCTCCCGGGCGTGGATTGAATTCGCCACCGCGGGTTCTGGTCAGTGGGCGGATTCCGACATGGGCGTCTCGCGCACCCGAGATGGAAGCGAGGAGCGATTTGCAAGATCAGGGACGCGCGTAGCATTGACGAGCGAGGTTGTGAGGCCCAGGAGTTTCCATAGAATAGCCTGGTGTCTGAGTCGACGAACAAGGGATTGCACAAGCGGCAAGGCGACCTGCCCAGCACTGGAGCGCGGGTTACGACACATGGCTCTGAGACGGCAACACCTGTCAGGCAAGATCAGATCTTGTACAAGGCGGCTAGTCGGAGCTTCCTCAAGGGTCCTCACTTTTGCGTCGTCGAGGTCGCGGCGAAGAGCGATAAAGGGATCGGGATGAGATGGCGGGCGGGCGGCGTGCACCGACCCAGCGCTGGTGGCTGCAGTGACGCCAACAGACCATTGATGTTCTGCATTGCTGGCACAGCCGCAGTGTCTTTCTGGACAAGGTGGTGACACAGTTGTTACGACCCGGACGCGACGGATCAAGGCGGTGGCAGGACGGGCTCAGGACGAAAACCGCCCATCGGGTCGGGGAACCTGGCCGGCGAGCCGTTGCGGATTACACATAGATTTTCGTGTAGCCTCTTGGTCGGCAAGGCAATCGACAACGAGGCGTGAGTGAAGAGCGGCCGGGGCATCCATGGTGGAGACGGGTTGATGGCCTTGATATCCTCACTGCTGCTGTTGGAAAGGAGGCGTGAAGTCGGCCGCAGCGGCTCACGCGGGCCGTGTGATTTAATCAGTCTACACACCGTACGCTCTTTGTTCGCCCAACAACAAGGTGTGTACATGTACGTCTGGTGCGGGAGAAGACACACGGTACGTACTGCTTCATCTCTTATAATTAGCGAATAACGGAATTCGACAAGACGATGGACTCAACAGGTACAGATAGAGATGCCCGCGTTCTTCGAATGAATGAAGGTATTTAAACATTCCACGGCTTCCAGACAGCGGGCGACTGAATAATGGACCTTGAGCCCTGTCAAGCTTGGCAGGACAGCTTTGGAATTGTCCGTATGTCCTTATCTGTGCACCCACTGTCCGTGGATCTCACGTTCTCCAAGAGCACCACGGTGCTGGGCAGCTTAACCCCTTCTCTGGAGACTGAACCTCATGGACTTGCCTGTCTTGCTCTTAGTCCGTGCCGAGTCTCTTGTAGCAACTGACAAGCCCACGGTACTTAAGGTAGAATGAGAATACCTGCACAGTGCGTACTTGGCTCTTCTGTCTATAGCAGGTGGCAGGTACACAGTGCTTCGTACCTGTGGAGCGCTTGCGTAACTTCCTTTCGAGTCGTCCCCCTTGCTCTTGACAGGCGAAGAATCACCGACGAGTGACGAAACCTTCATCCAACCTCATGGCATAACGTGCCGTCGCCCCCACGCTTTGAGATCAGGAAATAGCCTCGACAATGACCCAAGAAAACCATGTGGGTGCGCTGGCCTCGGCGTCTTTCCCGCAGGAGACTGACTGCCTGTGCCACATCGAAAAGGCAGCCTTCAGTGATTGGGTCGTGATGTTTCCCCGGAGACATGATCAACGCTGGGGTCTATGAACGACGTCGGGCTTGCCTTGCTCCTCACTTCCATGGCTGTCGGACGCAAAGCACAGCGTGAGCAACTCTCCCGCGCACTCGGACTCCTTCGTTTGGTTGACGAGTGCCATCCAGCATGGACAGGCCAAGGACGAGAGGGCAAATGACTTGTTCGGCTGACTGCCGTGGGGCTCTGTCCATGCTATACACCCTATGTCTCTGTCGGAACTCTTGCAACGCATCCTCCGCGTCCTTCGTTTTCATCTGGCATCTGATCATGCAATTCCAGCCCTGGATCTCCAAGAATTGCTGCCAAGTGCGCTCCATCCTGGAGCACCCGTTCCGATCAATGTGTCTCATATGCGACCAGAAAACTGCTGCCTTGCTTGGCCGCAAGGGGCTGTTCCTGCGTGTCTATTTCGGGTCTGAGCAATGGCCACGTCCGTAGCATGGCTGGCAACCACGAGTCGACTCCTCGCTTGTACGCTGATACTGGAAGGAAGCCCCTGAAACAACTACCATCCTCTTCGATGGACGTTCATCTTACTTGGGACACAAAGGTAGGGTGCTCATTTCTCCCCTTGTTGCCAGCCAAGAGAGATTGAATCAACTGCTGTCAGATCCGTGCTCACAGCGGGCCGCCAGAGTGGCCTGGCCAGCATAGTAGGCACGCGACAGCAGGGATGCCTTCAGAAGATGTAATGGGCTGCTCGGCCGGGAAAGCCGTCTGAGCATGCAAGGCGAGTGGCGGAAGGTTGAAAAGCCATCGGGCCATTCACGGCGCAGGCTTTCCACCTCGTTTCCGGCATCATCAGGCGGGCATAATGCATCCTCACCTTTGCCGTGCAGGTGGCCGTCTCAACCATGGCCGGCATCAAAACCACCACAGACCATGCGTCGACTGCCAACGTCTATTTCCGGGGGGGTCCTATTGGTCCAGCCCACGAATTGGGGATGGGAGCCCGCTGCAGCGACTGGACTCCTGATCCGAAATTCGATGCCTGTTCGCAGGGCCCTTTAGTATCTCGTCTCCACCAAAACGCTCCTCCGATGGCCAAGGTCCGCTCAAGAGGGTGCATGTCACACGCCGAGTGCCTGCCTATGGGCCTGCTATAGGCGGAGGCATTGCCTTGTCGCCAAACTCTGGCGCTGACTTGCGGGACATGACAGCAACTCCGCACCAGCATCAGGGGTATTCGCTGTATGTGTTGGGCTTGTGGCACGTATTTTCATCAGGGCCCAGGGGCTACCTATCCGCCGTGGCCAAGGGCAGCTGTGCTAGTTGCGATGGGAGACCCTGCGTCTGCTGCTCGATAACTGGGCTCGACAAGGTCACCAAGGGCTCTAGCTCTGCCCGATGGATGAGAAGTCGCTGAGGAGTCGGCTCGCTCCTCTCCTTCTGCCAGAGAGTCGGTAGGTCTCACTTGTCGCCTTGGAAAGAGGCGTGTCACCACGCTGAAGGCACCCGCTCTACCTGGTGTTTTCCCGATTCGTTCGCTTCGTCTTTCCACATCCAGCCAAGAATCAAGGCCCGCCGTCTCCGTAAATCAGGCCACAACTACTGCTATTGCGGTCGGCTTAGGCTGACACACCTCTCCTGCAGCAATGTCTCAAGAGCCCTCGATCCATGTCTGCTGGGATCCTCGCCGAGATTTCAACGATACAGTGGCGCGGTACTTGACTCCCTGATCGTGGGCGGTCTTCCACCGACGCTGAGGTGAATACATGCCCGTCAGACGTTACTTGACGGGTGCACCGTCACCCTTTGAACCTCGCGGCCTCTTCCGTGTGGCCAAGCTATCAGACCGATTTTTGGCGGGTTTAGGATGAAGAAGGCCCGCGGCGGCCATTCTCGACTCTCTTTGGATCGATTGCAGCCCGTGGTGACTCCATGGCGTTGTTCAGCGCGCAGAGAGTCCCCTGTACACCCCCCTCTTGGCCAGTGTTGTATGACCCGAATGCTGAGGCAGCTGCAATGCCATGGCGGAACGGGGTTAAGCAGCTCAGTCGACTCTTGTTAAGCCCTGGGGCGGCCATCAGGGAGGAAAAGCCCGACGCCCTCCTGCGCAAAGACCAGGGAAGCCAAGATCCACGCTTCCGAGCCTCGCCAAGTGGATGAAGATGAGGGAGGGGAAGTGGCCGTAGGCCGAGGGGGTGTGAGCAGGCAGTCTGTCGTGATACTGTCTCCCCCTCATACAAGTGGAAGAAGGCCAAGTTCACGCGGTGGTGGCTCATGTGAAACCTTTCTATCAGCATCGATGCTTTGCATGTCTCGGCCGGACGAATGCAGCGGAGCGACACGATTGCCTGGATCAGGATCGACTTGGTCGGCTGCCAACCATGACTTGCCAGCCAGGGTGGGGGCAGAAAGGCGGCCGTGGAAGCATGGTTTGCTCGTGTGCGAGCAGACGACCTTTGGACCAGCTGGGCTAGTCGTCGTGGCCCGCGAGTCGGGATTGGTGGCCTTGAGGCAAGATTGAGTGAACCAGGCACGCCGGAGCAGCCCCAAAATTGGGGCCTGGCGTTGAATCGGCTTGGACCCTATGAGAAGCAGTCGAACACTTCGTATGCCAACGGTAAGGTGGAAGGGATCACTTCTCGAGCCCTCTAGCATGCAGCGTCTATTCCTGCCCTAAGAGACCAACGCCCATGAATCAAGCATCTTTCTGCCTTGGCCAACAACCACACGGAACACTACCGCTGCCCTCCAACGGAGATGTGGAGCGAGGCCGAGAAACGAGAAAAGCGAGTGTGGCCAAAAGAAAGGGCAGATGGCGCTCTCGTCGTTTAACGCCGAGAAGGCGGACCCGAATCCTTGCCGTGAAAGCCGACATGCCCTGCTGCGGACGAAGGCTCTGGTGGGTCACGGGCCGGCGGAGGCATCGGCGGGGCATCGGCTGTGGCGCCCGCTGATCTAACGGCCCAAGCTCATTGGCAGCGTCATCAACGACGGATTCGTCATGCTTCACTCTTCACTCTTGCACAGGTCGCAAGAGCCCGGTCTGGCATGCCTAGAAAGAGGCCGCAGGTCAAGTCCTTCAAGCCAAATCCCGTGGCATCCTCGGCGCAATCGTCTGCGCCCAGCGCCTCCGCCGGCAAGCAAACCGCGCCGTTCGACCAGGACGTGGCTGACAGGCTCTCTCAGACAAGAACAGGGCGCCCGCGAGCGTCAACCAACTGCTGGCAAACCTGCGCCGGGCCTCGACTGCCTCTTCGGCTGCCCGCCCCGTCCCGACGCCCGCCCCCAGCCTGCCCCCGGCCATCAGAGAAGTCCTCCAGCTCCCCGAGACTCCTGCGCCACTGCCGAGACGAGCCGCGAGGCAAAGATTTGACGAGCATGGCCGGCGTCTTCCCGCCGGGCCTGCTCCTCCACGCAGCTGGCTCTCAAAGGAATACGCCGAAACAGCAGCTGAGAGGCATCCGGGGCGATCGTCGCGGGTGACGTTTCCCGGGCCGGCCCAGGCGACGCTGCCCGGAGCTTATATGCCAGCGCCCGGAAGCTTCATAGATATACTTCTACGGCGTCTAGCCTTGGACTGGGAGGCCCATCGTGTCTACAACCAGTACCATTTGTACTCGTTGCCCAGTCACCTCAAAACAGCGCTCATTCGGTACATTGGCGTGGCAGCGGAGCAAGGCGCTTCCGTCGCTGACCTCAAGGTAATACTACTGCCACCAGCTGGAGCGTACAGCGACGACGATGACGACCATACTGGGCGAGAATCCACATGGAACTGCGAAATTAGCTGCCTGGACCTGTCTGGCTCGATCGGTCGATCGCTGCAACCAAAAGATGTCTCCCGTCTTCTTTTCCCGTTGACCACGGAGACCGGGTCTGAGCAAGTCAAGGACTCATGGGACGCTGCTGATCCGATTCCGAGCCCGCCTCGCGTGCTGTTGCCTAATCTCACCCATCTTTCGTTGGCCTTGGATCCCACGACGGGCCAAGACGCGTCATGGAAACAGCTGCTCGCGCTCTCCTCCAAGCTATCTGCCGTCACTCACTTGAGCCTCGCCTTTTGGCCGGCGCCGTGCCAGCATCGGCCAAGGCAGCATTCTTTCGTGGCGCCTTTTGGAGGCCCGGAAAGTCCCGAAGGCGGCCCCCGTGACTCGATGGATGGGGACTGGAGCGAGACGCTGCTCGTTCTGAGGCTGCTGAGCAGGAACCTGTATAGGCTGGAGTACCTCGACTTGACGGGGTGCGTGTCGTGGTTCGAGGCTCTGAAGCTCGAGAATGGGCACGACTTTGTCGACTGGGTTTGGGCTTGGGGGAAACTTGGCGTCCTGAGGCTATACGCGGGCTGGACACCGGGCGAGGACGCACTGCCATCGGAAAGACTGGCACACGGAGAAGCCGCCAAGATGGCAAGGAGCATAGAGAGACACATTGTAGCCAAGAGGGCAGGCAAGGCCATGTTTATCACGGTGGAGCATGACGAGGCGGCATAGGCTGGGGAATACAAAGGCGATGTACCGTCTGCGAGTGTCTATGCCTGTATTCTGCACCGTCCCTTGTTGTGGGCCATGGTTCTCAAGTCGGTATTGTCTGCTGGCCTACATGTATGTGCAAGACGCCGAAGGCTGAGAAATTGCAACTCCGGAACCACCTACCCTAGAGCCCCGGGGCATGCCCTATGACGTCATTCATCGCCGCCGGCGACGTCGAGATTTGCCGTCACCAATGGTTAATACCATTGCCCTTGATCTGTCTCGTTATTGAGCAATATGAGGGCGGCCGGGCGAGTCAGAGCGAGTAATGCCGGATGCTACAGTTGTGGACATCGGCGTGAGTCATCCGGCCGGCGCTCGGTCTGGTTGCTGCGTGAAGGATATTCACCCATAATGCAGACAAGCACTGAGCGAAAACTTCCATTGCTGTTGTGATTGATTCCTCAGGCATACCGGGCAGCGCGAGTACCTATTCTTTCCGCTACCGAAGCCAATCTTGGATGCTGCTATAAATATCCGCCCTACTTCGTCGTCTTCGACCTCTCCTGTAATATCATCAACACCGCCAACAAAGGGCGTCTTCCTCTGCTTCGCCTTCCCCATCGTACATCTCAATTGTATAATAATTTAGGTCTGCACTCTCGCTCAGGCGCCTCCCACCAGCCGGCTTCTACGCAGTCAAGCATGGCATCCATGACGTCGGAATCGGCGGCCACCATCCTCTGCACCGCCAAGCAGACGCGCTTCCACATCGACGCCCCCAACTACCGCGAGGTATGCCATTTGCCCCCCGAACCCCATTGTCTCCTCGTCTTGGGCTCGCAAAGCAGCTAGGCCCTGGCTTGTACAACGAGCTTTGAGGAGCCAAGACCATGCGTGGGCTACTGAGCTGAACCCCTGCGCGCAGCTCGACATTGAGGGCCTCTGCATCACCGTCACCTCGGCCGACAAGGCCGCTGCCCCGGCAAAGGGCACCAAGTCCAAGGCCCGCTCTTCCCAGGGCATCGAGATCCTGTCCGGCGCCAGCCTGCGCCTCAAGCAGGGCCAGCGCTACGCCCTCGTCGGCCGCAACGGCACGGGCAAGTCGAGTGAGCAGCGCTTCACCCCCACGGAGGACCTCTCGGACGGCTGACATGCTTTCGTCTCTGCGCGCTCGCACTTGTGTAGCCCTGCTAAGAGCCGTGGCCGAGAAACTCATCCCCGGTATCCCCGAGGAAACGAGGATTGCTATTCTGCAGCAGACGAGGCTGACGGATGACGGGGACCATGACGCTGGCCAGGATGCCGGCTCGGCTCCTGAGTCGAGTGTCCTGCGGCAAGTCATTGACAAGGCGACAGCCAGAGACACAGTCGAGCAGGAGATCAAAGGTATACATACAACGTCGTGACGTCTGTTGATATATCTGGGCATCCCACTCACGCGCCTTTCGTCGACAGTCCTCTCCAAAGGCGTGGGCGCCGCCGACGCCGATGCACCCGTCCGGGCTCTGCGCGCCGTCAAGCATGAGCGTCTCCAGAAGCGCCTCTTCCGCCTCGACAAGGAGGCCCGGCTCAGGAGCGGTGCCAGGGGCATGCAAGCTAGAAAGGCTCTCGTGGCCTTTGAAAAGGTCGTTGCCGAGTCTAGCCACACGTAAGTCACCTTTCCGGCCTTTCAGTTGATATCACACAAGATGGAAAAACTGGGAGAGGCGAAGAAGCCCCCTCCCAGTATTCGATGCCGTCTAACCATCCATCTAGACTTGGGCAGCCGGACCATGAAATCACGGCAGACACGCTGCAGGCTGAGACGCAAGAGGCCGCAGATATGCTCGCCGATCTCCAGCTACAGGTCGAGCCCTCGCGCCTCGCGCAGACCGAGGCCAAGGCCAAGTCCATCCTGACAGGCCTGGGCTTCTCCGAGGAGCGCATGGGGCGGCCCATCGGCAGCATGTCGGGCGGGTGGCACATGCGGGCCTCGCTGGCGGCCGTGCTCCTGCAAGAGGCCGACATCCTCATCCTCGACGAGCCGACAAACTTCCTCGACCTGCTGGGCATCATCTGGCTACAGCGCTACCTCGGCTCGCTCGGCTCGACGATGGACAAGCCGCCGACCATGATCCTCGTCTCGCACGACCGCGACTTTGTCGGCCTGTGCACCGACCTGCTCATCCTCAAGGACCGGCAGCTGACCTACTTCCACGGCGACCTGCCCACCTTTGAGGCGTCGCAGGCCGAGCGCAAGCTCTGGCTGTCCAAGATGAAGGAGGCCCAGGACAAGCAAAAGGCGCACATGGAAAAGACGATCCAGCAAAACATGAAGGCCGGCAAGGCAAACGACGACCAGAACAAGATGCGCCAGGCAAAGTCGCGGCAGAAGAAGCTCGATGACCGGTGGGGCATGCAGGTCAACGCAAAGGGCGGCCGCTTCAAGCTCAACCGCGACCTCCCCGGCTACCATGAGAAGGCGCGTGACGACATCGACATCCCGCCCGAGGAGCGCCCCGTCATCATCACGCTACCGGAGCCGCCGGACCTGCGCTTCCCGGGGTCGCTGCTGTCGCTCGACAAGGCGTCGTTCCGGTACGCGGCCGGGGCGCCCGTCGTGATCCGCGACGCAACCCTCAACGTCGGCATGGGCGACCGCGTCGGCGTCCTCGGGCTCAATGGCGCGGGCAAGTCGACGCTCATCAAGCTGCTGGTCGAGGACACGCGCCCGACGTCGGGCACCGTGACGACGCACCCGCGTCTCAAAATGGGCTACTACTCGCAGCACGCCGTCGAGGGTCTCAAGGCCCGAGGCAGACATGAGCCCGAGCTGACGGCGCTGTCCCTGCTGACGCGCGACGTCGACGGCAGCCTCGGCGAGGGCGAGGTGCGTGCGCTGCTGGGCGAGCTCGGCCTGCCCGGCCGCATCGCCTCCGACGTGCCCGTCTGCAAGCTCTCGGGCGGCCAGCTCGTGCGCTGCGAGCTCGCGCGCCTCTTCTGGCGCCGCCCGCACTGCCTGGTCCTCGACGAGGTCACGACCCACCTCGACTACGAGACCGTCACGGCCCTGCGCGTGGCCCTCAGCCGCTGGGAGGGCGCCGTCGTGCTCGTCAGCCACGACCGGTGGTTCATGCGCGGCGCCGTCGAGGGCAGCCTGGACGACGACGAGAGCGAGAGCGACGACGGCGCCGTGGCCGACGAGTCGCCGCGCAGGAGGGTCATGTGTCGGCTCAAGGGCGGCAGCTTGTCGGTGCTGGGGAATGGTGTCGACGAGTTTGAAGGGCTCATGGAGAAGAGGGTCAGCAAGCTGCTCCAACAAGACTGAGGCCCAAGAGTTGACCCTGTAAAAAAAAGAAAACATAATAATGATGACTACGCTCTCTGTTGACATTGTGAATCCACCAAGATTCGGAATGGCATCCCCGGCGCCCTGCTCACAGTCATGGACCCCCCTTTGGGTACCTCGACAATGATGCCGTCGACGCAAAACTTGCGCCAGCGCGCGTCGTCGTCAAGTGCCTCGACCACCACCTCGCCGACCTCTTCGTATCTGACCGCCTCGCCGTCGTCCCACTTCATGCCCACGTGCCTGCCCCCGTCGTAGGCCTTCATCATGACATCCATGGTGCGCTCGCCGCCGACGGGACCAAAGTGGACGAGATGAAGCCTGCCGTCCAGCGGCTTGTTGGCCGGCGAGATGGTGAATGCACGCTGCAGGTTCGAAACCATGGATACGAGGATGTAGGCGTGCTTCTGGTGCGGGTCCTGCTCGAAGCGTGCCGAGGACGGGCTCCGGACGGACAGGTTGGCCTTGTAGGGATGGGACTCGCGGAGCAGTTCCTGCGCCACCATCCCAAAGCGCTTGTCGCCGTGGGCGCGATACTCGGGCGTGTCGCTCTCGAATACGATGCTGGCGTGGAAGCCGTAGCTAGCGACTATGGCCGCGTGCAGCGTCGAGACTGGAGTGTCTTGCCTCGCCACCGGCGCTCCGCCGGTCTGCTTGACCACCTCGACATGGGAGACGGTGTGGGCGCCGGGGGAAAAGGTGGCCTGGAAGACTGGCAGATCCGCCGATGCTCCGAGAAAGAGAGTGCGCAGGCCGAGGACCAGCGGCGAGGGCCCGGGATCCGACGCGACAGGCTTGTGCAAAGAATGGAACAGGGCATTTCCCGTGCCCAGCGGAAGCAGTGCAAGAAGCGGGCGTGGCGAGCCGGACACGGCCTCATGGCCGTTGAGCAGGTCAACGACCCCGCCATCTCCGCTAAGCAGGATGACGGTCCTCGAGCTCGGCGCGCCGCGCTCCTGGCCACGCTGCAAGGTACGGGCAAACTGCCGCACGCTGCGGGCATCTTCCGTGACGACTGCGCTGGGCAGCTGAAGCGAGGACCCCAGGACCTGGTGAGCGAGCTCCAGAAGCGGGCGCAAAACGGCTTGCCAAAAGGTCAACGCGAGGCCCAGGCCCGACTTGACGGACACGACCACGTCAACTTGGTTGTCGTTGCCGCTGCACAGGTGACTGGGCAGTTGGCTGACGCCCCGCTCATTGAGCAGTTGATCCGGCACTGCATCGGCGGCCAGCAAGAGCAGCTGGAAAGGCTGTGTTGGATGCTCGAGGTTCACTTGCAAGCAGCAGATGATGAAGGCTGATTGGTCTCGCGCGGACTCAGACCGGGCCAGCGTGAACAGGATGTCGTCGACCGAGGCGCGGCCGTCGCGGCCTCCGCCATCGCCCGTCGTCCAAAGCAGGTTGTCGTCTTGCACGCGGACATGTCGTACACTGAGTCGGTGGGCTTCGGACGACGGCTTCGCTGCGCCGGCCATTTGGGCGGGAGCAAGCCGGACGAAACGTCGAAGGTTAGATCTAGTCAGGTCAGATCAGGGTCGACAATACATGAGCAGAAGGCGATCGACGATGGTTCGAGCAGGGCACCCGCGCAAGGCAGGTTTGATGAGTCACGGGCTTATTGAACAAAGTCGAGGTTGCGCTCAATTGAAATGCGCGCTGATGCTATATCCAGGCCAGGTTATGAGATGTAGCCTGTAAGCACAGAGCGGCGGCCTTGGTGGGGCTCGCGTCAACCCACGTAGATCCGCCGGCACGCCATCGCTCGACATCGTGTCGAGGCGGGACACCATCGAGCGTCAGTTTGCTTTTGCCCTCGTCATCGGCCCCCAGTTACGCTGCGGGTTCATTTGGTACCGCACGTAGCGCTGCGAATCCCTTTGACGACCCAGCCTGGCCAGGGCATCGTTGAAGACCAACGTCTTTCGTAGATCGCTCTCGTTGGGCATTGCCTCGGAGGGTTCTTGGCCTTCCTTGACCTGTTGCTGCTCCTTGTCCTCGGCGCCCTTCCTCTCCGCGTCACCGCTTTCTTTCTTGTCGTCCTTCATTTTCAGGTCACTACTCTCCTTCTCGTCCTCCTCCATTTTCATGTCAAGGCTCTCCTTCTCCTCGCTCTTTTGCGCGCACTCCCCGGCTCCTTCACCTTGCTGCCCCAGAAGTCCGGCGTCGTGCAGTATCTTCCACCCGGCCATGGGTGGCTTAAACTTGGACGTTTTGACAGGAGACCTTTGGCGTATCCACTCCGCAATCACCCACCATATTGTCGACCAAGGCGCGTCCGTCTTGATGCTTCCCGCCCGGCAGTGGCTCCGTCCGACCCGATAGCCCAGGTGCATCAGAGCGCCGCGGAACAAGTCGTCGTTTGGAGTGGCGCAAGAGACAACACTGCTCACCTTTCCGGGGACGACAAAGAAGGGATAGTGATCGACAGTCGCCAGCTCTGCTTCCTTGGGGTCGACGCCGGCTGGGGGCTCGGGCCCCGGGATGAACTCTTCCAACGCAGTCCGCAACATACCCTCCAGTCTTGCCAGCGTCTTGTACACTTCGGGGGACGCCTTGGGGATCTCGTCGAGGATGCGCTGGATGAATTCCTGGGAGTGGATGTGGCCTGCGTACATGGGCCCGCTGAGGTGCGTCTTGAAGCCGCAGTGCTGGCAGAAGCGATCTGCGGTAGGCCCCAAAGCCATGCCATGCTTGTAGTAGAAGCCGCTTCCCTTTTTGTTCTCGGCCGGCCTACTCTTCAAGAGGGGCTGTGTCTCCCAGGCGCCGCAGCCTTGATCGCAGCTGTACACCACCATGGACTTGGCGGGGAGGAACTTGACCGCTTGTGGTGACCTGGAGACGCGAATGAAGAGTTTTGTGTAAAAGTCAATTGACAGTGACAGGAGCGGCTCAATGGCCAGACCGTACTTGGCGCCGGCCGTGGCGACGGCGCTCAAGATGAGGCGGAGGCCGGCCTCATGGGCGTGCATGCCTTTGACGGGAATGCCCCCGTACAGGGCAAACGTCTTTTCGCAATAGCTGTGCCCAGCCCAAACAGCGCTGTCGGTGCAAGTGATGCACAAGAGGCCGCCATCGAATCGAACAGACTGAATGGCGGCGTCGAAAAAGGGGGCGGCGCTGCCGTAGGGGTCGAGGTCAACGACGTCGAACTTGTTTGTTCTTCCGGGATTGCCTTGGCGGTCTTTGGCGGACAAGTCGTCGGCAATACCGCGGTACATGAGGGCGAGGGCATCTTGGTTGGTCACGGCGACGATATCTTGGACGCCGTTGTGTTCCACGTTAAGTCTGATGGAGGCAGCGGCCGAGGCGGAGAGGTCATTGGCAGTCACCGAAGTGACAAAGGGGAGCTCGTGCGCATATCGTAGGGCGCGGAGGCCCGAGGCGGAGAGGGCATCGAGAATCTTGAAGGAAGGCTTGTGCTCCTTTGCTGGTAGGGGCTGTTGTGACTTGTCGGGTTGGCTGACGGCTGCTGCTTGGTTTTCTTGGAGTCCCGACTCGGACTGGGGCTCTGGCCCAGGGGCCGGAGCTGGAGCCGGGGCAGGATCCTCATGGCCGCGCTTCCTCTTCTTGCCGTGCTTGGCGGGCCGTTGTCCCTGCGGTCGTCTCTCCAGAGCCCACTCGCCGTAAGCCTTGATTGCGAGGATGGAGAGGTCGCGGTTGTACTGCTGGATGGGGTTGTAGAAGACCTGCTGCCCGCTTGCTCCGTTCTTGTCGGCTTTGGCGGTCAGGGGCACCAGGATTGTCGCCTTTCCCTCTTTGATGGGTCGGAACTGTTTCCCGTCTTGCTCGACGACGTCGACGGGGGCCTCCGAGTCGGCCATTGGGGCGGCTGTCGAGAAGGGCTGTATGGAGAGACGCAGGCGCACGAGGTCGGATAAGGCCGAGGCTTTGGCGATGAGGGGGGCAGCTCGGAGGGCGCCTGAGAAGAGTACGACCTTGCAGGAAGCGAAGCCTAGCGGCATGCGGGCTCGTGGGCGTTCAAGATCACGGCCGGTAGTGGCACTGCGGCGGAAGCTGTCGACGGAGGCCAAAATTTGGGTGGATTCTGCCGCCCGGGACGACCCTGCGAGGGCGGTGAATGAGCGTGGATTTGCCCCACCATGGCACTAGTCTTTCTTTATCAAGCAGCTGCTGCTTCAACTCTTCCGTTGCGGCATCGGTATTATGGCTTACGCGCAATGTGGGATTGTACTGGCACCCTCATACGTGAACCCGATCGAGGCATGCATCGTTTAATCACAGCCTGGACCTCGGTATTTCCCGTGGCCTGCGTCCTTGGGAAGCAGCAGCCTGTATTAAAGAACCTGCCCAGCTTGATACACTGAGAGATGCTTCAAATGTCCGCTTTCTGTCTCTGCTTCAGTTGGTGCTGCTCTTGCCTCCTGTATGTCAGTGCAGGCTGGACCAGGTAGGCGCTGGCAGCCCTGCCTTCCATCTCGCAGGCTCCTCCTCAGACGTCCAGCCAGAGATTTCGACTCGGAATCTTCCCTATCCTCAACTCCCTGCCATCACCTCCACGACCAAGCCCTATAGTCCTCGTCCTTGCCGCGTTATTTATTCCGAATCCTTAACTGCAAGCATACCTATCCAACGGACCTTGGGCCCGTCGCCCTCGCCATCGCCGGCTCCGAGCCACGGGGCTCCCGACTTCCCGCCTGCAATGTCGAAGCAGCCCAAGCCAAAAAATCTTCCCGTCCTGCCTCCCGTCCCTGTCGCCAGCGATGACGAAGGCGACTCCAAAAAACCCGGTATGGCCCCAGGGAACCAGCGGACGGAGAGCCCTGTGAACCAGCAGCCGGACAGCCTTGCCAACGCTCCCGGCAGTCCCTACCAAGCCCACGGACATAACCAGGTGCCTCGTCACCGGTTCCTGTCTCCAGCAGAGAGGTCTGTCGTTGCCAAGGGAATAGGCGGCGTGCGTGATGTCGAGGATCACGGCACAGCCCATCCCACCAGCTGGTGGTGGCCCCCCATGGGCATGCCCAGAGGCCTCTATCGCGACATTGTGACGTGCAAGACCAAGTTCAACTATGTGTTCCATGCAATCAGTATCATCCGATGGACTCTGATGGTCGCCCAACTGCTCATTGGCGCCACCGTGACGTCTCTGGGTTCCATGTCGCTGCAGAGTGGAATATCAATCACCATTCTCGGGGCTGTCAATACCGTCATCGCTGGCCTGCTCGCCTTGTTGCACAATAGCGGACTGCCCGATCGCTATCGCTACGACAAGGCCCAGTTTGAGGAGCTGGAAGACCACATCAAAGAACTCCTGGACTCGGGCATTGCCCCCGTCGAGCAGACGGCCGACCAGATCCTCGCCGAATGCTTCGATCTGTTCCGGGAGGCCAAGGCCACTGTCACTGCAAACATGCCGGTCAATTACAATTCGCGAAAGGCTTTGCAGACAGGCAACATGCAAGACCAAGCTTCGCCGCCTCCCGCGCCATCGCCTCCCGGGACATCGTCGACGGTGCCGTCGCCCAAGACCAACGCTGGCGAGAAGGCCCGGCAGCAGGAGCCACGTCACGACAGCCAGGGCAGCAAGAAGGAGGAGAGAGCATGAGTACCGAGAGGCCGATGGCCCCGGAGGCACGGGCGAGCGGCGGTGCTGACATTGGCCCATGTGGCGTGCTCACAAGTGTTACTGTCAGCGTCGTGTAAGAGACGGAAGCGGAACAGCCTCGGGCAGGGGGTCGCAGCGAGGCTTGATGGCGGGAAACACGGTGGTTTACAGCAAGAAACAACAACGCAAATCATCACATGTCGCACCTCTTGCATCGGCGGTTCCATCGTCGCGGCACCCACCCCTGTGCAGGTATCCGTACATGCACATATACCGGCCGAGGACCTTTGCATATATCGTATGCTGTGCATCAAGTATACGATACCTGGCTCGCACAAACAGGCTGATGCGGCGGTCCTTTTCTCTGAAACGTCGGTCTGTCTAGCAAAGTGGCAGATTTCCTGCCCTGGCGGGAAGGAGTCGAGTTGATCGGCCATCGCCCCCATGTCAGGGGTTCTGCCTAAAGTCAACAAGGATCAGCTCCGCGCGGCGCTTGATGTCCGAACCGACCGTCTGATGTCCCACCGTGCTCGCGCGGAGGCTTTCTGGCTTGCCCGCTTCGATGGAGGATCACCCTCGCAAAAGTGCCCAGCCATGTCGCAGATACATCGTCTGCCGTGGCAGGGCCGAGACGGACATGTCATTGTTTAATGCCCGCTGCTCCCGCATTGTCTTCCTGTGAGCCTCTGCCAGTGGTTGCCGCACTCATATAGCTGCAACATCCCGTGAGCTTGCCCCTGAGCTCAACCCAGGGCTTGCTGCACGTAAATTGCAGGTGGCGGCTTCGGTGCGGCATATCCATCGGCTTCAACATTCTTTCCTTTGGAAAAAAAAACCCGGATTTAGGCAGCCTGGCGCTGCCCGTTGGCAGTCATGCTGGTTGCCAAAGGCCTTTCAGCCCTCCACGTGAGATTCGGCAACGTTCTTGTCATCGCCTTGATCGTTGGCCTGTGCATTCACATCTCGAGATACTGGCAACAACGGCACCATAGCTCAGCCTTGATTAAGCTAAACGAGAACCCCGCGGGAGGCCCATCGGCAGAAGAGCAGTACCTCGAGAGACTGGCGTACCGATACGCTCTCACGAATCAGACGGAATGGCTGGCCTGGAGAATCCAGTCTGCGGGGCGCAAGGACGGGGGAAGCTCTCTCATTGACGTTGGCCTAAACTTTGGATCGCAATCTCACAAGATTATCGACTTGCGTGGTCCCGATCCATCGGCTCTCCGGGCGCCGAGGAAGATGACACTGCCGGCTCGCGACGACACGCGGGCCGAACCGACGGACGCCTCAGACTTCTTGTTCGGCATCTCTTCAAGCTATGAACGCATCGCGGACCGAGACTGGGCCCTTGTCCGCGCATGGGAGCGGTGGTTCACGGGCGCGAAGAAGGAAAGCAACGGCGCCGGCCTGGTGCTGATGCTCGACAAGGCGACGGACAGGCAGCTCCAAGAGGTTGACGAAGAGCTATATGCGAGAGGCCTGGATGCCTACTTGATGTCTACAGAAGAGCCCATGTCCATGGCCACGAGGTACCACGAGCTCGTCAGGATCTTCAAGACATACGGCGCCACGCTTGCGGCCAGCGGCCAGCGCAAGAAATGGTTTGGTCTTGTCGAGGACACCGTCTTCTTCCCTGACCTGTCCTACCTCGGGGAGCGGCTGTCGAGATACAACGCCAACGACGAGCTGTACATTGGCCTCCCCAGCGAACGTCAGGACTGGCACGCCGACGGCGACAACATGACCACCTACGGAGGCGGGGCAGTCTTGCTGACGCGCCAGGCCGTCGATCGCATCCCCCGCCTGCCGTGTCTGGAGGCCGCCGAGCTGGAGGCGCCCGTCAAGCCAAAGAGATGGGACGCTCTGCTGAAAGAATGCGTGGAGCAGCGAGGCGGCTTAGACATGCGCTTCATCCCTGCCCTTTACTCGCCCAAAGACGACGGCGACGGCGATCTGCCGTCGGTGGCGAGCCAAGAAGCGGGAGCTCGCCCCTTGGTCCTGCACGACTACCAGGACCGTCATCGCCTAGACGTCGGCATGGCTCACCTGGTGACGGACGTCTGTGGAGAGGCCTGCTTCATGCAACGCTATGTCTTCCACGACAACTGGGTGCTCGTCAACGGCGTCTCCATCAGCCAGCATCCCGACGGCCTCAAGCATCAGCGGCGGAGGCGTGCCAATCAGCGGCGCGGGGTGCTCAAGGGGCGCGTGGGGAGGAACACATCTGGGCAGTTCGTCGACGACGACCAGGAGGTCGAGAGAACCTTTCTCACGTGGACCGGCCGCAGGAATGTGTGGCGGTTGCTAGACTCGGCACCGGCCTTGGATGGCTCGGTCTGGCAGGCCTACCTCAGGAGAGGCACGCGGGGCAGCGAGGGGCCGGGCGAGATGGACTCGGTGATTGTCTTGATTTGGGAGCAGAGTCCCATGCGTTGACCATGGACCGAGACTTGGCGGTGTTTTGGCGCCTGTCATTGAGGGGGTTTCTCCTGCGGGATACAGGAGCCCCCAGTTGCCACGAGGACGTGTTTCGTGCCATTTCTTGATCGCCTTGTCTTCTTGTACATACATGTAGATAGGTTCCCACGCAAAGGGCGGATGAGCCATCAACGACCTTGGACGGCTACCTGCTGCCTTCTCGTCTCCTTCCAGTCCTCCGGCTTCAGCTCGTAGTACAGCTCGCCGACGGGTTCTCCGCCCTCGGCCGGGCGCAGGACGCCCTTGCCCCCGAGCCCGAGCTTTCCCTCGACGAGCGTCACCATGGGTGCGTTGTCACTCAGGGTCGTGATGGTGACGACGTCCAGCTGAGGGCCGCCGTGGCTGACGGGTGTAAAGGCCCAGTCGAGGGCCAGACGCATGGCCTCGGCGGCGAAGCCCCGGCGCCTGTGCGCGGGGGCCACGAGGACGCCCGCGTCGCCCGCGCGCATGGGGCGTCCGAGGGCCGAGTCCCAGCGTGTCTTGATGGCGCCGAAGCCGCCGAGGCCAACCACCAATTCCTCCTCGTCACCCTCCACCTCGTCACCCCCCGCCTGCTGCTCTTGCTGCCGCTGCGGCTGACCGGCCATGTCCCCGGGCTCACCCCCCGCCTTCTGGTGCGTCAGCAGGACCAGCGCCATGTTGACGCGGTCCGGCCCGCTGGCGACGAAGCCGTCGGCGCCAAGGACGGAGGGGGCGCTGGCCGACTGGCGCTGGCGGGCGATGACGGCATCGGCGTCGTGGCGGGGGCCGGGGCCGGCGAGCAGGGCCGAGAGCGCGGGGGCGTCGCGGGGAGCGACGGTGCGGAGGGCCAGCGGCAGGGTGGCGGACTGGAGATGGGTGTTGAGATGGCACGCTTGCCGAGATTCAGGCGCCATCGCGGTTTGCTTTCTTTTCCTGTCTTTGCCCTTGCTTTTCTGGCAATTGGGGGAGGGATTCCTCATCTACTTCGTAGACAGGGGTGCACAAGCGTTGATGGCACAACAAACGCGCTGCGGCACACGAGAGAATCGGGCTGGCGGGCACAATGTGGGTTGACTCTGCAGGAGATGGCGGCCGCCACCTGAGTAATATTGTGGACAGTGAAAGGCTACGGCAAGAGCATGATATCACGCGATGCATCCAGGCCGATCTGGCCGCGGATTGATTCCCCGCGGGATGCCAAGTGAGGAAGCTACTGCACTCGTCAGCAGTGGGCACCAAGGGAGGGCGTAAGAGGCAGAAGCTCGTCTGCCTTTCTGTTCTTCCATTGTTCAAACATATGTCACGGCCGAGGAAGACATAGCCACCTTTCCCCCTAGTCAAGCAGCACAGGGGCACAAGGCCTGCCATCGCGTCCATCGTTGCGGCCAATGAATCCGTCTCAGCCTCCCTCCATATATGTAAGCCTCGTCTCGGCAGCAAGACATCGTGAATCTGCTGCCAAGTCATGCCCTGCGGAGAATCAGCCCCGCTGAGACGACGGCAACGCTGAGGCGGCGCCTCCAAACTGCTGAGCTGGCAGGCAGCGCCCCAGCAAACGGCCGCGGAGACACTCGACTGTTCCCATATCATCGGGGGCGCCGTGGGCGATGCCAGTGACGTCGGCGCATGCGAACGCAGAAATTAGAGAATGGCCCAGATCGACGGGGCCAAGTTTCTTCACTTCGCGACCAGGCGGGATGCCACCAAACCAAGACGTGCCATGATGCAAATGCTCTAATTCTACCGGTAATGGCCCCTACTGTATATCCCCACTCACCCGGCGCTGCTGCTTGTCCCTAGCGGGTGTCGTCCCGGAGCTGCGCAATGCCCTGTCATTCTCGGCCGGAGTTTCGTCGGCGACGCTGGCCTCCTTTGTCAGCGGAGACGGTATCTCGGGCGTGACGGAGCGAGACTCTGTTCCCGGCCGCTTTGATCTTGAGCCAGGCCCCAGCTTCTTACGTCGCTTGTCCGAGGCGTTGGAGCCGGAGCTCACCCGGCGGCTGATCTGGCCGTCGTCGACCTCAAGAGTGGGCGTCTGACTTCGGGAGGAGCTAACAGACGGGCGACGAAGACTGCTGCTTCGGCGCTTGCGAACCTTTTCGCTGACGGCCGGGCGGTTGAGGTTGGCCTTGGAGTGATCTAGCTGGCGCGGTTGCTGCGTCTGTCGCCACGGGAGCCACCAAAGCCAACCATACTTTTGCTTAACGAGGCGACAGTCGCGCTCCTTGACCTTGGTGCGCAGAAGTGCGCGACGCTCGTTCTCCCGCTCCCAGTATTCGGTCCGGTACAGCTCCCAGTTTTCTCGGAACATGGCGGAAAAGGGTTTGGCAAGGAGCAGCAGCTTGACGTAGTCACCGCCCGGGGCCAGATCCTCCTCATGGCCGCCCTGCTCTTCGTCCTCCTGCGGCAGGATCAGGGTCGGGTGGCTTTCGCTCGAGAGCTGCAGCTCTCTCTCGGTTTCGCGTAGCAGCGATGGGTCGACGTGTCGGTAGGAGGAGCTCGCCGTGTGGGAAAAGAGGCCGTAAGTGAGGAAAAAGCCGACAGTGGAGAGGGCTTCGGCCCACAACGGACGGCGGATGACGACAAGCTTGCAGTTAAATGCGCGCAGGCCTCTGTTGGATATGGCGAACCAACGACGGGGCCAGCGGATGCCGCGATCCCAGATGCCCGTGGCCCAGACGAGAACGGCGGTGATGATGCCGCCCATGAAGCAGACCTTCTGGGCACCCTCGACGGCCCAGTAGATGGAACCACCCACGCCTCGGCCGTCCTCGCGCGGGGCAAAGTAGAGGCGGTATCCGAAGAAGGCGACCCAGAGGGTCAGCAGGGTGAGGAAGAAGGTGTGGTGGCGCCTCCTTGCGCGTAGCTCGAGGAACTGGGCGCGGAGCGAGGCCTCGAGGATCAGTAGGTTGAGGTAGACCATGGAGGGGGAGCTGGGCGTGTGGTGGAGCGGGTCGCCGGGCTTGCCCTGGATTGGCGTCGTTCCGGGGGTGCTCTTGACACTCTGGGCGGCGGCAGCGTCGGGCGCGCCCTTGACGATGGAATCGATGTCGTCGGGCATGCTGGGCTCGGTCGATTGGGATTGACTGGGAGCAGCCGGTCAGCTTGTTGGGTAGCGGCCGAGTGCCATGCAGGGAGCGTGGATGCGACGAGTCCCAGGCTGGTGTGCTTCAGTGTGAGGAGCAGCCCCGGCCCAGGTTGAGCGGCAAGGCAGCCGTGGAAGAGAGGCTCGAGAGCTCAGAGATGAATTGCGTGGAGGAGGAGGAGGAGGGGGAGGGAGAGGAGGGAGAGGAGAGAGACTGGTGAAGCAACAAAACTCCAATTCCGCATCACGGGATTCGCCCCTGGTTAGTTGGGAAGGTGCCGAATACGTAATCGGGCCTCTCGGTATCAACTCGCACGTGATATCCCGACCCCAGACCCACACGTTATCTGATGAGAAAAGCTCAAGCCAATTCACACGTGACTCCCTTTCCACCTCCACCACCCACATCTCGGCTCTGCGCAACAGACAAAGCCATGCTATGGCATCGGCAATGAGCCTTTGGAGCCGCAGGTGCCCATTCGCTTGGTTTCAGAGGGACTCTAGTGCTTGGAGGCCTCGAGGGAGTTCCCTTGCCAAGTTCAGCCCTGACAACGATACATTTGGGGCCTGACTAACGAGCATACACCTCTGGCTATTAATAGGCATACAAAAAAGAGCGGGGCAGTGTCGTTCCCCACGCCTGCTACGCGACCAAGGCAGGCATAGGCTGCTTACGTAATTTCTTCACATTCGGGCTCGAGGCTTAAAGATGCGTGTTAGGACAAGAAAGGGCCTATAATACGCGTTAGTAACACCTCTATCGGGGGTGCCCTCATTTTGCATGGTGTAGCGGTATTTTACCAGCTTGACAATGCGTTATTTCGTCGAATTGAGCCCTGCCCGCCCGGCTGCCTGCCTGCCTGCTTACGTCCTTAAAGGGGTTCGTCGGCATACAAATCTCGCTATGCTTCTTCTTCGTCTTAGACGGCCTCTTCTACCTTATCCCACTATGTGCCTTCCTCCTCCTGCGAGGGCATCGTGACGATGATTTCCTCCTATGTAATTATGCTATACCCTCGTGGGCTCGTCGGGCGAGGGGGCTGCGGCAAGCTCATCGTCAGAGACTAGCGTACGGCGTATAGCTTGTTGATACGCTCGTGAATAGCTTTAAATTGACCAAGTTAGTAACCATGTAAAATTCTACTCTGCAAAGGGCGCTATGTAGGCGCGGGGAATGCGCGCACCAAATTGTGCGGTAGCGGCGCTGCGCCTTGACCAGCCATACTTCCCCACGAAAAAGCTGGTCATAATCAGAGGGGTGGGGGCTCTCCCGAGAGGGCCGAGACACGGCGCCGGGCCACGCCCCCACTTGAGCTGGTTGATCCGGAACCCCGAAAAGGGGTTCCGGATCAAGTCCACCGGGCGTAGCGAATTGTGTACGTGTTTGCGAGATCAACCCATGCAATCAATTGTCGGATTCTGGGTTGCTTGCAGCTATCCTGGCACAGGGCACGACGAGATGCCGATATCTGCCACCCGCCTCATCTGTAGCGTGGAATGTGAATGTCTCTGTTGACGAAGCCAGTTTTGCTGCCGCGTTTGCAAGGAGGGAAGCCAAGGAAGGATACCGTTGCGACTACATCCAGAGGTGCTTGGCCGGGCTAGGGAGGGGGAATAAGCCCCATAAGGAGAGGGTGAAGCGGCAGGATGATGAAAGTGGCTGACGCAAGTATTCTAGTTGGCTTCCTTCAAGTTGGAAACTCCTGTATCGGTCGAATGTGTAGGTCGACGAGTGTGAAGAATTTCTCTAGCCAAGCACGGGGTGATTCAGATAGTTGCGAAGATTCTCATGATGGCCACGCCAGTCAATCTCAACTTCATGGCGGACGCCAAGGGGGGCTGTTTGGTCTGGCTTTACGTCTCAGTGCTTGATCAATCAGTCACGGTGACTACTGATGCTTCTAATACGGGACGTGACGGGGCCCAACATGGGCTATGCCCCTGCGTTGGTCCTTATGAACTACTGTGCGCCGTACATGACGCTCTAGATGCTATTTTCGAATTCGAAAAGGAATAAATCGCTTTCCAGGACAGTAAAGGGGCGCTGGAGATCCAGAAGCAGGCTACAGCAGGCCACCATTAGGGTGGTGATGCTGGAATTCCCAAGAGACTCGGCTCTTGGGCAAATACTTCGATGTAAATGAAGCAATTGCTGGATGCCTCCGGAAGCTAATCCCGATAACCTGAATATAAAGGAAGGAAATGAGTAACCGAAGTTGGCCACGGGAAGATAGACTCGAAGACGAAGAGACTTGAAAGACAGATCAAGCCAGGACAGAGCCGCACAACGTCCTCTGGGAAGACCCCCCCTCTCCTATCAATGCTCGCTCGGGTCATGAGTATGCGTTTGCGCATCTCCATCAGCATCCAAATGCCATTCACCAGGAGCTATAGTACCATCCAATCTGGACGGCATCTTCTCTCTAGCTAGTTCACCGTAACGGTTAAACCACTCGTAGAGCGAGGCGTATTTATCGACTTTGGCCACTTTGGACGACCCAGTGCATTTCCCTTCAAATGTTATACCTAGATAACGAGAATTAGTTATTGGCTTTGAAGGGTACGCAAGGGTGGTTTATACCTGCAAGCTCCCACGAGTCTGGATTGTAGCGTTCGTCTTTCACGGAGGAGAGACGAAAAGACCTGATCTCCTCTTTGGGAACGCTGGCTGACCCGAAAGCCTTCTGAAGGTCAATATTTCGCGTGTCTACGGTTCCTCTCGATGGATGCTTTGCGAGAGTCAAAGAGTCGCCTCCAATCTTGAGAGTGATATCATCAAAGGTTCCGGCGCCATCCAAGCCGGATATACCATTGCCTAGCTTCAAACGGACCTCTAGGCGATCGAAGTGGGTGCACGCGCCCGCCTCTGATGTTTCCTTGTCCGCTGACTCTCCTGGAGTCTGATTTTTGTCCTTTTCGTCGCAAAGTGGACGTACTTTCTCATCGACGGTCCAGTCTTCGGCATGTATCGCAACAGATCGGACTGGGGTAGGGCGTTCAAGATGAGTTCGCTCATGATGAACCTCGGCATTTACCGCCAGGTCCTTCTCGTACACGAGCATCTTTGATGCATTTTGCATATGGATGAGATGAAGTGGGATCGTTGTTTCTCCAACTAAGCTATGACTGCCTCATCCTTATGTAGGAGGCAGCCAGGTCGGACTATCTAGGCGATCCGGCCGGTTTACAAGGCAGCCACATACCGATGCCTGTTCACACGGCTGCCTGTTTCACACGGCTGCCTGTTTCACACGGCTGCCTGTTCACACGGCTGCCTGTTCACATGGCTGTGCGTGCGGCAGCCGGTGTCCTTGATGCTTGGTGCCGTGCCCAACGCTCCAGTGTGCGTAGGGACACGCAAAACGCATCATAATGCCGGCCTCAAAAGAAAACTCCACTGTCCTCAGTGACTGCCTCAACAAAGGCTACATGTCAGAACTTTCCGATCGTCCCTTTGCTTTGCTGTTGCGAACCACTCGCGGTCCCGTCGTCTGCCCGTGGAACTCATCCAGGGCCTTTGACGATATCTCTTCCTTCCTGACCCACTGATCATGCATGCTGCCCCATCCTTTCCAGTGGACCAAGTACTCCGTGACGGGCTTCCTGTTTCTTCCAATCTTCCTGACCCGTACGTCCAGAAGCTTGTCAACTTCGTAGAATTCGCCTTCCTGGTCCGTAAAGTCCTTTGTGACTTCTACTGGTCCGGGGTGAGCTTCTTCAAAGCAGCCTTCGTGAGCTGGCTTGAGGTGGTGTATTGAGATCACTGGGTGGACCTTAATTTGCTCTGGAAGGTCCAATTCACAGGCCAGGTCTCCAACCATCCTTCTGATCACAAAGGGCCTTCCCGCTGTTGTGACCACTTCTTGGGTGGCCTGCCTGGCTGGTGATATCCTGATGAAGCTTGAGATATACCTTGTCTCCAGCCTTGAGATGGATAGGTCGGTGTTTGGCATCGTACCAACGCTTGGCCTTCATCGCTGCAAGGTCCATAGCTAGGCTGGCCTGCTTACGCAAGGCTTCCTTGATGTAGGGCAATTCGTCTGCCTCTGCGCTGGCTGTGCGATCAACAGCCTCCAGGGACTTTCAGGGGAAACCGTACATTAGTTCATGGGCTGAGGTCTTCGTGCTGGTGTTGTAGGCTGTGTTTAGATGCCACTGCAGCGAAGGAATAAGGGTCTTCCAGTCAAGGTTGGGGTCCTCAATATAGGCCAGTCGCAACGCTGTTTCCACTGTTTGATTGCGCCGCTCGGCCAAGCCGTCCGCCTGCGGATGATATGCCGTTGTCATGCTGATTCTGGTGCCAAAGGCCTTCCAGAGCCCTTGCCAGAAAGCAGAGGTGAATTTGCGGTCTCTGTCACTGACTATCGTGCGCGGCATGCCCCAATCACATAGCATGAGCTGCCTAGCTAGGGAGGCTGCCCAGTCCTTGGCGCTATACTTTGCATTGCCTGGAATCAGTAGGCATCGCTTGCTAGCTAAGCAAGTGACTGTAAGTAATTGATTAAAGGCATTAAAGCCTTCAATATGCCAGGGTGAGCCCATAGCTGAGACGGCAGGCATGTCTGTGATGAAGTCCATTGCAATTGACTGCATTGGAAGCATCGGGGGTCGATTGGGCAGATAGCTTCCAGCAAGCTGTTGTCGATCAGTCTGTCCAAGGCAGCAAGCTTTGCACTTGGCGATGTGCTTTTCGCTTGCCAAGAGACGTTCCTGATCGAATAGGTTTCAACTCCTTGAGCATTCTCACAACGCCAAAGTGCCCCTAGAAGCTTTGACCGTGTTCTCACTGTCCTGGATCATTTGAAGGATCTTGCGATAATGGGTATCAGCCTGATAGCCTTCTGTGAATTTGATGCGGTATGCTGGATCCATGATGGCCTCAGACGCAAGGAGCACATCGTCAAGCGCTGTGTAGTCAGGTCGTTGTCGCTCGATCAATTGGTCGGTCTCAGGGGCTGACAGCCTGCTTAAGGCATCAGGGATGAAATTGATTTTCCTGGAAGATGATCAACCTGCAATTCGTACTGAGAGAGATAGATGGAGGCTACTACTAGCCGTCTATTTGCTCTGTCCGTGCTTGAAGTGTCGAGGAGGTCTTATTGACGATCTGCTGTGTGGCTGAATGGTCCGTAAGCACGATTAAGGGCTTCGTTGACGATTGACCACTGTGCGCATCTTTTTGATAGCCCAGACTAGGCAGGCCACTTCTAATTCCGACGGACCATATGATCTCTCTGCGTTGGTGAGGGTGCGGCTGAGAAAAGCTATAGGTTGCATCGCTGTTGAGGAAATAGCTTGGCCAGGCTTCCATTCGTAACCTTCTTTAAGGTGGAAGTAGGTACAGGCAAATCTCGTTGCAAGGACCCGTCAACTTGACAGAACAGTTGCCTGCTTGGGTCCATATGGTGGACTGCTCTGCCGGAGGCTACTTCCTTTGGATAGCTTCAAATGCCAACCGCTCCTTTTCACTAGGCTCGAATTTGGTGTTCCTCGCAAAGGCACGGCGTTTGTTGATGTTACCTTGCTGAATTTTGCCAATTTCTCGTCCTTGGGCTAGTAATTGAGTTTTCCGGTGCTGCAATGGCTCAATGAGGGCTCCATAATACGGTAAGAGATGCCGTAGGTAGCCTGTTGCTCCAATGTAGCTTTCAACGCAGATAGCTGGTCTGGAAATTCCAGCTTTGCAAAGGCTGCCAGCCTGTGTTCCGTTGTGCTCATTCCAAAGGCATCAACGCGGAAGCCAAGGAGTTGCACAGAGGATACCCAATCCAGCTTTTCTTTGGCGACATCGTGAGGTTAAAACGCTCGAATAGCTGGAAGATCTTGCTAAGGTGCTGTAAGTGCTCCTTTCCGTTTTCGAATAGATCACAACGTCGTCCATAAACGCTCTGCAAAACCCTTATATGGTCGAAGCACTCGATCCATATAGCGCTGGGCGTAGGCCGGGCTATTGCAGAAGCCAATTGGTGCAACAGTCAGTCTTTCCAGTCCTCTATGGCTCGTGAGGGTAAAACGATCACGATGTTCGAGTTTGACTCGGAATTGGTGGTAAAGGACGATGCGTCGATTGCTGTGATGTACTGTGCGCCTCGAAGCTCTTGGATGATGTCTTCTTGCAATGGCAAGGGATAGCTGTCTGGCATGGTGACCTTATTAAGAGCTCGCAAATCGATGACGACCCTGCCCTTGGTTTCTCCTCGGGCTGTTCACCACACAACGAAGACGGGGCTGCAAAGGGGTTGGTCCGTGCACGTATTCCATACGTCCTTGTGCGTGGAGCTTGTCATGGGTTTCATCAATGACCTGTTTGTCTCGTAATCCCTGAGGATAGGGCGTTGAGCCACCTTGTGCGTGTGCCAATCCTTGATAAGGGAACTGTGAGCTCGTGGCCTGCTTCGACTTCAGCTGTGCCCGAGTCTTTCCATAGTTTGGCGTGTTTTTCAACAAGGGCTTTGATCTTGGTCACGAAGCTGCCTTTCTGCGCATAGATGTGAATTCCGTCGTCAGTGCACACCTCTGGGAGCTCTGGCGTGCGTTGAACGTGCGTTTGATACGGAATTCGGGTCTCAGGGCAAGGTCAGGAGTATCGGCTGTTGCTGCTGCACTCAGCTGGGTGCTTGTGACGTGGAGCTCCTTTCTTGTTGTTGACCAAGGCTGGCTGTCGTTGCTGGCTGCTGTTGTGTATGCGTACAAAGCTTCTGATAAGCTTGAAACTGATTCTGCGGTTGCTGCTAGAACAGGGCTTTCCGGGGTGAAAGTCCCGTCAGCTATTGCGATAACATCGTCTGAGAGGTGGAAGGTGCTATTGATAGCAAGATCATACGATGTATGGCTCTGGGGAGCGCTTTCAATCGTCATTGCAGAAGTTGTTGGGGCCAAGGCCGCTGTGGCTATTGTCAAAGCTGTCAGAGCTGATTTCCATGAGGCTGCAGCGAAGTAGCCCGATTCCTCGCATTCTTTGATCTGCCCTAGGCGCTGTTTGCGGTTCACGATGATATCTTGGTTCGTAGTGTTCGTGAACATGACCGCTGGGACAGTGTTTCGGTCAACGAGAGCATGAGCGGCCAAGGGATGATTGGAATGAAAAGCGAAGGAACGGCCTTTAGGGACTTCCTTCCAGCTAGCTGGGACTAGCATTGTCTTGCCTGCCGGGACCATGGTTTTTCTGACGGCCTGAACGCGTCGGACTACCCCTTTATGAGGCTTATAGATGTTAAAAGGGATACCGAAGTCGTCAAGGAGGCCTATTTGAACGACTTCCTTGTCGTAGTGGATGTTTCCAACATACGGCTTGAGGAAGGCATTGCCTAGCAAGGCTCCTGGTTCCACGGTAGTCACCCAAGCGGAACTGGTGAATTTAGCTATGCCGGCGCTGCTACCGTCAGCCCTCTTTCCTTCTGCATAGAAGGAGAACGTGGCCCAGTCTGTGCAGCGGACACTGCCGCTGATGCCTGCAATTGGCGTTGGAGGCTTCTTCTCAATGGTGTGCTCGAAGCTCGTGCTTGTGTGTGCTCAAATAACACACTGCGGGAGGGGAACTTGCGGTTACACTTTCGGCATTGGTGGTTTCCTTGTTGGCCAAGATTCTCAGGAGTTGAGGTCATACAGACGTAGTATTCCTCGATAGAAGCGTCTGATCCTACATCACTGGCTTCATCGTCGTCGGAAATGGCGGTTTTCTTGTTGTCTGAAGCATCTTGCTTGTTTTCGTCCTCGCTGGCAAGGTAATTTTTCTCAAAGCGGACCTTTTCATAGCCGCCGCTTCGCTCATTGCGCTGAGGATCTTTGGGGCGGTTCTCTCGCCTTTCCTTGGCCCGTGAGTCGCTGCTGGGGTTGCTGCGGTCTCTGCGGTCAAGGCCTCGATCGCGTTGGTAGTGATCTCGCTGATAGCTGCGGTCGCGGTCGCGGCTATCGTTCCTAAAGCTGCGATCACGATCACTACTACGATCACGACTTTGGTAGTTGCGGTCACGGTCACGGCCTTGGGGCGTTCATCGTATCTGCCGCGAAATTCCAATGCCGCGGAGATCAGGGTCGGCGTTCCTCGATTTCTCGTACCCACTTGTCAATTGGCGTGCGT